TTTGGTCTGGAAGTTGGACGCTTGAGGTTCTTTAATCGAGATTTAGCCGAATCACTACGGTAAGTGTTTAACTCGAATTTCTCAACCAATTTACAGAACTTTCACCCATTGGTTAGCTTGCTTCTCCTAGTGAAAATGTTGTCATTTTTACGTAAATGACAATTTGTGATGGCTTGTTCCTTTGAAAGATCTGTGCCAAGCCGAGTTGGGGCAGATACTCGCAAATTTCGTCGCAAATTGATACAAAAGCAACTTCTGTTTGAACTCAGAAACCTGCGCAGTGGTCATAATATTTTCAATCAGTCCTCTTTCAACGCGAAGCGAAGATAATTCACGACATGTTAACTTCCCTTGTAAAATCATTCATTCTAAATGACCGAGGAGGAGAGGGGGGTGGGGAGTGACAGGAGTGATTGCTACACCATCCAAAGGCGAATGCTATTGTGGTTTTACATCGTCAAAGGCTGAATACAAATATTTACTATAAAGGGTAGACATACTGTCACAATAGTTATCAAAAATTTTCAAACGCATTTAAAGAACGAGGTACAGCCATAGGGTTCGCTCTTCATGTCTTAAAGACCTTCCTCTTTCATTTCAGTCAAGAGTTCAACCCCCCTGCCTCCCCTTCCCCCTGCTTAAGCTGGCTTAAGAATAGCTTTTCCGGCATTAATATTGTTTATGGCTCAATTTATATCTACCAATAAAACTTCGTACACGTACCTATCTTTTTCCACTACTTGTCCTATAAAACGTATCAGGATACAATTTCAAACCAAACCACTGTCTCTGGAGGACATTTTTCTTTGAAAAAGGCTCTGAAATATCATCTTTCACTTCCTATCTAAGCCAAGTTCAGCATTCGTCTGACTTGTATTACAAGATGGATTGTTAATTGTTACTAACCGTGCAGATTCATGTCACGTTTAAAAGCCATGAAAGTGAGAAGTACCTTTTAATCTGCGATATAATTTGAAAACAACCTTCCAGTTAAGTTGTTTTGACGAAATCGATCGATGCCGCGCAATACAACGAGCTGAGCAGTTCAAAGTTGAACAAGCGTGCTCGGAAGCATGCACAGTTGTTTTGCATCGAAAATCGAGATATGTCATAAGCTCGTGCCAACTTTATATGTATATATCATAATGAGTTTGTATTTCCTTCACTACTTTCACATTGCAAGTCATCTTTTTATTGCTTAGCGAAATTCTTTTAAAAAAATTGTGCGAAGTGCTAGAGTTATAATCCCTTGTTATCTATAATGTTTTTTTCGCTTAATTCATCTAACCTATACCTCCCAACCGCGTGCCCTGGCAATTGAAGTGGAACCTCCGAAAGGAATCGTTTTAAACCTTGTAATACTTTTATTTCAAGATTGGGTGGAATTATTTTCTTACATATCTGCTACAATAATAAAAATAAGAAAGTACCACATTTTAAACCAACATCATTCGCCGAAATATTCCCCAATACAACCCTGTCACGCTCTCTATTGTTTAAACTTAATGACATAAAAATGACAACTTGATATCTAACCAAAACTTGAACAACATGCTGAAATTGTATTCAAAGTTGTTCCATGGCAGTGCCTTGAATCATTCCACGGAAAAATTCCACGGTTAAAGTTTTTCCTCTTTTATATCTATTTTAAATTGGACGGAAGAAAATGGTTTTGAGAGTGATTTATTTTTTCAACAATACGTCATGTAAATCGTGAGACTACGCACGAACAAAACCGCCCACCTGTAGACTAGTTCCCAGTCTTTCTATCCCAACATGCGTTCGAAATTTAAAATTAAAAATTAGTCGCAGAGCAAGTTGCCAAAGACAAATGCTAACGAGAACCTTCTGAGCTCTCAGAAAAAAAATATATTTTGGAAAGCCGCCATGTATTCCAAGCCATTTGCACAGAGAAATAATATGAGGAAACATATAGTTATAAGCGATTCCAGACGAAGAAGTTTGGTTTTAAGGCCGGCTACGTTGACTCAGGAAGTCCTATGCCGGGCAAACCAACGTACACGACTCCTTCTTCAAGCAAGGATGTCTCATGGTACGTTAATAACTAAATTTTCCTTTCTTTGATTATTACTCTAGATTAAGGGGTCGTCTCAATGCTTTACTTGGGCTAAAATTGTAATACGTAAGATTTTTTTCAAAAATATTCCAAATACAGCTTGTGTTTTGTCTCTAAAATATATTTGGTTCGTTCGCCAAAGATTGCATCGTATTCCAACCATAATTTTTTCTTATTTTGATAAATTTGTCTCTTTATAGTTCGACCCATGAGGTTACGTAACTGTAATAGAGCGAATCGGCCAAGCGAAGATGTTTCAATTTCCTCGACCGGCCGGTTCCCAAAATGGCACACATCAATCAAACTAGCACCCGGCCCATATTGGGATCCAAAAATATTTTTAATTGTGACTTTAGGTTTTTGTGTTTATTTCCTGAGTCTCGTTGTCTTCCAACCGTAGAGTTCAGAAAAGCTGCTTTATAACAAAATAAAGGCATTTTTAAGGGAAATCATTTCGTAAAAGACGTGAACACTTCACGCCAGGGCTATGTTTCAATATTCCGCTTTCCTTGTGTTGCATACAGTCCAGCTCGAGTTTTCAACAGAAAACACCGACACATGCGCTTAACAAAAATAATTAGAAAACAGATATTGAATTTGCTAAAAAGGTATTTTTTTTAGAAAAAAGATAGGAAACAGTTACTACCGACAAGTCGTCTAAATATATCAGCTTTTAAGTTTATTTTCTGCTCATTAGAACCAAACACTCATGGATTAACGGATCTGCTTTTATTCCAATTTTAAATCACTACACGGAATCATAAACATCTCGAAGGCCGCTGTTTGGATATAATAATTCACAACGTCGCGAAAATGCCTGTGACAATTTTTAATATATTCAATGTCACGTCTGTTCTTTTTTTGTTTGTTTGTTTTATCTACTGGTTACAGCTTACCGCTATTATATACTTAAGGAAGTTCTAAAATAACTTTCTTCAGAACTGACCCTGCCACGGCTCTTAGCCCATATAACAAAGAAAAACTTGGTAAACGTGCTCAGATGCATACATCGGGCGAACGGGCTTTCTCTGGCCAAGCTGTGACCTCTTCCGCTCAATATCCTCACTTAAAAACCGAAGCCATAATTTTTTGTTTATCTCAGATCATGCTGTTGTGATATTTCATTTTTCATTCGTCAGAATATCTGATCTACGTGCGACTAAGCGCTCTTCCAGCTGTGTTAAAAATAAAAAAAAATCTTTAAAGTGATTAATTTTCCTGATTACTACGGGTTTTGTTTCATGTCGTGCTATAGAATTCAGCTACAAAGTCTGGTACAGCAAATGTCCTCATGTAAATTATGTCTTTAAAAGCTTTTGATCACCAAAACACACAAGAGTCTAAATTTTTTACGAAGCTGAAGAACGTTTGAAAGGAAAATTTGGATAGACGTGCCTCACACCCTCCCCTAGAGTAGGCGGTTGTCCCCACAGTGGGGAATAGTTACCGTGCTCTTTCTCATGTCTCTTATGAGTCTCAGTCCCACTCTCTTCGCTTCTCTGAAGTATTCGTCTGTTTCCTCAAGTTTTCATACCATTCTAGTTAGCGCAGACATCTCTATTGCTTTAGTTATCTTTACTTACCAAGTAATTCTGCACTATTTCGGTGTCAAACTAAGAGAAAAAAGAGACAGTTTTGTGAAGAAAGTCGAGAAAATCAAATGAATGTGGGAATAATTGTGTGTTGTGTTAGCGCTCATATCAATTCGAACTTAATTTTAATAAGGATTTGTTGATTGAAAGCAAATTTTCAGGAGTTGTAATTGCAGAACATGGCGGCATATTTTGCTGAAGTCCTGAAACTACAATGAGGATAAGGTTCAGTGAAACTCGACGGACCAGGAACGAATGAAAGTCAAATGCAATACGCCAACTGACCCGGCATAATTGCCTTATAACAAAGAGATATAACCATTGTTATCTTTTGACGTAAACGACAACCGTCTTTAGAACTCAAGTAGGCGTTCGAGGTCATTCAATGGGAGCGAAAGATAAAAGCTAACTGGTTTTCATTTTCCGCGCCCGGCGTCATATCAAATGAACAATTATTTCTAAGACAAGTTGTTACTAGTATGGTGAAGTGCAAGATGTGTGACGCTTGATAATCGGAGGAACTTGATTTACGTGAGTCACTGCACGTTTTCTCATGAAGGAAGATTAATAAGGTAACTTAGCCAGCAATTAAACTTGGCAGCCCACGCACTGCATGAAAGGTTTTTATCGCATTTTTCGCTTTTCCTTGAATTTAAAGGTTTTTTTTTTCTCCCATAAAAACTGATAAATTGATATTTCAACCAGAAAGAATATTCCTTCCTGAGTGAGTTTTTATGCTATTACCTCTCATATTAAACTCCTCAAATCTTAGCTCCCTCTCTGAAAAGATCAGATAAGCCTGGAAGTTTTGGACATATTTTTAAGTCATTAAAACTGTTTATCCTGCTTTTAAAACTAAATTTTGCATTTTCTTTCATCGGATAATTTGCGAAGTCCTTTAAACTCTTAAAAAACAAAGGAGAAAGGTTAAGGAGTCGATCGCATATATTATCTCTCTTGCCTGCATTTAAATAAGTGCGGCAGAAGCACGCGATCTCAAAGGCTCAATTAAACAAATTATCCATGTGAATTTGGCAAATTATGCTATAATTCTGTCTAGATTGATTTACAGTAACTTTTAAAAGCCCTAATTTTAAGTTTCTTAAAGAATTTGGACCGGAAAATTCATAATTTCACATCTGTCAGCTTCCGTTCATCTTTCCACACCGTGTGAATTCACACGTCTTAAGGGCGTATTTTGGTTCCCAGTCTCTGCGCGACCACGCCGCGGTGTTTTCTTTGAGATCTTAAACTGTGAATTTATGGACATTAGCCTCAGAGCTTTTAACCTCAATTGGTGCAACTCATTTTGCTTAAAGGAACAAATCATGATGTATGCCAAGTTACTGTTACAGAGGAACAACACAAAAACGCCAAGCGTTAGTAGACATCCAAGCACAAGTCAATATATTTTCAAACCAAGTTTAAATTCTCTGATTCGACAAGGAGTTCTGTCGCGGAAAAATCGCTTCGTCCAACTTTTCCCTCAAGCAAGGACTTCCACTGGTACGTTAGAATATCATATTTTCAACGAAATGCAGCTTTACTTGGCATTATCGCAAAACGAAACTAGAAGCTCTTTGTAGTTTTAATGAGCTAAATCGGATCGAGCAAGAAGATTTTAACCAGACCCACATAGTAAAGTTGTTTATGTACCAACCATGTGGTACTATCACGAGAAAAGAGTCGTGAAAACAATTTTAAAGCATAGTATTCAGTTTCTTTTAGCTTTTTCCGTTTTTCAGTGTTCAAAATGTGGGTCGAAAAACTGGAAGCAGGAAATATGATGGGAGGAGGAGAACAGGGTGTAGTTTCTATTTCGTCACTTTGAGAACATTCGCGCTTTCTCGTCAGGAAAGCGGAAGATATCCGCGGCAAATAATTGATCCTTTCTTATTTCAGAAGTAACGAGTGCAGCGAGGTATTTTATGATTTTCCAGCTCGCTTCTCAGTTTAAGGAGGCTCCATAGGATTTCTTGACCGCTATATATCTGTGTGAGAACATAGCGCGAGCTTTGTAAGTGTCAACGTGCAAAACAATCATGGCGGCGAGATATGATCGCACGATTGCTATCTGAAAAGGTGTGTCAAGAACAGTTGAACACTTTAATGTTTTTATGTCATGGAATCTAGGGTTGCCAGCAACTGCACTCCTAATATTCATAGACCTTCTTCGCCTGAAAAAGAAGTCAACCGAAAAGAAAACACTGTGGGAAAGATTACCAAAAGGCGACAGATTCGAAAGTTTAATCATGCTCAGATACAGATCTTGGCAAAGTGCTATTCCATTACGTAATGTTTTGCGACAAAGGAAGTAAGGATCTTTCGAGCAAGATTTATCGCGTTTCCTTCGGTGGAATTTCGTAAGATTTGCTGAATCGTTAAACATATTTGTGCGCTTCCTAGTGCCTGCTTTAACTATAAATTCATAAGACCAAATTTGAGATAGAGGAAGAAAACACAAAACTGCAAATAACGAGCGAACTACCTCTGTAACCCCTATTTTTTCTGCTTTTCAATGATCGGCAAAGCAAATTTCACTTATTGTTAAAATTTTGAGAGATTTCACCGAAGCAAACTGAAGAAAAACAAAGGCAGAGCCAAATTATCACTGGCGAGCGCCTTCCTTCTTGGAGCCTTAACTTAGTAACGAAATTCATATTGATGATATTTACTACAGAAAACGATAGTCCGAAACTCGCTTATCGCTTTTTGATGGCTTTTAGTTACCTTGAAAAGAAAAAAACAAAACATTTCCAAGAGAAACATTACAGTTGCGCGCGCGCCAACACTGTGCAAAAACCCCATAGAGCCTCTTAAGTCAGCAACTTTACGATCTATTCTCATCAATCTTCCTAGATTACGCAGGTCTACTCGTCTTCAGTTTTAAAACAAGCTTCCCTTATTACAAATCCTGATATAAAATAAAGGTTCCTACAAAGATGAAAAAATTGAAAAGAAAAATTGATAGTAAAACTTAAGAAAAGTAGAAAAGTGGAGGTTGTATCAAGTCGTATAAAAAAGTGAGACGCTATAACCAAGTTATTTATATCTCCACCTCTAATGATTTTCGCGTTTACCAAGAACTGAAAAAACTCAATTCACCAACCTATGTCGAAAGGGAACAAAATTATTTCATTTCTTTTTAAAGCGGGGGGCGATGAGAAAAATACAAAAAGAATATCAACTAAATAAAGGGAGCAATGATTGATTTATCACCAAATTCTCTTGGCAAAAGTTATGTGAAAAGTGTGGTAGCCAGTGAAGAGATTTGATGTTTAGATCTGTTAAGTAAAATTGTTAAAATTATTGCCATTAACGTTCCCTCTTGAAAGTATCTTTTTTACTCCTTCAAGGAATCGTTTGAATTTGACATCCGAGCTATGGGGAAAATCGTTAAGGGCGTGGTTTTTGTGTTGTGTTAAAAACTTGTTTAATATGCTGGCCCAGAATGTAGGTATTTATTTTCTGATTGGCGCGTGCGTGAGCTTCCCAATTAACAATTTATCCGATGCTTTGCTCCGAAATCGCAAAATCAGAAAATGTGGCTTTTTTTTGTTGCATCTGCACTTAGGAATCGAAAGTGCTAACTTTGTAGTCGAGCAAATCCTTTCAGGCAAAATTTTAGTCGAGTGAAAATGTGTCAAGGATAACTAATTATAGCATATTAAGGAGATCAGCAAACATTTTTCCATATTTTCACATACTTTTTACTAATTCTGGTTTGGTGAATTCTCATGTAATCATTAGAAACAGCATGAGGACCCCTTCCTCAGGTGTGACCAACGCCTTTATTTTCTCGAGCCTAGGATTCTTTTCTTTTGAATTATTCGGAGAAGTTAGTGGCTGATCGCGTAATTTATTTCCCTCAACGACGAAAGTAAGAAAAAATTCATCAAAAAAAAATAAACAAAAACAAAACGACTTGCTTACGTAGTTCGTGACCTCTCATGACTCGATGCACGCGACGAGATGCACGTGCGCCTTTGGCCTCGTTATGAGGTAGTCGTCGTTCATCTCTCTGACTCCTTTCCAAGCCCCTTTTGATATAAATTGCTTCTCACGGTGGGGACTAAACACTTCAATGGCAAAATGGCGTCGAGACGGTTGTTGTTTGCTAAGGTTATCGTGAGAAGAAAAAAACGCAGGAAAGTTTGTAAGATTTGGCTACTTTAGTGGTCATGTCTTCTTCAAATCTGCCAATGGGCAAAGTGTATAGAACTGTGGGAACGTAACAACTTATGAGGCCAGGAAAAGGAATTTAAAAGGTGAGGATTACCAAGTTTTGTTTGTTGTTGATGATCGTGCACGCAACAGAAACTTGGAAAATCTTGCCCGTGTTTGAAACCAAGTTGTCTCTTTTACCGATACACGTTAATACTTACTTAATGTACACGATTTTGTATTTTGTGCGAAAGTTCAGGGCTTTAATATCGCAAATATGAAATATGGCGTTAAACCTTTCTATGAAGCTTGAGAGGGGTTTTGTCACCCAAACTGTAAAACAATTGTACTTCTGCATTTTCTCTGAGTGGGCTGTTTATTTATTTACCGTTCTCAGAAGAATCTTATATGGGTGCTTAAAGACTTAGATAAGAGTGATGACCTTGTTACTGTAAATTCACCGAAATCCATGGCTTGTATTTTTTGTGACGTCCGCAAACATCACCAAACGTTGAATTGCTTTTGTGACAATTTTCTGGAGTGTAAAGTCACTTAAAAACCGTCAATTGTTTGTGAATCCTAAATTGAATTGGTGAAGTGTACATGTTCTCTGGCACGGGCCGTTTGTTTTCAAGGGGTCCTTCCGATTGTCATTAGTCCGTGATGTTCAGAATACTTTGAGCAAGAGTGGTTTAAACTCACTTACGAGACTATCATCCTCAGACTATCTGAGAAAAGCTACAGAGCAGCATGAACCTCGGCTTTCTTCGTATTTCTCAAGTTTCTAGCCTTGGAATTTAAATCAAGTTAACTTTGGACAGGAAAACTTCACTGTATTCCTCACATCTTAAAATCCGAACGAAAACAAATTTAACATTCCTCACTCATTACCATATGCATGCCGTTGCTAACGAAATCGTCTAAGAAACCTTGAGATTTTTTTCTTGTTTCGTCACGTACTTGGGTAGTTAATCGTTTTATTTTACTGTGGATATTAAGAAATTAAGATTACACATGATTTTTATAAAAATTGAGTAATAATGGCCACAACATCAAGCCAAGGTTAAATGGAAATATTCCAAACGTGTGGGAAGCAGGATAGAGTATCGAACAAGTTTTCCTGAAAACAAATTATAAATACAACGTCACAATATACTTTTTTACGAGAAACGTGTCGAATGTCACTTCTTCGCAAAGAAAAACAGGCCTCTAAAAATGAAAAGTATGGAAAATTTGCGCTCTCTGCGGAAAACTTATTGGTAACTTTCCTTCCTGCCGCACGCGTGCACGTAGTCACATCACTGAACGGAACTACTTGTTAGTCAAGTATATTTCCTCTCCTTGTAATCGTGACGACATGAACGTTTCCTCAAGTGTATATAAACTCAAATTGCATCCAGTTCATTTAAAGGCTATACAGACATCGACGTGTATACCAAGCTTCGACTACAGAGGAATAGGTTTAAAGATTAAGTGAAATGGGTTCTTGTAGAGGAGGTGTGATTTTGAGACGTAATCCGTTATGCGAGAGACAAGAATTAAACTGGAAAAATTGTTCTGCATTTACACATCTTCCAGCCAGGATATTTTACGGTACGTTAAATACACTCTCTCATTATTATATTTTGGTACTTGTGTTCTTGTCAGAACGAGACAAATTACCTCTCGCCTTTTGTGGTCATTTCAAGAGGAAACTGAGGGAAATTCGGTATGAAAGAAGTTTATATAATTTCCAGTATTGATCAGATATAAATCAGTGTTCGAGATCATTTGGCTGTATTCATACGAACGGACTACATCAAAAAATTAGCTATAAAATACTCCTCTTTCACCGGTGATCGTTGAAATTATCTCGCGAGTTTGAAACAAACTGATCGACTTTGACAAATGAGAAAAGTTTAGACCCAGCTATAGTAGTACACAAAGAGTCACTTGTATATCGTAAATTCTGACGAGTTTCATATAGAACTTTCCATGTTATCAAAGTTCAGTCCAATTCCTGTATCAAAGTTTAACTCTTTCGTAAACATGGACTTCGTTTACTTTCGTCTCTCTCAGCAAGAAGTCGCGTTCTAATACGTCCATCTCGTTGTTCATTTTGTATCGACTATGATCATCTGCACGATTGTAAAACAACACGTAGAAATAAGACGGCATGCAAAAGATGAATTGATTCTTGAAGTTTTTGATGCAAGCTGGAAAGAGACTCGTTCCTCAATTTTGTCAATACTTCGATCGTGAAGTTCTCATTACGAGAATATTGCAGGGATTGATCCATTGAATTGTAGTCTGAGTGTATTGTTTGCGAAGTTTTGGGAAGGTCCCTGCTAAAATTGCGATAGTCACATTCAGTTTCTCTCATTACATGGGTTGATTCGAAAATACAAGTCCGCAAAATGTTGCGAGTTATTTCTGGTAAATGTGAGCTTTTGAAGTGAAATAATGAATCATTTCACTTCTCTATGGATCAGTGTTTCAGTTTAGATTGCTTAATAACGATAATTTGGACGAGTCGTACTGGTTTTCGCTGAATTTACCAACTGTCCTTTGTGTTTTAACTTGTTATTAAGAAATTTGGCGATTACAGTAAAGGGTTGTGCAACATGGGCATCCTATTAGTATGAGACACAGCCTTTTCTCGGCGCATTAAATTTACCGTGGCATATGTGTCATGACCTGATTGTCGCATTTAGCTTGCAACGACGCACGGAGATAGCCCCCTAAAAGCCATAGAAAACGTGTCTGACTTTCCGTTTCGAGGAGAGCTTTTAAAGGATTTCTTGAAATCGGGTCTCATCTGACCAATTCGTTTTCTTTTTGCCCTTAAACTCATAGAGTTCCTTGATGGCAAGCCTCCATCTTTCTCGGCCCAGATCGTGTTGATGATTCATAGGCGGACTCTGCTTGTTAAATGACTTATCGAAGCTATTGTAACGCAAAATCATGACTCCAAACTGATCCCGCCTCTAGAGAAGCTTTAGAAATATTTCTAGAGCTCGAGTCGACCAACATTGTATTTGGATTATCTTTCAGTGATAACTGCATTTGAACGGAACGCGCGCCTCTCCCAACACAAACACGTAGCGAACGAATGGATCTAAGAGACCATAAAATCAACACTAGTGAACACTGCGTTCATCGTGAATATATCTCGGTTAAGTTGTGAGGTCGGTTCAGTGAATGGGTTTCATTGGATTATTGCTTCGGTGTCGGCTTTAGGGAACATTTTCGCGCAGTGCGATATATGGACAGAAAAGACATGAAGCGATATTATATCGACTTTCCTTACCCCGCGAGTTAATATGGAAAATCTTTTTACCCCAAGGAAGAGGCCTGGTATTTTGTGCAAGGCTCTCTGCACAATGAAGTCGATTAAAAAGAAAAAACTTCCATCGTAACTTGCTTGGAAGCGGGAGACCATAAAACCTCCTCCGACTCGTCCTCAAACACAGAACAAGAATAGATTGCCGTTCCCTTTTATTACGTATTTTGTTTAGTGGGAGTTATTTGGTGGCCGCTTTATGGCAAAAAACACGATTTTCGTTCACGACATTTTCATTCTACACTTCGGTAAGGGAAAACGATGAAAAACAAGGAGAGAACGCAGCAGCCTGCACCGACATTGTGTAGACTTTTCTTCATTATATCAACCTGTCGTTTCTACTCAGAGATCTCATGTATTCCGAATTGCCTCTTGTGGTCGGCTTTTGAAAAAACTTTCTTATTGACTGATGAGTTAGTAACTTAGTATATATCTCGTGAATTTTTCAGTCTTTTGAAATGTCTGAAGTCTTGCAAGAGCAGCAGTTAAATCGCCCATCCCGTTAGGGTAGCCTGGACAGTACCGGGACGGGACGGGACGGGACGGGGTGTAACAGGCGCCCATCGGAACCAACCAGATTTCAGGCTAACAGGGTAATTTAACATTATCAACTGAGTTGATAATGTAAATTGGTCACCTCTCTGACGAAGGGCAAACGCTCGAAACGTTAGGTTTGAAACTCTTTACGGTGGCCAATTTACGTTATCAACCCACTTGATAATACTTAATTACCCTGTTATACTCTCCCACCGACGCCGCACCACATTTTCTTTAGAAACTCCCCCCCTTCAATCAGATTTCTCTTTGACATGTCAAATCCGTAGCGGTCACACTGAGGAAAATATTAATTAGAACTATTTTTAGAACAAGTTAATGTAATTTTAGAGCAGGGTCAAAGTGCCCTTGACAGAAGAGATCAGCGGTGGGATGTACTACGTGAAAACAAACTACTGTAGTTCTTTGCCCAGCACTCGTCTTTTAAGATAATAGTAATTTTTTCGCCGTCAAAAAAAAATAAAAACTGAAAAAAAAAAATATATCACGCCATTGGGGCAAAAGGTTACAAAAATTTATCATAACAATCAAACTTCCTGTTGTGATTGCTGATCTTTGATTCAAATTAGCGCCAATGTCTTTGCGTGGGCGGGCAATAAAATCAGAAGACTAATGTCCATCTACTCTCGGTGAACCCGAAAATTTCGTAGAGTATTTTAACGAGCATTCACTGCCCAAACATCCAGTCACTATCAATGATGGTCAGTATCTCTTCTTTATTATGGAAAATTACACAAATTTCATTGCGTATTCATGGCTTTTAACCTCGCGTGACTTTTTATGTATTGTTTACATCGTGACGTATTTGCATTGCGTTCGAATTTAGGGAAATCGTTATCAGACACGTACAGGCCAAGGGCGCTTGCACAACTCTCTCATTTCTTAGCAAAAGAGCGGATTCTCTCCATCCTTTGAGCTTGAAGAGGCTATCTTACTTTAAAGAAAAGCTTTCCTAAATGGATTTATCTCCAAATTAGGGCTTGTTCGAGAAACATACAACGAAAACTCACGTTTTTTGAACCAACGCTCTGTTATGATCACGTGTTATGGCTGTCTGTGTTTACACGTGACCTAGTGTGTGACATGCAGCCGTAGAGAGTGACACCATTGAGTTGATTCTCCGATCGAATCTAAATTTGTTTTGTTTCACTTTGTCAGGCTCGTTTCTCCGTATGTCCTGCGTTAAATCAAGTAACAGAAACATGTTGTGCGATCTGTGCAACGAGAAAGCAGTGACGAGATGCCCATATTGTAAAACTGCTCAGTATTGTGGCGCGGAACATCGAAAGAGCGACTTTAAATTACACAAGAAAAAATGTATGGGGTTGCCTTCAGTGGAAAAGGAACAACAGTTTAGGGAAAATAGGTTAAATGGGTACACCCCGATGGACTTACTTCCAAACAGGTTTTTCGAGCGAGCGGAGTTTGTCGTGGATACGTTGAGAAAACAAGGTTACTGTTATCTAGACGATTTTCATGGTGAGGACATTGCACTAAAAATCCTCAGCGAAGTAAAGAACTTACATCACAGAGAGAAGTTTACAGACGGAGAATTAGTATCTTCAAATGGGAATGGTAGTATGTTAAACAAGAAAATACGGGACGATAAGATAGCTTGGATAGATGGTAAAGAGGAAAATTGCCAAGCCATTTCGCATCATATGACAACAGTGAATACTTTGATAAGATTCTGCAATGGACTTATTGAAGAATACGACATAGAACACAGGACAAAGGTAAGAATGATATCTCTGTATACAGCACTTTGTTCGAACGCAATTCATTGCAGCGACGTTGTACACATGTTAAACTTTTTATGGATTCGATTGCCCATAACACGAACAGTCAGATACCATGTTAATCTCCCAGGCGTTTTTCCGCCTTACGCTGTAGTTAATGAAGGATTTGTGCTTTTAATCCATTAGATACACTGCTGTTCTCGACTTTGTTCGAGATTTTCGCGCCGATTGAGATCTAAAAGGGTGAATTTTTATATTTTTTGCCGAGTCTAAGGCATTCGTTTAATGTCATGCACCTAATTTGAATTTTCTTCAGAAGGATGCAATGGCCGTCTTCATATTTAGCTTCTGGCGCTCTACGTGCGTTCGATCACGTACGTATTCATTGTTACACGTGACCAAATTGAACAACTGAAGACAACATTTGAAAAAAATGAATTTTCTCGAAAAGTGTGGTTCTTGTAATCTCTGGCCAAGGGTCTCGTAGGCCCAACGACATATAATCTCTTTACAGTATCATAAGCAATATACATTTGAAATTCTTTTGCCAAGGTCAAGGGTGTCGAGATTTTAATTACAGAGACAACAAACTGGCTGAACAAGTATTTTGAAAATTTTAACTGTAGAAAATTTTTCAGATTAAAACATTTTGTTTTCCTTCATGATACATGGATCTTAACTGGAACTATAGATATTTTAGTGTAATTTTTTCCCTAAGGGTATTTTCATTTCTATCACAAACTTACAACCTATTGTTGTGGTACACTGCTACAGATTGCAATGGGAAATTTTCAAATTAAGAGACTTAAGTGTTCTCTAGTTAGTTTAACATGCATTTGAATGTAATGTATCCATTGAAATTTCATGGTGGTTAAAAATTTTAATTTTTCCCATCTCTAACACTGGAATATGTTATGTACAATTTATGGTACTAGGTACCAATTATGAACTCCAACTTGGGTGTGAAGTAATGCATGCTCTTCCCACCAGTTAGAGGTGTAGGGATAACGGCATAAATAATCTCCAGAATCATGCAGTCTAGGCCAAAACCTTTCCCAAGGATTGCTGTTTTATGGTCATGAATGAGAGGTTTTTGTGTTTGTTTTTGTTTTGAAACGTGAATTGTCATATGTAAAAGTGATGAATTATTTTGCATACTTATGTAATAGCTGGATTGTAACATGCTCTGGACAAGTGCTACCTCCAGGATGATTAATGAGTTTGAGCATACCTTGTCGATTTGTACCCAAGATACAACAATTTACATGTATGCCTGTAGACAGCTCAACAGTGAGATCTCGTTTCTATCACTCAGAAAGCTGTCAGGATGGTTAGGCATGACACTATCCAACACTAGAATTTTATTTAGAAAAAGAAAATTATAGTTAAACTCTTCTGAAAAATTTAGTCTAAAATCAAGTTTTCTTACTGAATAGGGGAGTAATCTTGTTGACTCAAGTTCTAATGCATCATCTTTCAGACCATTCACATGGAGTATAATCCAGTTAATTCTAGAAAGATATTAGTTTCAAAGGAAACATTTTTTTTTTTGCTGGGTCATTGGGCAAGTGAAACACTTTGTTGACTATCAACCAATTGTGGATAAACGGCTTAAGTTAGGTTTTAACAAGTGATGTTTTGAGCACGATCTCTTCATTAGAATAAGGGGTTTCATCAGAACCTTGAGTTTTAGTCGCAATGTAATAATTTTGAAATTGCATGGATGAATACACATGTTGAATATTTCATTCCACAATTCTAAAATGTAGTTGCTCAAGCATGGACAAAGAAATACTGAAGTGTGTTTTGGGTTAATCACAACTGTTTCACACGTATCATGTGCATGTACAAGTTGAAAAGCTTCCTCAACTACACATAAAGCCATTTCAATTGAGATCTGACTTGCTTTTTTTCTTCGTTCTTTTTTTTTTTCCACTCAAAGTAGCAAACACCAGTGCTTGTAGATATTCAGTCGTAGTTCCCTGACCTTTGTAGCGTTTACATTACACCTCTGACTTGAAGACATCGCATAAAAATTTCAAAAGGTTTTGTCATACACGATTTAAGATTCACATGTGGTTTGGTTCACAACTGATATTTTGATTTTCAGGATTTCTTTTGTGTATGAATGTGGATTGTGTTCTAGAAAGCTCTTTGGATTCAATGATGCGTTAAGGTTATAAGATCAATTCATTGAATGGGATATCTACAGGAAATTAGAATCTTTGAATTAATCAGTTTCAACCCAAAAGTTGTGAACTTTCATTGTTCTCCTTTTCATGACGTCACTTGACTTTGACCCTGACACCCCATAAAGCACTTGGGAAAGAAAAGCCAAACAGATTGAAGAAACGTGACTAAACACGTGAGAGGAAGGAAACAATGTGCCAACACTTTGAAGCAGAAGTCGCTTTAGAGGCCATTCTCTAAATTTGGGAACACAATTTAAAAAAAATGTCACATTCACAAAATTTGGGAATGGGTTGCTTTACTTAATTTATCCTAAATTAATTGAACATTCAGAATTATAGTTTATAAGTAAATATGCATGCAGCTTGTTTAATAAAACACTAAGCGGATCTAGTGCTTGATCCAGTTGGAAAAGAAGAAGGGCATCAAACAAACCCTGTTTGTTTTGACATATTTGTTACAAATGATGTTTGGTTTAAGCTGATAAATCTATCTTGAATGTGTAGTCTCATTAACTTACCATTCATGTACTTTTTGTAAAGACTTCTGTATTTTGGTTGAATCCAAAATGTAGTGCACTATGTTAGATCCTCTAGCTTTTGCTTAGGTGTAAGGTAACCAAAAATGAATTTCTCAAGAAATCCTCAAGCGACAAATGCTGCTGTTTTAACATAATATTTCGTAGAAAAATGAGCATTTAATCCTTGATCATGTTGATCCCAACATTTATACAGCTAGTCTTTGTCAGGCGAAAAGGTTGCCTATACCTTTCTTGGTTTCATATTTAGAAGGTTATAGTAATATACTGAAGTCTGAACTTTAAGGGAAATTTAGGTGGTAGGATTGAAAAATCTTATGCTGTTGACCAAGGAATAGTCAGCAGTTATACCTACTATTGATCATGTCCATGGTAATATGAAATTTCATTTCAGAATTAATAGGAAAGTAAAATTTACACAAAGAAGAAAATTTAGTTACTACAGGTGCTAAAGCTTTTCCTTATTATCATTGTGTTGACCAGAATTTCTTTTCTTCCTTGCTGCAAGCAGGCAATGGTGGCATGCTATCCTGGTCAGGGTACATGTTACAAAAGACATGTAGACAACCCCAATAAAGATGGACGCTGTATAACAACACTGTACTATTTAAACCCAGGATGGACAGAGGAGGTTAGTAGCTTTTCTATAAATATCAGTTCACCCTATCTTGTCTGGATTTTATGTAAGCCTTACAGAAAACTCAGACAAGGATAAAAAAAAATACATTTCAGAAATGTAGTTTTGGGAGAACTGTGTATATTACCACCAGAATATTCTCCGTTTCTAAATGAAAAATGGCTGAGGCAATTCAAATCTAGTCAAAGAAAACTGCTCAACAAGGAAAAAATTCTCTGATAGGTGGTATTTTAATGAATGCCCTCTCTTTTTTTGGCAAATTAAATTAGTTTTGTACATATTTTAGATGGATGTCTTGGCTAGTTTCTCCCTTAAGATACAGTTGTTTACACTATCGATGACAGAAAATGACCATTTTGTTTTACAGAAAGGAGGTATGCTAAAACTTTATCCAGGAGGCAGTGAAGAGGCAGTGAAAATTTTACCCAGACTAGACAGGTTACTCCTGTTTTGGTCAGATCGCAGAAATCCACATGAAGTGGAACCCTCTCATGACGTGAGGTTAGTTTACAACTCTTCCCTTTCTGGCACATATGATATATACGCAATTGTTTTTGTTGTATCAAGGATTCCAAACAAATTTGTTGTCAATGTTATCAGCTGAAGTCAAAAAAAAAAAAAAAAAAACCCAAACACAGTTGAGGTTATTGTCACAATCCTTGGTACCACCGTTTTGGTTATGATTATACTTTTCTTGATGTTTAATTACAATTTTTGTCATGGTCGTCCTTATTATTATCATTACTATTATTATAATCCTCTTCCTCATTCCACCTTATCACTTTTACTAGAGCACTGACACTACCTCTGCTTTTGCTCGTAATCATCCTCACAGTATTTTCCTCCTCATTCTAATTCATTGCCATTTCGTAATACCTATTGTTCTTTTTAGTCTAATTAGTCGTGTAACCTTGTCAGGGACATTGACAAGGCCCATGTATCATTTAAATTTGATTTAAGAAAGGGCAGAGTGTTTTGATTTTAATCAACCCTTTAACTCCCAAGATCTCATTAATAATTCTCCTTACTGTCTGCCATACAGTTCTTGTGATGTTAGTTTTGGGAATTTGGTATTGGATCAACCAATAATCCTCTAACTGATATTTTTCTTTATTCTCATCAATTGTCTGGTTGATATTGTAATGATATCTAAGGAGAAATTCTGTTTTGGTCACTCATGGGAGTTAAAGGGTTAAAACACCAGAGAATACTTACTACTATTTCCTTTTTTTTGGCCTGTGTGTTTCATTAAGGGGTCAGAAGTACCTTATGTGCATTTTTTGCTGATCTTGAATTTGTTTTGTAAATAATGATTTTTTATTTTCTTCTCCTTACAAGATACGCTATCACACTATGGTATTTTGATAAAAATGAAAGAGCTAGGTTTAGAAGTAAGTGAATTTATTATTCTTTGAAGTACTATACTTACATATATGTTCAGGGTGAATTAGTTCTTTGAGTAAAGTATATTACATGTTCCTCTTCTCTGGCAATTTAAGATGATATGTTCAAAGGTACATATTGCATGATTCAGGATTATCTGTTTTCTGGAGGATTAAACACAACTCTTTCAATTTCTCAAAAATAATTCTTTTTTTTTAACTGTAGAAAAACAAGAAGAGGAGGAAAGGAAAAAAGCAATTTTTAGCCGACAGGTACAATACTTAAGTCATGCTTTAACAAATGGTCATTTTAAATTTTTAAAATATTAATCTGAAGAGTACCCCGGTACTAAATAAACTTCTTTACAGAAGAAGTACCCTTTTGACCCACATATAAAATTCTCCTACAGAACATCAGTAGGTTAAAGTCAAGCTCTCTCTCTTTTTTTTTTAGGAAAATGGCAGCAACGAAGGAGGAGGCAAACAAGACCAGGAAATTGCAGGAAGTAGTTGAGATGTACATGCTGTTAACTTGTGACAAGAATTCTCAATTGCAGTGATTTAACTCTCCCAGTCTGGGTAAAAAAAAATACTTTGAAGACTGATGCTTAAAAGATTTCCTTTGTGTACTTTATTAGCCAAACTTAATATGTAACTGATAAAATGAGAAAGAAAGTAATGCTGTAAGCTTTGTTTACTGTTCATCAATAGGCTGTTGTAGGCATTCAGGTAGGAAAACTGGGCCAAAATATAAATGGCATGATAGTAGTGACAGAGCAATACAGAGGAAGGGTTGGGTCATTCACTATGCTACTCAACCCTTGTTTTGTTTTTGTTTACACTCCTTTTCTGCTCTTGTGCTGTTAACTCTTTAACTCCCAGTGCAGTGATTAACATGAAACTTCTCTCAGTGATATCCATACATTATGAATGAGAATGAGTAATGAGAATATTCAAACCTATCAGGAAGAAGCTACTATCTTGATCTAGAACCAAGTTCTCATAACTAATTTACAAGGAAATGTGTAGCAGTTAGAGGGGAGAATTAACAATCAGATTTTGGGAGTTAAAGAGTTAACTATCACACTTTGGTTTCCTACCTGAACAGTCTGCCTGGAACAGAGTTAGTGCTTTAAAAGAATCTACCTCAAACAATAATGAATCAGTTGTATAAGTACTAGTAATGTGTTAAGGTGGCTTTGAAAGGAGCTTTGAGAGGAAAGGTAAATGCTTAACATACAAAACAACAAGGGAAAAGTTATAATATGTTGTTTTTGTGTTGAACATGGATAGCTTCTCAATGTGATGTTCTTTTTGCATTTACTTCATGTAAGAAGTCAATTTCTGAGGCACCTTACATTTTTGAAATGTGATACTTCTAAATTTTTACATCTGGTGGCACATTAGAATGTTTGTTCCACTGTGTACAAAATTCTGTGTAACAGTTTTATAGAAATGTGATCGTAGAATTATCTTAACTTACTGTAACTAGCTTTAAAGATTCTGTTTCAGTTTTTTTGGAATTCTTTTCTTAATTGAGCCCTGAGGACCCTGCTTTTATTTATATTACTAAATCTTTTCAGATGCAAAATTATGAAATCCAACTTTTTCATCTAAAATGGCTCTTACTTAGTTTTGTAGCATGAGAGAGAATTGGCATAACATATCATTAACATATCATTAACATATCATTAACATATATGACATATGTAAACTTCTTCACAAAATAGAAACTGTTTATGTGTTCAGAAAACTACCTGAAGTGATTACATTGTAAGTGATGAGTCTGGTTCCCTGTTAGGATACCTTTTTCACATGAGGAATCCATTTTGTCAGCTTTGCTTAAAATAATTTCAGCATTAATTGACTGGTAAAATCCTTAAATTGTGTAATATTATATCATACACAACCAGATGGATATGCAATTTATTTGTTGCCAATCTGCTGAACACACAAAACTGATTCCTCTATGTTTAAGAGGTGACCAATCCCACCTACCATTAATTCAAAGCTTTTCAGTTGATGGCAAAAGGTACAAATATATAGCATTACTAATGGCTATTTTACTGTGAGGCCCAAGAAAAATATCTTAACTTTAAAAAACATACAGTCATATTCTTGGTTTATATATATATCAGCATGGTTATCATAAATTGTTCTCACACTGTGAGGATGAAAAAGTTGGAATGGTAAAGGAAGTTTGACTGCAAGGTAGTGCTTGCCTAACAAAGATTAATGTTTAGATTTATATCTGGGATAGGTTAACAACAATGCATTTTATGGTTTAGTTCCTAAATGAGAAGAAAAACAGCAATTTAAAAAGCCTTAAATACTCAACACTTTATTGTTGTTAAATATTTCCTAATATGCTTAAAGTAAGGATGAAAAATATGTTGGTTTGAATCATAAGAGAGCTAAATTTGCTGCTTTGGAAATGTGAATATGTGCATCTGTGTATTGTTTGCAGATTTGCCTGCTGTCTTATCAAAAAAATAAAAGTCACATCAAGAAATTATTAAATAAATGTACATGGAAACTAACATTTTGGAAATTTAATCATTTCTTCAATTGATATTAAGACTGTCAGAAATTAGAGTAGAATTTTCATATATTTGATTCCTTTGTGTAATTTGTTAGAACCTTTGAATCCAACTCAATATCTGATATTGGTTTATTAACTGCTATGAAGAGAGAACATGATAGACCTCTTTCATAGATGGTGGACTTAACCATTTACATCCTAAAATCAGTATGCATATTCTCCATACTGCTTTTTATACATTTCCAAGGGTGCGGACAAGGAGAATTTGTTTACTAATCAAGAGTTTCTTTTGTTGGTGATCATCTCCTGCTAGTCATCCTTAGGCTTTAAAGAGTTAATATTTCTTTTATATTTATGTCAATTAGCCTTTCTGGCCTCTAAAACATGTTTATGAATCAGGAAATTCTTGCTCTAAAGGGAGGCCAAGAGGACTTGCTTGCATGCATGTAAGCTGAAAATAATAGTAACACTTGTAGCTCCACCATGAAAGAGGCATCTAAAGAGTTTTAATCCAATTTTATTCATGCCAAACCATAAATCTCTTTTTTTTTTCTACTTCCACCTGTCCTAGGCCAGTGCTTTAGGTAGTTTTTCCCATTTTTTCTCTGGTAATTTGGAGCTCAATTTTGTAATTAGTTCTAGTCCAAGCAATGAAACCTCGAGACATGAGAAGATTTTGGCACTTTTTAGAGTATATATAATATACAGTATAAGATATGATTAATTGAAATTGAGTCTTCTTTAACATCAAGTCTCCCAAAAATTACATCCCATTCTGTCAATGTTTCAACATTAATACAGTTATCTTTAAGCCAGGATAAGACAAGACAAGACAAGACAAGACAACTTTATTTTACCAGGGTAGCCCAGTCAGCTGCAAGGCTGGTATCCTTAGGGGCCTTGGGTTCAATAAAAATTACATATAAACATTTACAATAAGATTACAAGGTTAGGTAAAATTTGCTAAAATTTACAAAAAGGGGAGCAAAAGAAAAAAAAAAAATCAGATAAAATGTCCTTTAAGAAGGCGTTTAAAAATTGTTAGAGAACTTGCCTCTTTGATTCTGCTTGGCAGTGAGTTAAAAGCTAAACGCCCTGAATTTTTAAAAGTTCGCCCCCCAAGAACAAGATTTGTTTTATTTGGGTGAATATTTCTCCTCTGCCTAGTGTTGTAATTGTGTACATCATTGTTTACCTTAAAATAGTTTTTTAAGTATATAGGAACGAAATTCCGTAAACGTTTATATACTAAAATACATTTGTGTATTTTTCGCAGTGTTTCTAAATCTGGCCAATTTACAATATTTCGGGCTGTCCTTGTACTTTTCTGACAGGTGACGATTTTCGCGGCTCGATTTTGTAATCGTTGCAGACTAGTGATACTGCTCTCGGGTAGTTCACCCCAGGCTGTGTCTGCGTAACTAAAAATTGGTTCAATAATGCATTTGTATACCGCTTGTGCTGCTTGTAAAGTAAGAGTGGAGCGTATTCGTCTGAGGAGACCGAGTCTTAAGGCAAGGAAGCTCAGGGAGGGTGGGTGGGGAGGGAGTATGGTGCATTCTGTCAGCTTTTTTTAATGTCCCTTAACCCTTAACACCCAAGATCTCATTAGCAATTCTCCTTACTGTCTGCCATATAAATCTTGTGGTGTTAGATTGGAGCATTTGGTATTTGATCAACTAATAATCCCCTAATTGTTGCTTTTCTTTTCATCTCATTCAAGTGATTCATTCTCATTACTTGTCTACTTGATATTTTATTGATAGTGTAAGGAGAAATTTTGTCTTGGTCACTAATAGGAGTTTAAAGGTTAAGACTCTAACCTACTTTTCTCTCCATTTTCTCTTCTATAGACTTGTAGTTCTGATCACTTTAAAATAAGTTTCTTATCAGAGCTAAAATGAATTTCCCTGGTGATTTAGAAAAGATTAATTGTAAGGCCTTACACTTAAAACCAACATGTACTTATGTTCCTTTTTGAGTTTGTGTCTTGTGTTTACAACCATAAATGGGTTATTGCTTATTTATTAAAAGTAAAATGTTTCCTACTGGGTAAGTTTAAAATTTTTGGGTCTCAAATTACACAGTAACTGATGGGATGATATTAATAATTTGATTAAGGCTGCATGAAGTTTTTTTTCTTAAAAACTTGGAATTTCTAAAGGATAGATTCTACTAATACTTATTAAAATATTTAATTCTCAATATTTTTTTAGGCAGTTTATCATAATTTGAGTGTGGAGTATTTGTACACAGTTTATTTCTGGAGGGGTTAAATTTTGTAAAGTTATGCATTTGAATTATGTAAATGACTTTCTTTGTGCCATAAAGAAACATTTGAATACATTAACTGTTAAAGTAATCAAAAGAAGTTCTCTAGGTGTCATTGGGAACTTTACAACTAGTTAGGGAGTGCTGACCAGGCTGGCTAGGTAAACAAGTTGTGGGGTTTTTTCCAGAGTCTCTTCATTTTTTGTAACTATTCCAGTGGCAAAATTAGGGTGGTAAGTATAAATAATGATTTGGTCTCATAGTGCTGGTTGATCACTGGTTTCCCATCCTTTTGGGAAAAGTCTGGTCTACCTGTTCTGGTCACTGTTAAGTTGCCAAGTGAAGTCAAAATATGTGGACAATGTAATGGATGCATTGTAATGGATATATTTTTCATGAGATAAATTTATTCTCATTACAGTTCCTACAATTGCAAGGACAATTATCTGCAACTAGTCTTGGCAAACAAGAGTCTTCAGGTTGGTGATCCTTAGTGTTACTTAAAAGATTCCTATAGGGAAAATTTCTTTGAAACGACGGAAGAAGTGATGGGAACTTGTAATTCATGAGATATGATGTCCTTTGGATTTCAAGGGATTTCCTACAGGGAGAGGTTGCAGGGACTTCACGCTTGTGTATGACGTCCTTAACAACATTTTCCTAACTAAGAAAAACTTACTGATCCCAGTCCCCTAATTTTAGAGGAACTGAGGAGGACTACGACAGATGCACCCATGACTGATCATTTGGTAATGTAGCTAAGAGGGGAGGGGTTCAGAATGTGTGAGACCCCCCCCCCCCACCCCGTCCGTCCCCTTGATACAGGAAAAGTTTAATTTACTAAGTAAAAAAATCAACTTGATTCCTCTCTCCTTCAATGCAGTTAAGACTCTAGTATAGAACTCCTTTCTACAAGAAGATCCTTTCCAAGCTATGGAATGAGGGAGGTGGGGGGGGGGGAATTTTAATTTGATCAAGATGCATGCTATCTCTAGTTATTTTTTTAAAGAAGTTTGCGAGTTGTCGGCTCTTCTTTTTGCGATGTTATGAGAACAGAAGATCAATACAGGAAGTGGATAATGAAAACACCGGAAGCTTAAAAAAAATTACCTTCGCAAAGAAATGTAAAATCCACGTTTTCCCTATCCCTCGGGAAATTCCTTTACTGAACAGTTCCGTTCCCAGAGCCACTCGTTTACATTCGCCGAAGAACCTTAAAAGCAAATAATTTTCTGGGAACGAGAATATTGTCTGCCCGGTTTTGTGATGATTTCAACAACAGAAAAGCACATTGGCAACGTTTTTCAAGCACAGGCATTTCTAGAGTATTCGCAAATTCTCAGTAAATCGGAACAGGAACTTTAATATTTCTCAGAATTGATGCCATATCTATCTTAAAATAACGAACCAATGAAATTACCGCAAATATGCATTTTATTAGTCTTTCACGTCATGCGGCAAATTCCAGAGAAAAATCAAACAGAAAGAGTGAATTTCTGAGGATTGAGAATTCACTGTGAATTACGTCTTCTTCGCAATTAAGGGATACTCTGAGCTTTTAAGTCTCACTGATCGTTGTTGTTTTTCTGTTCGTGGATAAGAACATGTAACTCGCCTAAAGGTAAGTTAAAGCTGCAGTCCTGTAGCCAAGTTTAGCAAAACCACTCTGAAACAATCGTTTCGATCGTAAGCACGCTTTTAGCTAGAGTTACATTTAGTGATCACTATAATTACTATAATTCAAACAGAATTCGAACAGGATTCTTATTTATATATGTCTTCTTTACTTAAATTTTATATTTATATAGATACATGCTTGTATGCAAAATTTTTCAGTGTGTATATTGCATAGTATTGAATATTTATATCCTTTGCTTTAATGCTAGAATGATCTTGGGTGGTCTAAACAAGAGTAATTCATCAGAGTAATTCATCAGGGTAATAGTAATAATAATAATAATAACGACTTATTGACTTTATTTGTATATGGTAGCTCTAAATCCGTCATACTAACTAAAAACTAACGACTTACATAATGCATAATGCACATAATGTTATTCAAGAAACCTTCACTATTTACATAAAGTACTTAAAAACTGTTAAACGTGGTCGATGAGCCTCAAAGAGGAACGGTAAAGAAACCGGTCAAGAACACTTTTTCAAAGTTAAATAGAAGTCCTGAGTGATTGTTATCATTTTACGGTCAACTATGAGTAAATAATTGCGAAAAAATTTGACTCAACTCTTGGAGAGCCTGTTTGGGCAGGCAGGCAGGCATAACGAGAGGGCCAAAGGTTCATCGGGTTTTTTTAATTTCAATTTTGCCTACTAATAAACTTGAGCGTACAGATCGATGACAACTGGAAAAAAAACTTTGGCACTAAACCTTACAATACAGCATGATTTGCCTTTTTTTGTTGATTTAATGCAGCTGGTTAATTTAAGTTTCACCAAGTAAGATGCTACAGCAAAGTACTTATTTTCACTCTCACAAAACAGATGTCACGTAACTATAAAAATTACCCGAGGGATTTACGAAGTAAGCTCAATGCTTCTTCACACCATCGGAAGCGAAAGTCTGAACATGTCCCGCGGATGGATGACGCCCCGAAACGAAGACGAACGAGGGAAGACAAGGGTAATGTGACTCGGCCTATCAGCTTCAAAGAGTTGGAAAAAATCAGCAGAGAATCATCACCAGCCTTAAAGCTCATCAGTAAAGCGGAAAGGTTCGAGGCGCTGTTGGCTTCAGAGAAGTTAAGCAACGAGGAATCGAACCCAGAGTTTCTAAAGCTGGTTATTTGTGCTTTTCATCTTCTATGCTCAGCAAACAACCTCATCGCCGAGAACGCTGACAGGATTTTACGTTCTCCCACTGCGAAGAATTTCATTGCAGGGACGGTTTTATCGAGTTTTATCAACGAAATGCCTCATGCTAACCATTGGAAAGACGAAAATGATCGTCTTTGCACAGTGGGTAATCTCACGGAAATTTTTGTCGCATTTCTTCAGAAATTTGGCAAAGATCTTGTTTACAAGCTACCACTGGCACAGCTTAACACGTCGTTGAAGGAGCTGAAAGAGATGAACCTGGTCCAAGATATCGATCATCTTGACGAGAAGATCCAGCAATTGGAAGAATTGAGAAATGAAGCAATTCGTTGTGCAAAGTTTGCAAATGATCAGAAGTCACAAGGTGAACCACCAGAAAACTTCAGAGAGTTAAGCGTCATCCCTCAAGTAGAAGATTTAATTTCCAGACCCTTCCTTCGCGAAAACATCACCGACAGAAGGTTTAAAGACTTGGACCACTATTTAGATGTACAGTTTCGTCTCCTGAGGGAGGACTTTGTGAAACCTCTTCGTGATGGAATACATCAACTGAAAAAGAGCAGTGCCCTGGAACCTAATCATGACTACAAACTTAAACGCGCCAATGAAATTCATGTTTATCATGACGTCACCATCCAGTTTCCCGTGTGTGGCAGAAAAAGCCGACTTTACAAAATCAGGTTTGACTCATCTCATCAAAAAGTAGCGCAAGTGAACTGGGAGCGAACTAAACGACTGAAGTACGGAACACTGCTTTGTCTTTCGGCAGACGACTTTAATACGTTACTATTCGCTACGGTGGAAAATCCAGATTCCAAGGAACTTAAAGACGGACTATTGGAGGTACGTTTCGGGAACGTTAGCTCGGAGGAAGTGAACCAGTTTGTCGAGGAAAAGCAGATCTTTGTCATGATAGAGTCTCCAGCCTATTTTGAATCTTACAGACACGTGCTTGAAGCTCTCAAGGAGATAAACTCAGAGTTTCCTTTCCAGAGGCAGATTGTGGAGTGCTGCGGGGATGTCGAGCCACCTGAGTATCAAATGCAGGAAGAATACGACAGCAAGTTCAAGTTTCATTTTGATGGCGTCTTAGATGCAAAAAGGGAGGTATATTCAGAACCTCTTGAGTTGGCTGAACAGCAAAATTCCCCATCTGCCATGGAAATTGTGCCGAATGCCTCGGCGGGTGTGGAAATACCTATGGAGAACGAGATTCCTTCAACTGTACAAGAGGGTAAGTGTACCCCAAACGACCAATGTTGGCCAGACAAGGAAAGTCTTGGGCTCAATGAATCGCAGATGCGCGCATTCAAAATGGCGCTGACCAAAAGGTTAGCCGTAATTCAAGGACCGCCAGGGACTGGAAAGACATATGTGGGTTGGAAGATTGCACGTGTTCTTTTACAAACCCTCTCTCTCTGGGAGGATGCGAAGGAACGGACACCAATCTTAATGGTGTCCTATACAAATCACGCCTTGGACCAGTTTCTGGAAGGAGTCCTGTCAACAACGAAAAGTAAGATGTGTTTGATTTTTTTGTTATTATCATTATTATTATTATTATTATTATTATTATTGAAGCCAGTGGCGATCAATATAAACTCTACCTTCCCTAGAAAAAAGAATCCAGATTTACGGCAAATGATAAATATTATGTCCTGCATTGTAGAAGTAAGGATGGTTCTTTTTTGAGAACATCGTGATCCACTGAACAGTTTTCCATTGTTGTCGCCAACTAATTTGTGAAAGTTAAGTCCCAGCAATGAGTCTCCATCGAGTTTAAATTTTAAATTCTTTTAAAAGAATTATTGTTTTATCTAGTTACTCAGCAAATACCTTAAATAAAGCTGACTAAGTTTTTTCTGTGTCATTTTTAGATGTCATTCGTGTTGGTGGCCGTAAAATTAGCGGAAAACTTGAAAATTATTCCTTGAAGAACCATCGTAGGGAAATGCGTTGGAAAAAAGTGGTTCCAGATGAAATTTACAGAGCCAGATTAAAGACTGGAGAAGACACTGTGAAGCAAAAGTTCTTCTCCGAAAGGTCTTTCGATATTTTACGAAGTTTGAGAACCAGTGTGGTGTCCATGAAAGTCCTTGGTCATCATGATTATGCGCTGAAAGCACATTACTCCCAACTTAGTGAAGCTGGACCGGAATCAATTGACGAAGCTCTTCTCGACTGGCTACGAATTCAAAGGCGAGATGAACGTAAACAAGAATTCCCTCTCCTTGGCGATTTGGAGGGGGAAGCGTATGGTTATGGCTATGGTGCAGCTTTTGACAACGAGCCTTTTGATGACAAAGACCTCAACCACATCGCTCATGAAATAGCAATCCTCTCGCCTGAAGACGCCACCAACCCTGAGGAGGTGAAACGAAATATTTTAAGTGAAGGGCTCATGACAGGAGACGAGGAGATGTATCTTGATGATATTTACCGGTTGAACACAAAAGATCGCTGGAGACTTTACAGGCTGTGGAGAAAGAGGGCAGAGGAACATCATGAAAAGCTCTTCAAAACGAGGCAAGGCGAGTATGATCAAGCTGTAGAAAGAAAGCAGGAGATCGCTAGAATGGAAGAATACGAAATTCTTTGCAAAGCATGTGTCATTGGCATGACGACCACGTGTGCCGCAAAATACCGCAGCATTCTCAAGGAGATCCGCCCCAGGATCGTCATAGTCGAAGAAGCCGCTGAAGTACTGGAGGCTCACATCATTGCGTCATTGACCCCGGGCTGTCAGCATTTGATTTTAATCGGTGACCATAAGCAGCTGAGACCCACCCCCGCAGTCTATGATTTAGCCAAGAGGTACAAGTTGGATGTGTCCTTGTTTGAGCGAATGGTGAATGTTGGAATTCAGTGTGAGATGCTAAACGTGCAGCATCGTATGAGACCTGAAATTGCCACCTTGATGAAACACATTTATGACGATCTTGAAAATCATGAGTCGGTGGAGAAATATGAAGATATCAAAGGAATGAAGAAGAACATGTTCTTTATCAACCACAAATATATAGAAGAGTCTGGTAATCAGTCGCACAGCCATGTCAATGAGCACGAAGCCAAGTTTTTGGTCGCGCTATGTCGATATTTATTACAGCAAGGATACAAAGCCGATCAAATTACCCTGCTGACAACCTACACGGGACAGATGTACGCCATTAGAGACTGCCTTCAAGAAGAAGATGCCATCAGAGAATCTCTTAAGGCTGAAAACGATCCATCCGTCGGATGTGTGCGTGTGACAACAGTTGACAACTTCCAAGGTGAAGAAAACGACATCATCCTTCTGTCGCTCGTGCGCAGTAACAAAGATGAGAAAGTCGGATTCATCAAGATTGTCAACCGGGCATGCGTTGCTCTCTCGCGTGCAAGGAAAGGTTTCTACTGCATTGGAAATTTTGGCCTTCTCTCAAAACACAGTGACATTTGGAAGAAGATTGTTACAGATTTGAAGGCTAGTGGCAGTATTGGAAACGTCTTGCCCGTCGTTTGTCAAATCCACAACGATGAAATCAGCGTTAAAACAGCAGAAGATTTTAACACAAAAGTTCCCAAGGGAGGGTGTCAACGACCATGTGCAGTACGCCTGAAATGCGGTCATGCGTGCACGTTGGAATGTCATCCTTGTGATAGAGATCACGTGGAATTTCGCTGTCAAAAGCCCTGTAGAAATAAAAGGGCAAGATGTGACCATACGTGCCCAAAGCGTTGCTGGGAGGTCTGTGAGCAAAATTGTGAAATAAAAGTTGAGAAACAGTTGCCAATCTGTGGTCACACTATGCTGGTAAGATGCGACACTAATCCCGAGAGGATTAAATGCCAAAAACGGTGTGAGAAGGACCTTCCATGTGGTCATAGGTGTCAAAGAAAATGCAGAGAAAGCTGCACCAAGAAATGCCACGAGATTGTCAAGAAAACCGATTGGCTTTGTGGACATCTCGCCTCTATCGCCTGCTCGGCAACTCCTGCTGATTGTTCTCATCCTTGTGAAGCCACGTTGGAATGTGGTCACACGTGCTCTGGTACTTGTGGCGAGTGTCGCATGGGTCGTATTCACAAGCGATGCAAAGAGCATTGTGGTCGTGTTCTGATTTGTTCCCATTCGTGCATGTCGTATTGTAAAGAGTCGTGTCCGCCGTGTAGCGCAAAGTGTGAAAACCTGTGCGGGCACAGTGAATGCCCAGAAAAGTGTGGAGAGCCGTGTACACCTTGTCACGAGGAATGTCTTTGGAAGTGTCCTCATCACGCTTGTACCAAGAAGTGCAGTGAGATGTGTGATAGACTAAGATGTAACGAACCATGCAACCAAGTATTGTCTTGTGGCCACGATTGCTGTGGTTTGTGCAAAGAAGAGTGCATTTGTGCTGAGTGCACCCCAGTAAGAGAGATTTTCTTCGGGGAGGAGGAAAACGAATCTGCTCGGTTCATCAAGCTTCCAGACTGCCAGCATGTCTTTGAAGTAACTGGCCTGGATAGGTATGAAGTAACAGTATGCTTTAAATATAAGAGAAAGCAATAGGATTATACCTATCATCCACGCACTTAGGTATACATTCTTTGACTTATCAAGGCAACAACCAGGAAAAGGTTACGTATGTCTCCCTCTTTTGTTCGGAGAGAAATTTCATAGTTCGACTTTGGTGCTGATAGTAGCCTTGAAGTAGAGGTTGGAAGGGAGAGGGTGGGGTCGTGTTATTTTTATTACCATTATTGCATATAATACTGATTGACACCGAATGATTGGAAAAACTTGGGCGCATATCGAGACAGGTTTTTGCGAGTTTCACACTGGCCACCGGGAAAGCTTGCATGACTTTCCTGTCTTTTGGCTCTCTAAACGTTCTCCGTGTAATTTCTGTGTCATTCTTTTCGTGACTTGCGGAGAGAAGAGACATTACAAAGGGTGGAGAATGTCTCTCTTAAATATGTTTAAATGAGGCTATGTAAACACGAGAACGATCTCCATTAAAGATGTTTGAAAAGATATGCAGGTAAACGTCTTAACAGTGTCTACATACGGGCTCTCATCTTAACACACTTATCGATCAGCGAGGGTGCACACTGTTTCTAGGCTAGTTCAAATTGCCAGTCTTCTTCTCATGTGATTTTACATTAAACGGGACATGTCGCTGTGCAGAGCTGTGCAGGATATTAGTGCGAGTCACTTTTAGTGATGCCTAATTTTTCTTCTTGTTCAAAGCTGGATGGACCAAAATGATGGTGTGATTAAGCGAAAGCAGTGTCCGCGGTGTAATACGCCAGTCCGCAAGAGCCTGCGATACGGAAATGTCATCAAACAGCAGCGACAAGACATCGAGCGAGTGAAAAGAGAATTGATGGGAAACAAGACGGAATTGGAAAAGAAGAAAAGAAGCCTGTTCTTTCGTGCCTGTGAGATGTTACAGACGGTTGACCAAAGTGTCAAAGCATACTTGGAAAAACGAAAAAACAGCATAATGAAAACAACAAAGTCTGAGATGAAAGCCGCAATCATTGAAAACCAGCTGATGTTGATACAGCGTTTGGACTCGACAGGAAAGAAAATGCAAAGCGTTCTAGGAACGGTGTCTCCAGAGGACTGCTCTGAAAAGAAGTTACAGCGTAAGTTGAGATTTTAACACCAAAGCATTTTAAGTATTTGATCAATGAGCTCACTGTATTTATGAGAATCCAAGCTCTGCAATTTCACTAAACTTGACATGCAGCTTCCAAAAAGCTTACCAAGTTCGTCTGTATTATCAACAGACCAGCGATTAACCGAGGAGCTTGGCTACCTAAAGAAGCGGCTTCTGTCTGACAGGGTAGGGCATCTAGAGCTACAAGACATAAACACCGAATTCTCGAGACTCAATCTTCAACTGGAGCTGTATTCGCTGAACCGTGACATCAGGAGCCTGGAAGTGGAATTAGACGAACCTTCCCGCCAAATGATGACTGCAATACAAAAGGAACTGTCCGGCGGTCAGCGCATAGCAGACGAAGAACTGGATAAACTAGTGAATGACATTGCAACTATACGGTTTGTTTTAAACCCTAGAGGGAAATGTCCTCAAACAGTAACATTTCGACTCAAAAAATGACTTTCCCTTGCAGAAAGTAATTTTGTAAGGATCGCTTGAGCTTAATGACTGAAAAGTTTTTAAAGATGTTCAGCGATACTCAAACCTTGATGTGCTCCACGACATAAGTAGTATTAAAAAGAGAGTGAGCTTATTGAATCGACTTCTGCATTTTGGTAATTTTTGTTAAGGTATCATCAGACTCAGTGTAACTCATGCCTAGCCTTCATCGTGAAGATAGAAAAGCTTTTCCAAAAGAGTGTGTCTGAACTGATTTTCAAAGAAACTTATGGTGGCTGGTTATTTTAGTTACGCAGTTATTTTGCTCAAAGTGAGATACTATTATGGGACTTGAGACTGAAAAATTGTTTCTTGTCTAGGACATCCAATCCCCGATTTAAAAAATTGACGCCAGAAGAAAAAGAACAGATCGTGACTGCCATGAACCTTAAACCCGGTCATTGGTTCAAATGTCCCCAGGGACATATCTACGTCATTACCGAGTGTGGCGGCGCTATGGAGAAAAGCAAGTGTCCTGATTGCGGAGCTGTGATTGGTGGAGAAAATCACGATCTTGTAGGAGACAACCAATTAGCGTCTGAGATGGATGGTGCAAAGTACCCTGCCTGGTCTGAACATGCAAACTTAGCTAACTATGGAAACTTAGATGAAATAGTGTGACTTTTTCGTTACTAGAGCTCACTTAGATTGAGTGTCGTTCGAAGAAAACCACGTTTATCATAACAGCCATTCAGCAGTGTAGAAAAATTTTAGAAGCCAGCGAGAATATAAATGAAAAGCGCGGGAAAACGAGTGACTACGTCGTGACCGATTTTAGTTTTGCATTTGATTGGTTAAGAAGTTGGCTCGAGTTTTCTAAAGCAATCAAAGAGCGAAGTAAGGCAAAAGCAATGTAGTCCCTGATCACATCTGACACTCATTGAAATTTTGTCAAGATGAATAATCCACAAAACTATTATATTGCTTTGATTTATAGCTTTTGATGGTGATAGGCAAATTAATTATTTTTCCTGACGGCAATATTTCAGTGAAACATTCTTTTGGTAACTTGCAAGGAATATTTTATGACTTGATTCCAAAGTTCATCTTATATTGACCGTAGGTAACAAAACTTTATAGGAATAACGTGTAATAGCCTGTTATTCCAATCTTTTTCTCTCTTTTTTTTCTACAATAATCAAGACACAGTGATTTAAAGATAAGAGCTTAGACACGAATAGTCCATAGAACTCATTATTAGAAAAGCTATATGATAAACAGCTGTAACAATAGCGTGACCGGAAGTGAGAGGGGGGCATAAGTGCCCTGTCATCCGTTGTCAGATGATTTTTTTTTTTTACAATCAATAATTTAAAAATAAAAAAATTCAGGTAAAATGCATGGCTGGATGTGTCAGGTGGGGCGGCTCTCTGTGTGGAGAGACAGTTCTCACCCATCCCCCCCCCTTTATAAATGTTAACTATGCCTCTTTCTGGGGTAAACGTCTCTTTAGTGCATGTTTAAAAATTCGTAATGGATTCTGTCGTGGCAATGTTAGCCAAAAGTATTCAGATTGGCAGGCCATTTCGAGGAAATTAAAACTTTCCTCATCATCTTAAATCCAAGTTGATTGCTGATTAAAATAATTCGAGAAGTACCTGATATTGTTAGACATAGAGTCTGCTGTAAAGGAAGGGTTCTGTGTACATGTTATTTGTTGTTTTATGGATTTGTAATGGTAATAGGACTGAGTGGAATCCAATTTGGTTTGCAATCATATGAGTGATAAGAAATGGGATGACTGCGTAAAAAATTTAAATTTCCAAGAAAAGAAGAATAGCCAAATTATGAAAGAAAGGGAAAATTTGCATTAACCCTTTAACTACTAGTAGTGATTACCATGTAACTTCTGCCAATAGTATTTATATATTATACAGCAAACAGGTAATGAGAACACTCAAACTCATCAGGTACAATTTATTACCTTGATTGAACACCTGATTCTCATAATTAATTTACAAGGAAATTTGTAGTAGCTGGAGGGGAGAATTGATGATCAGATCTTGGGAGTTAAAGGGTTAATTAATAGACTTGTAAGCTGATCACGTCAAAATAAGGTTTTTATCAGGGCTAAAATGAAATTACCTGGTGATTTATAAAAACTTGATTATAAGGCCTTACACTTAACCCTTTAACTCCCAGAAGTAATCAACATGTAAATTCTCCCTGTAATATCCTCACCTCATCCAACAAACAGATCATGGGAAAATTCAAACTTATCTGGTAGAAGTTGTTAATGTAACACTAAATTGTCATTACTAATTTACAAAGAAATGTGTAGCTTCTGGAAGGGAGAATCAACAATCAGATCTTGGGAGTTAAAGTGTTAAAAACCAACATGTAGTGATGTTCCTTTTTGATTTGTTCCTTTTTCTGAAATTTTAGTTTTTTTTTCTCAGTTCTGATGATTAAGAAAAGATTGAAAAAGATTAAACTTTTCTTTGTCAGATTTAAAATAAATGGGTTAATGTCTGGGTTTAAAAAAGAAATGTTTTCTACTGGGTTGGTTTAAATATTTTGGGTCTCAAATTACTTTAAGTGAATGATAAGATGATATTTAATATTTGATTAAGGCTACATGAAGTTCTTCTTAAACTTGGAATTTCTAAAGGATAGATTTTACTAATACTAATAAAATATTAAATTCTCAATGATATTTTAGGCTGTGCATAAGTATTGAGTATTTGTACACACTTTATTTCTGAAAGGGTTAAGTTTTTGTAAAGTTATGCATTTGAAATCATGAATTATGTAAATGGCTCTCTCTGTGCAATCAAAGAAAAAAGTGAATACAGTTACTGTTAGTATCAAAAAAAGTTCTTGAGGTGTCAATGGGCACTTTACAACTAGTCAAGATGTGCAGACCAGACTGGCTAGGTAAACAAGTTGTCAACAGGGTTTTTTCCAGAGTCCCTTGACTTTTTGTAAATATTCCACTGGCATGAAGAGGCTGGTAAGTATGATAATTTGGTCACACAGTACTCGTTGATCACAGGTTTCTCATCCTGTTAAAACAATTCTGGTCTCCCTGTTCTGGTTACTGTGATAAGTGCCCAAGTAAAGTCAAAATATGTGGGTAATGTCCACCATATGGTGATATTGTTCTTAAGAGAAATTTTTCTTATTACAGTTTCTACAATTGCAGGGACAAGTCCCTGCAACTAGTCTTGGCATACAAGAGTCCACAGGTTAGTGATCCTTAGAGTTCACTAAAAGTTTTCTTTGAGGAAAATTTCTTTGAATTGATGAAAGAAGTGATTGGAACTTGTAATTCACAAGATATGATGTCCTTTGTATTTCAAGTGTGTACTGCAGGATGAAGTTGCAGGGACTTCCCCCTTGTGTATGACATCCTTATCAACATTTATTCCTAACTGAGAGAAACTTATCCCAGTCCCTGAATTCTTGAGGAACTGAGGAAGACTGAGACAGATATGCCCATAACAGACCATTTGGTAGTGTAAGTAAGAGGGGAGGGGTTCAAAATATGTGGAACCCTGCCCACCCCCCTTCCCCTTCCCCTTCCCCCCCCTCCTTCTCAAGGAAAAGTGTAACTTACAAAGTGCAAAAAAAACAACAACAACAACGTCACCTCCACCAAAATGTAAATAAGACTTAAATATAGGACTCCTCTCTATAGGAGGATCCTTTCTCAATCATGAAATGAGAAGGTTGTGCGGGGAATTTCATTTAATTTCAATGAATGTATGGAAAGCTGACAAAAGTTACACTGACACAAAAATATGAATAATAAGAATATTGACTGGCCATCTATTTTGGTCACAATGCCTAGGAAATTTTCACTTCCGTCACTCACTGAAGGAAAATTTTCCACCTGGAAGTGGATTATAGCACCATGGCAACAATTTCCAAGCACTGACTTTTGATTCGCATGAAAGTGGAACAAGAACGGAGATATTTCTCAGAATCGATGAAGAATGTGTCTAAAAATAACAGACCTATAAAAATACCGAAAATATGCATTTTGTCAAGTGTTTCTCGCCAGGTGGCCGGACGAGACCATTTTTGCATTAATTATCGTAAGGACTACAAGGCGTACCGGAAGTAGAATCTCAAATGCCAGAGGCGATATAATGTTGTTCGTGTCCATAATTCTTAAACCTTTTCCTCATTCCCCGACACAGAATGAATCAGTTTGGTGGTGATGGTTTTGTTAACTTCTATTTAGAAATATATGTTTGTAAAATAAAAATTTCTTCTAAGAATTCTCAGAAACCGGAGAGAAACAGAACTGTTTCTCAGAATCGATGACGCACAAGTGTTTGAATAACAGACCAATCACATGGCAGAAGTTTCACATTTTTGACATCCTTAATTACTGTACTTCCAATCCATTGACTTTGTTGATTTCCGCAGCTGAAGAGCAATTTGCGGAAACTAGTATAGCACGCAAAATTTTCCTCGTGAAACAAAGTTGACCTCAGCTTGGCTTCCATGACGTTTTGAACTTGTAATTTCAAGGTAGGTTTTTTAAAAACTTTGGTGATGCTGTTAATCAGGATCTCTTCTAGAATCGCTCGAGGAATGTTTGTACTAAATTCTCTAAGAACCTGCAAAACTGACCAACAGCCTTCGAGCAACTAAATGATACGTTCGAGGAAACATTATTGACTCAGATATAGCCGTTTTAAAGAGCTTTGTACTTCTGTGAAATACCAAAATGTGTGGATTGAATCTATATATTGGGCTGTCTCTAAAAGCTTACCGATAACGATCATTAGTTTCGTTTCAATCCTTTCTTCAGGTTTCATCAATTCCTCTTAAGAAGAGATGCTTTTAAACCTTGAACGCTCTACAGAAAAGGGATTTTTTTAACTCGTAGTCAGTAGTTATTGTTTGATTTATAATCTTTGAAAACTTCGCCTTTTAAACTGGATTCGATTTAGTTCATATTTTATGAACCACTGGCACATGGAAGTTTCGGGGAATGCATCTATTGTATCCGCAGTTATTCTAGCAACTTCATTTATTCGACCAAACTTTTAAGCGAAAATTTCGTGAGAAATAAACGTTTTTTATCAGACAGTGTTGCCCTTTGCACTGCGGCATTTTATAGCGACTATCATAAAAAAACCTTTGTTTAGATCAGATAAAAGGCGAAAGTTGTTAGTCAAATAAGAACGATTTCGTATTGTTTGAATAGTGTTTTTTTGGTAGAGAGTCCAAAATTTACTTCGCTAAAATTTGCATTTTCTATTTTGTGTTGTAAAACCACAGTTCATGTTCGCAGTGACATATCGCTTTGACATCTTGCAGTCTTTTCTTTTGTAAATTAGTTTAAGTGCTTATACCACCCGTTGTTGGGAAATAGTGTGAGTGCCGAATTCAACTTAGTTTTTTTGTCTCCTTGTCTCAACACTCTTTTGCAATTACTGTGAGTGTTATGAACAGGTTCTTTTTTTTTTTTATTTATTTCCGTCACTTGTGTCCAAAACATGAAGAAGGGTACCCCTGTTTTCATAATACGTTGGTAAGAATTAGTGTTTCTGCTCACCTTCTCAATTTCGCAAAACAGATGCCACGTCCCTATCAACATTACCCGAGGGATTTACGAAGTAAGCTCAATGCTTCTTCGCAGCATCGGAAGCGAAAGTCCGAACATGTCCCGAGGATAGATGACGCCCCGAAACGAAGACGAACAAGGCAAGACAAGGGTAATGTGACTCGGCCTATTAGCTTCAAAGAGTTGGAACAAATCAGCAGACAATCATCGCCAGCTTTAAAGCTCATCAGTAAAGCGGAAAGGTTCGAGGCGCTGTTGGCCTCAGAGAAGTTAAGCAACGAGGAATCGAACCCTGTGTTTCTAAAGCTGGTTATTTCTGCTTTTCATCTCCTATGCTCAGCAAACAACCTCATCGCCGAAAATGTCGACAGGATTTTACGTTCTCCCACTGTAAAGAATTTCATTGCAGGAAAGGTTTTATCGAGTTTTATCAATGAAATGCCTCATGCTAACCACTGGAGAGACGAAAATGATCGTTTTTGCACAGTGAGTAATCTGACGGTAATTTTTGTCACATTTCTTCAGAAATTTGGTAAAGATCTTGTTTACAAGCTACCACTGGCACAGCTTAACACGTCGTTGAAGGAGCTGAAAGAGATGAACCTGGTCCAAGATATCGATCATCTTGACGAGAAGATCCAGCAATTGGAAGAATTGAGAAATGAAGCAATTCGTTGTGCAAAGTTTGCAAATGATCAGAAGTCACAAGGTGAACCACCAGAAAACTTCAGAGAGTTAAGCGTCATCCCTCAAGTAGAAGATCTAATTTCCAGACCCTTCCTTCGCGAAAACATCACCGACAGAAGGTTTAAAGACTTGGACCACTATTTAGATGTACAGTTTCGTCTGCTGAGGGAGGACTTTGTGAAACCTCTTCGTGATGGAATACATCAACTGAAAAAGAGCAGTGCCCTGGACCCTAATCATGACTACGAACTTAAACGCGCCAATGAAATTCATGTTTATCATGACGTCACCATCCAGTTTCCCGTGTGTGGCAGAAAAAGCCGACTTTACAAAATCAGGTTTGACTCATCTCATCAAAAAGTAGCGCAAGTGAACTGGGATCGAACTAAACGACTGAAGTATGGAACACTGCTTTGTCTTTCAGCAGACGACTTTAATACGCTGCTATTCGCTACAGTGGAAAATCCAGATTCTGAGGAACTTAAAGACGGACTATTGGAGGTACGTTTCGGGGACGTTACCTCGGAGGAAGTGAACCAGTTTCTTGAGGAAAAGCAGATCTTTGTCATGATAGAGTCTCCAGCCTATTTTGAATCTTACAGACACGTCCTTGAAGCTCTCAAGGAAATAAATTCTGAGTTTCCTTTCCAGAAGCAGATTGTGGAGTGCTGCGGGGATGTCGAGCCACCTGAGTATCAAATCCAGGAAGAAAACGACAGAAAGTTCGAGTTTCATTTTGATGGCGTCTTAGATGCAAAGAGGGAGGCATATTCAGAACCTCTTGAGTTGGCTGAACAGCAGAATTCCCCATCTGCCATGGAAATTGTGCCGAATGCCTCGGCGGGTGTGAAAACACCTATGGAGAACAAGATCCCTTCAGCTGTACAAGCGGGTGTACCCCCCAGTGTACCCCAAACGACCATTGCTGGCCAGACAGGGAAAGTCTTGGGCTCAATAAATCGCAGATGCACGCATTCAAAATGGCGCTGACCAAAAGGCTAGCTGTAATTCAAGGACCGCCAGGGACTGGAAAGACATATGTGGGTTGGAAGATTGCACGTGTTCTTTTACAGACCCCCTCTCTCTGGGAGGATGCGAAGGAACGGACACCAATCTTAATGGTGTCCTACACAAATCACGCCTTGGACCAGTTTCTGGAAGGAGTCCTGTCAACAACGAAAAGTGAGATGTGTTTGATTTTATTATTATTATTATTATTATTATTATTGAAGCCAGCGGCGATTAATATAATCTCTACCTTCCCTGAAAAAAGGATTCAAGATTTACTGCAAGTGATAAATATTATGTCTTGCAATGTAGAACTAAGGAGGGTTCTTTTTCAAGAACTTTGTGATCCACTGAACAGTTTTTCATTGTTGTTTCCAACAACTGAAAGTTTAGTCTCAGCAATGACTCTCCATCGGGTCAAAATTTTAAATTATTGTAAAAGAATTATTGTTTTATCTAGTTACGTGGCAAATACTTATAATAAAGCTGAATAAGTTTTTCTGTATCATTTTTAGATGTCATTCGTGTTGGTGGCCGTAAAATTAGTCGAACACTTGAAAACTATTCCTTGAAGAATCGTCGTTGGGAAATGCATTGGAAAAAAGTGGTTCCAGATGAAATTTACAGAGCCAGATTGAAGACTGAAAATGACACTCTGAAGCAAAAAGTCTTCTCCGAAAGGTCTTTCGATATTTTACGAAGTTTGAGAACCAGCGTGGTGTCCATGAAAGTCCTTGGTCATCAAGATTATGCGCTGAAAGCACATTACTCCCAACTTAGTGAGACTGGACCGGAATCAATTGACGAAGCTCTTCTCGACTGGCTGCGAATTAAAAGGCGAGATGAACGTAAACAAGAATTCCCTCTTTATGGCGATTTGGAGGGGGAAGCGTATGGACATGGCTATGGTGCAGCTTTTGACAATGAGCCCATTCATGACAAAGATCTCAGCGACATCGCTCATAAAGTAGCAATCCTCTCGCCAGAAGACGCGACCTACCCTAAGGAGGTACAACGAAATATTTTAAGTGAAGAGCTCATGACAGGAGACGAGGAGATGTATCTTGATGATATTTACCGGTTGGAAACAAAAGATCGCTGGAGACTTTACAGGCTGTGGAGAAAGAGGGCAGAGGAATATCATCAGAAGCTCTTCCTAACGAGGCAAAACGAGTATGATCAAGCTGTAGAAAGAGAGCAGGAGATCATTAGAATGGAAGAATACGAAGTTCTGCGTGAGGCATGTGTCATTGGCATGACGACCACGTGTGCCGCAAAATACCGCAGCATTCTCAAGGAGATCCGCCCCAGGATCGTCATAGTCGAAGAAGCCGCTGAAGTACTGGAGGCTCACATCATTGCGTCATTGACCTCAGGCTGTCAGCATTTGATTTTAATCGGTGATCATCAGCAGCTGAGACCCACCCCCGCAGTCTATGATTTAGCCAAGAGGTACAAGTTGGATGTGTCCCTGTTTGAGCGAATGGTGAATGTTGGAATTCAGTGTGAGACGCTAAACGTACAGCATCGTATGAGACCTGAAATCTCTGCCTTGATGAAACACATTTATGACGATCTAGAGAATCACGAGTCGGTGGAGAAATATGAAGATATCAAAGGAATGAAAAAGAACATGTTCTTTATCAATCACAACTACATGGAAGATTCTTGTAATCAGTCGCACAGCCACGTGAATGAGCACGAAGCCAAGTTTTTGGTCGCGCTATGTCGACATTTAATGCAGCAAGGATACAAAGCCGATCAAATTACCCTGCTGACAACCTACACGGGACAGATGTACGCCATTAGAGACTGCCTTCAAGAAGAAGATGCTATCAAGGAACCCCTTAAACCTGAAAACGATTCATCCTTCAGAGATGTGCGTGTGACAACAGTTGACAACTTCCAAGGTGAAGAAAACGACATCATCCTTCTGTCGCTCGTGCGCAGTAACAAAGATGAGAAAGTCGGATTCATCAAGATTGTTAACCGCGCATGCGTTGCTCTTTCGCGTGCAAGAAAAGGTTTCTACTGCATTGGAAATTTTGGACTTCTCTCAAAACACAGTGACATTTGGAAGAAGATTGTTACAGATTTGAAAGCTAGTAGCAGTATTGGAAACGTCTTGCCCGTCGTTTGTCAAATCCATAACGATGAAATCAGTGTTAAAACAGCAGAAGATTTTAATACAAAAGTTCCCATGGGAGGGTGTCAACGACCATGCACGGTGCGCCTGAAATGCGGTCATGCGTGCCCGTTGGAATGTCATCCTTCTGACACAGATCACATGGAATTTCGCTGTCAAAAACCCTGTGAAAAGAAAAAGGCAAGATGTGACCACACGTGCCCAAAGCGTTGCTGGCAGGTCTGTGAGCAAAATTGTGAAATAGAGGTTGAGAAACAGTTGCCATTCTGTGGTCACACTAAGTTAGTAAGATGTGACACTAATCCCATAGTGATTAAATGCATAAAACAGTGTGAGAAGTACCTTCCATGTGGTCACAGATGTCAAAGAAAATGTGGAGAAAGCTGCACGGAGAAATGCCGCGAGATTGTCAAGAAAACCGATTGGCCTTGTGGACATCTAGTCTCTATCGCCTGCTCGGCAACTCCTAATGATTGTTTTCATCCTTGCGAAGCCACGTTGGAATGTGGTCACGCGTGCTCTGGTACTTGTGGCGAGTGTCGCATGGGTCGTATTCACAAACGATGCAAGCTGCATTGTGGTCGTGTTCTGATTTGTTCCCATTCGTGCATGTCGCGTTGTAAAGAGTCGTGTCCGCCGTGTAGCGCGAAGTGTGAAAACTTGTGCGGGCACAGTGAATGCCCAGAAAAGTGTGGAGAGCCGTGTACACCTTGCCAAGAGGAATGTCTTTGGAAGTGTCCTCATCACGCTTGTACCAAGAAGTGCAGTGAGATGTGTGAAAGACCAAGATGTAACGAACCATGCAACCAAGTATTGTCTTGTGGCCACGACTGCTGTGGTTTGTGCAAAGAAGAGTGCATTTGTGCTGAGTGTACTCCAGTGAGAGAGATTTTCTTCGGAACGGAGGAAAACGAATCTGCTCGGTTCCTCAAGCTTCCAGACTGCCAGCATGTCTTTGAAGTAACTTGCCTGGATAGGTATGAACTAACATTATGCTGTACATATTAGAAAAAGCAATAGGATCATACCTATCATCCACGCGCTTAGGTATACATTCGTGGACTTGTCAAGTTGACAACCAAGGAAAGGTTAGTTATGTCTCCCCCTTTCCTTCGGTAAGGAATTTCATCGTTCGACTGTTGTGCTGATAGTAGCCTAGTAGTCGATGTTTGAAGGGAGGTGGGGTTGTGTTATTTTTATTACCATTATTACATATGATACTGATTGACACCTAGTGCTTGCAAAAACTTGGGCGCCTATTGAGACAGGTTTTTGCAAATGATGAGCTTTGTGAACACGAGAACGATCTCTATTTAAAGATGTTTCTGACAAACCTTAAACGTCTTAACCGTGTATACATACCGGCTCTCATCTCAACACACTTATCGACTAACGAGGGTGCACGTTGTATTTAGGCTATTTTCAGTGTCGGTCTTCTTCTCGTGTGATTTTATATTAAACGGGACATGTCGCTGTGCAGAGTTATGCTGGATATTAATGCGAGCCATTTATGATGATGAATTCTTATATCAATTTTTCTTCTTGCTCAAAGATGGATGGACCAAGATGATGGTGTGATTAGGCGAAAGCAGTGTCTGCGATGTAATACGCCAGTCCGCAAGAGCCTGCGATACGGAAATGTCATCAAACAGCAGAAACAAGACATCGAGCGAGTGAAAAGAGAATTGATGGGAAACAAGATGGAATTGGAAAGGAAGAAAAGAAGCCTGTTCTTTCGTGCCTGTGAGATGTTACAGACGGTTGACCAAAGTGTCAAAGCATACTTAGAAAAACGGAAAAACAGTATATGGAAAACAGTGAAATCTGAGATGATAGCCGCCATCATTGAAAACCAGCTCATGCTGATTCAGCGTTTGTACTCGACAGGAAAGAAAATGCAAAGCGTTCTAGGAACGGTGTATCCAGAGGACTGCTCTGAAAAGAAGTTACAGCGTAAGTTGAGATTTTAACACCAAAGCATTTTAAGTATTTGATCAATGAGCTCAATGTATTTAGGAGAATTCAAGCTCTGCAATTTCACTAAATTTGATATGCAGCTTCCAAAAAGCTTACCAAGTACGTCTGTATTATCAACAGGCCAGCGATTAACCGAGGAGCTGAGCTACCTAAAGAAGCGGCTTCTGTCTGACAGAGTAGGGCAGCTAGAGCTGCAAGACATTAACACCGAATTCTCGAGACTCAATCTTCAACTGGAGCTGTATTCGCTGAACCGTGACATCAGGAGCCTCGAAGTGGAGTTAGACGAACCTTCCCGCCAAATGATAACTGCAATACAAAAGGAACTGTCCGGCGGTCAACGCATAGCAGACGAAGAACTGGATAAACTAATGAATGACATTGCAACTATACGGTACGTTTTAAGTCCTACAAGGAATATGTCTTCAAATAATAAAATTTCGACTCAAAAAACGACGTTCTCCTGCAAAAAGTAATGTTGTGAGGATCGCTTGAGCTTAATGACTGAAAAGTTTTTTAAAGATATTCCACGGTACCCGAACCTTGTTGCGCTCCACGATACAAGTAGTATTTAGAAGAGAATGAGCTTAATGAATCGACTCCTACATTTCGGTAATTCTTGTCAGGGTATTTTCAGACTCAATGTAACACATGTCCAGGCTTCGTCATGAAGATAGAAAAGCTTATCATAGAGAGTGTGTCTGAACTAATTTTTAAAGAAACCTATGGTGGTTGATTAGTTACGGCAGTTATTTTGCTCAAAGTGAGAGACTATTATGGGACTTAAGACTGAAAAATTGTTTCTTGTCTAGAGCAACCAATCCCTGCTTTAAAAAACTGACGCCAGAAGAAAAAGAACAGATCGTGACTGCCATGAACCTTAAACCCGGTCATTGGTACAAATGTCCCCAGGGACATATCTACGTCATTACCGAGTGCGGTGGCGCCATGGAGAAGAGCACGTGTCGTGATTGCGGAGCTGTGATTGGTGGAGAAAATCACAGACTTGCAGAAGGCAACCAAGTGGCGACTGAGATGGATGGTGCGAGGTACTCGGCCTGGTCTGAACAGGCAAACTTAGCTAACTATGGAAACTTATACCCCGTTCACACCAAAGCTTAAACATGTTTAAATCTTGTTTTACTAAACTGGTTTTATTAAACTACCTGTTCACACCGCGGGCGCGTGTAGCCAAACATGTTTAAAACCGTGTTTAATAAAACTACCTAAATGAGGTTGTTTAACTTTCGTGTTTAACTAAACACATTAAAGATGGCGGTTGCCAAAAAAACCCGCGGAAGAATTTGGGAAAACCAGGAAACGTTATTGTTACTACAGAAGTGGGGGGACGAAAATATACAAATGAAGTTAATATCTTGTACCAGAAAGAGGCCTATATGGCAAGAAATAAGTGATTTTATTCGAGCGGCAGGCTACGAAGACCGTGATGAAGATGCCTGCAAAACAAGAGTACACACATTAGTAAGTGCGTATCGCTCCTACAAAGACGAATGTGAGAAGACCGGAAACGGGACTCCAAAGAGGAAGCCGGCGTTTTTCGACGAAGTCGATGAATTTCTCTCAAAAAAACCATGTACCAAACCGAAGGTTGTGGTAAATTCTTCAAAAATTATCATTCAGGTGGACAACGAAGAAGAAGACAATGAAAAAATTAAGAACGATGAACCAAACGAAGAGTTGCCTTCCTTCAGCGGCGGCACCAGCGTCGGCAGCAACAACGAAACAGCCGGCAAATTTCCTCAACCAAACAAGGGTGAATGTTTGACAGGTGAGCTTTGAAAACTTTCGCTGATTGGAGGGTCAGACAATAGGCCAAGAAAATGTTTCAATATCGGCGCCTACGTTGTCTGTAATCTCTAACAAAATTTCTTGATAATTTTACTTCCAAGATGAGTGGAGTTGAACAAAAATATTGAGATAAGTATTAGCTCAAACTTTAACTTCTGCCTTTAAAGATTTCTTGTATTCCTTCACAGAAAGAACAACAGATGCTGGCAAGCCATTTTTCAAACCCGCTACGAAGAAGCGGAAGGTGTCAACGACGGATGCCTTAACACAAATTGACAAGGCGTTAGTGCAAGTCTTGCACTCAAATTAGTATTTTATGTGAACATGTAGTATGCATGGCTAAATTAGCATATGTCACACCATGGGTTTCAAACTACTCCCTAATTTTTTAGCATAATTTCAGTGCTAATATGTTTATTTCACATGTGAAAAGGCAAACTTGCAATGACTGCATCTTTAATTGTTCTCAGATGGTGTCCAGGTTTTGAAATGTTCAAAAAAAATGTGGGGGTTTCAAAGAATACCACAGACAATCAAAGTTTGCCATCAGTAATTTTAATTTACACAATTGACAATTTACTTTTCAAATCTCATTTATACAACTGTAATTACAAATGGAACACTGCTTGACCCTCTTAGAGGAGTGTCCTTCAAAAGATCTTGACTCTCCCATTATTTATGAAACTATTTGCACTGTATACAATAAACCTTAAAGGGAGAAAGTATTCATATAAACGACTTTTTTGAGCTAGAGATGTAAACTCTTTGATGGATTATTTGCCTGTGAGAGATGCTTATGTTGAACACTCATGTTCAAGTGATGCATGTGACAATGAATATTTATATTAAGAATCTTTTAATTGCATCTCTTATTGCAACAGCATTTGTGTTCTGCCTTTGGTTTGGATCACCTGGACAAACTCCAGCATGAATGTGAATATCATTGAGCCATTGGTCATCAAAAGACTCGTTTCGCATCTCACAATAATTATGTAAAACACAACACGCTGCGATGACATTGCAGGCATTTTCAACTTTTAAGTCCAGTCTCTTCCCAATGCTTCTGAACCTTCCCTTTAATCGACCAAAGGCATTTTCAACAACTACTCTAGTTGTGCTGTGTTTTATGTTGAAACTGCGTTCCTCCGGGGTCAGATTTCCACGATCAATATATGGTTTCATCAGCCAATTGCTGAGAGCATAAGCTGAGTCACCTAATATCAGGGGAGGAACTTGTACACCAGATATCATCACCGACATGTCGAGCGGAAGAAAAGCTCTGGCACAACACAAGGCAAACAATGAAGAGTTCTTGAAGACACGTGCGTCGTGTACTTTACCCGGCCATCCAACACATATATCAAGAAATAGATAATTACAATCTACTAGCCCCTGAAGGATTAATGAGTGGAATACCTTCCTGTTAACATAATCATCTGGACTTTGCCGAGGTCCAATGACTGGGACATGGCAACCATCGACTGCTGCAACCACCTGGGGAAAACCCGCGCGACTTTTAAAACCTTCAATTTTTTTCTTGGACTTCATGTTGATTTTGGGGAACGTTTATATAATTGGGAAGAAGAACGTTCCCTATCACCTCGCATACCTGTCGCACAATACCACAAACAGTGGATTTTCCGACACCAAATAGATTTCCGATCGTTCGAAAGTGAGCCGTGTCCGCAAGCCAATAATATAATGTTATTGCAACTCGATGACGCACTGTAATGGCTTTCCTGTAATTGGTGTCCCTTTTAGAGATATGTGGCGAAAGTTCTCGGCAAAGGCGATTAAATGCTTCTTTAGACATGCGAAAATTCTCATTCCAGTCCTTTTCTTCCCAATCTTGGCAAGTCTCTTCCCAAAATATCTGCGACCGGAGTTTTAGCCAAATACGGCGAACAGGAAGATGTTGGAGAAGAAATCGAAGCAAAAAACGGAAAAACAATGATGAAACGAGACGTCTCCGACGAACATAGCGATTAAACCGTCTCTCTGCGTTTCTCTATCGGTTTTGTGTAATTCTGAGGTTTTCCCTCAGCCGTGACTGCGCCAACAACAGCAGGATATTGTGATTTAAACTGACCGCCATTTTGATTGCGTCTTTAATTTTGTTGGCAACAATTAATATCAAAACGAGGCTGCGTAATACCTAACCCAGTCTGCAGTGTGAACGGTTCTTGAGCAACACATGTTTTATAAAACCATGTTTAAAAAAACTACGTTTAATGAAACTTGTTTAAATTGGTGTGAACAGGGCATTAGATGAAATAGTATGACTTTTTATGTTAATAGAGCCCATTAAGACTGGGTGTCGTTCGAAGAAAACCACGTTTATCATGATAGTCATTCAGAAAGGTAGAGTAATGTTAGAAGCTGGCGGGAACGCAAATGAAAAGCGCGGGAAAACGAGAGTGACTGATTTTAGTTTTGCACTCGAATGGTTTAGAGGTTGGCTCGAGTTTTCTAAAGCAATCAAGGAGCGAATTAAGGCAAAAGCAATGTAGTCCAAGATCACATCTGACACTCAGTTGAAACGGCGTCAAGATAAATCATCCATAAAACTATTTTATTGCTTTGATTTATAGCTTCTGATGGTGATAGGCAAATTAATTATTTTTACTGACGATCATATTACAGTAATAGGTTTTTTTTTAGTAACTTACAGGGAATATTTTACGACCAAATTCCAAAGTTCATCTGATTTTGATTGGACTACAGTAGTCAAGGCTCAGTAATTTAAAAGTAAGAGCTCAGACACGAATGGTCAGTAGAACTCATTATTAGAAAAGAAATATGATAGACAGTTATAACAGTGGCGTGGCCGGAAGGGGGGGGGGCAAGGTGCTCCTAACATTCATTCTTAGATTATTTTTTCTCTTAGTTGGCAACATGCATCGTAATCAGGTGGGTACCCTGGGTGTGTGGAGAGACATTTCTCACCCAACCCCCCCCCCCTTTAGAAATCTTAACTATGCCTCTTTCTAGGGTAAACGTCTCTTTAGTGCATGTTTCAATTCGTAATGGATTCTGTTGTGGCAATGTTAGCCACAAGTATTCAGATCGGCGGGCCATTTTGGGGGAATTAAAACTTTTCTCTTCACCTCGAATCCAAGTTGATTGCTGATTAAAATAATTCGAGAAATACCTGATATTGTTAGACATAGAGTCTGCTATAAAGGAAGGGTGCTATGTACATGTTATTTATTGTTTTATGGATTTGTAATGGTAATAGGACTGAGTGGAATCCAATTCGGTCTGTAATCATACGAGTGATAACAAACCGGACTAGAGCGCAAAAATTTCCGAGAAAAGAAGAATGACCAAGTAAGGAAAAAAAGAAAAAATTTGTATTAAAAGACTGACAGAGGAGACGTACACTGTACACTGTTCTATTATGATTAGAACCAAGATTGTGATTGGTTGATTTAAACTGCAACTTTGATTGTGTTTGGTCGATGCACACTACAACTTTGAATGTGATTGGCTTGTTGAACTGTCCGATAACAACTTGGCAAGTGAATAAGTGGAAAATAAGAGTTTTTTTAAACCAATCACAATCGAGAAAATTGTTATTTTCATGATTAGTGTTGTTATCGCTTAAACAGGACTGAAAATAACAATGAAATTTCCCATCTCGATTTTCATCGTTTTTGCGGAAAAGCATCCAAAAATGTCGACATTCCTACCATTGCAGTATGCCAGTTAGACCAAGTTAACACCTTAGCCTACCACGAGTCTCCAAGGAAATACTCTGCTTGTAAGGAAATATCACTTTAAAAAGTATAACCAACAATCAGTCACAGAAAATAGGCTTGCTAATACGGAAAGATTGTGTTACATGTGATTTTATTAGGTTAATAAGGGTAATTTCGATTGGATTGTTCACCCTAGCATATAGTAAGATTTAAAACTGACTGCAATAAATAAAATATCCGTACGGAAGATTGAGAGTTATCTATTAGATTAAACCCCCCGGAAATCCCTTCATAATGAAAGTATTAACTGTAGGAGAGTACTGCCTAACCCTTCAACAAAACACTATACTTAAGGTTAAGAATAATATTCGATTGTTTCAATATTCAGAGGGGATTTTCTCGGTCCAGGAAAGTACTGTAACTTTAACACGTGCTCACAACACACACCTGACCACGCTCTTTCTAACGAGCTATAAATTATCAGGGAGTTCCCCTTTTTCGCAGAAAAATGAACACACGAATAATGAAACAATGAAAATTGGTTAATGAGGTTTTGGTTACTTGAAAGAACCATGAGCAAAACCGTGTTTTCAAACTCATTAACAAAATTCTATTGTTTCAATATTCAGAGGAGATTTTCTCGGTCCATGACAGAGCTGTAACTTTGACACTTACACACAATAAACACTTAATCTCGTTCTTTGTAACAAGCCGTAAATTGTCGTTGAATTCTTTTTTTTCGCAAAGATATAAACGTACGAATATTGAAACAAAAGAAATTGGTTAATGAGCTTTTGGTTTCCTGGAAGAACCACGAGCTAAACCGATTTTTCAAACTCATTAACAAAATTCTATTATTTCAATATTCAAAGGGGATTTTCTCGGTTCATACCAGGGCTTCAACTTTAAAACTTGCACACAAGCCACAGCTGATCAAGCTCCTTCTAAAGAATTGAAACTTTTCCAGGAATTCCTCTTTTTCGCAGAGATATAAAGGCATGAATATTTTAACAATAGAAATTGGTTAATGAGCTTTTGGTACCTTGGAAGAATCACGCGTAAAACCATGTTTTCAAACTCATTAACAAAATTCTATTATTTTCTTATTCAGAGGGGATTTTCTCGGCCCATGATAGAGCTATATTTTTGACACTTGCACACGATACTCGGCTAATCAAAGCTCTCTCTAACGAGCCATATATTATCAGGGAGTTCCCCTTTTTCGCAGAAAAATGAACACATGAATAATGAAACAATGAAAATTGGTTAATGAGGTTTTGGTTACTTGAAAGAACCATGAGCAAAACCGTGTTTTCAAACTCATTAACAAAATTCTATTGTTTCAATATTCAGAGGAGATTTTCTCGGCCCATGACAGAGATGTAACTTTGACACTTACACACAATATACACTTAATCTCGCTCTTTGTAACAAGCCGTTAATTGTCGTTGAATTCTTTTTTTTCGCAAAGATATAATCGTACGAATATTGAAACAAAAGAAATTGGTTAATGAGCTTTTGGAACCCTGGAAGAACCACGAGCTAAACCGATTTTTCAAACTCATTAACAAAATTCTATTATTTCAATATTCAAAGGGGATTTTCTCGGTTCATACCAGGGCTTTAACTTTAAAACTTGCACACAAGCCACAGCTGATCAAGCTCCTTCTAAAGAATTGAAACTTCTTTCACGAATTTCTCTTTTTCGCAAAGATATAAAGGCATGAATATTTTAACAATAGAAATTGGTTAATGAGCTTTTGGTTACTTGGAAGAACCACGAGAAAAACTGAGTTTTCAGACTCATTAACAAAATTCTATTGTTTCAATATTCAGAGGGAATTTTCTCAGACTACAAATGAGCTATAAGTTTGACTTTTGTACTCAGTGTACAAATAATCAAGCTCTCATCTGTTCCCGGAATCCTTCCTTTTCATTGAAATTTAAATGCACGAATAGAGAAACAATAGAAATTGGTTAATGAGCTTTTGGTAACTTGGAAGAACCACGGGAAAAAACGAGTTTTCAAACTCATTAACCAAATTATATTGTTTCGACATTCAGAGGGGATTTTCTCGGGCCACATAAGAGCTCATACTTTTATACTTACACACAACACAGCTAATTGCACTCTTTTTAACGAGCTATATTATGTTCAGGAATTCCTCTTTTTCACAGAGATATAAAGGCATGAATGTTAAAACAATAGAAATTGGTTAATGAGCTTTTGGTACCTTGGAAGAACCACAAGCAAAATTGTGTTTTCAAACTCATTAACAAAATTTTATTGTTTCAATATTCAGAAGGGATTTTTTCGGCACACAAGAGAGCTGTAACTTTGACACTACACAAAATACACACCGAATCAAGCTCTTTCTGATGAATTAAAAGTTTTCCCGGAATTTCTTTTTTTCACTGAGATATAAATGCATGAATAATAAAACAATAGAAATTGTTTAATGAGCTTTTGGAAATTTGGAAGAACCACGAAATAAACCAAGCTTTCACACTCATTAACAAATTCAATTATTTCAATATTCAAAGGGGATTTTCTCAGTTGATAAAAGGGGTTTTGATATTGAAACTTACATACAAGCCACAGCTAATCAAGCTCCTTCTATAAAATTGAAACTTTTCCCGGAATTCCAATTTTTCACTAAGATATAAACGCATGAATATTTAAACAATAGAAATTGGTTAATGAGCCTTTTGGTTACTTGGAAGAACCTCGAGAAAAACTGAGTTTTCAAACTCGTTAACAAAATTCTATTGTTTCAATATTTCGAAGGGGTTTTTCGGCACACAAAAGAGATCATGCTTTGACATTTACAAACAATACACAGCTAATTACGCTCTTTCTAACGAATTTACACTTTTCCTGGAATTCCTTTTTTTCACTGAGATGTAAATGCATGAATATTAAAACAATAGGAATTGGTTAATGAGCTTTTGGCAACTTGGAAGAACCACGAGCTAAACCGAGCTTTCAAACTCATTAACAAAATTCTATTCTTTCAATATTCAAAGGGGATTTGCTCGCTCCATGAAAGGACTGTAACTTTGACACTTGCACACAAGCCAGAGCTAACCAAGCTCCTTCTACAAAATTGAAAATTTTCTCGGAATTCCTCTTTGTCACTGAGATATAAACACATGAATATTTAAACAATAGAAATTGGTTAATGAGTCTTTTGGTTCCTTGGAAGAACCTCGACAAAAACTGAGTTTTAAAACTCATTAACAAAATTCTATTGTTTCAATATTCAGAAGGGATATTTTCGGTCCGTAAAAGGATTACAACTTTGAAACGTACACACAAGTCACACCTACTCAATTTCTTTCTAACAAATTATAAATTGACTGGGAATTCCTCTATTTCACAAAGATATAAACGCTTGAATATTGTAACAACAGAAATTGGTTAATGAGCTTTTAGTAACTTGGAAGAACCACGAGCAAAACCGAGTGTTCAAAGTCATTAATAAAATTTTATTGTTTTAATATTCAGTAGGGATTTTTTTTTCTTACAGGCTATGAATTGTTCCGGAATTCCTTCTTTTAACTGAGATATAAATGCACAAATATTGAAAAAGAAATTCGTTAATGAGCCTTTGGGGACCTTGGGCTTAACTCTAACCCTAGAATACATCTATATTAAATCTAGATTTTTTCTCATAAACAAAAATTCTAATGTTTTCATGTTCAGAGGGGATTTTCTGGAGATGCACTCAATCTACGCCTTTTTGAGCTGCCCGCTAATCAAGGGAAACAATAAAATTGAGACCAAAAGTTGAGGCGTTAAGGAATTGAAGAGAGGAAAGTTAAAGAGGAAAAAACGTGGAAAATGTTTTTAACAAAAAGTGCCATCTACTTTTGAGAAGACTTAAATATTTCTCATTTGGAATTCATAGTTCTATAATTTACTAGAGTTCTGTTTATTGTTTTTTTAAGTCCATTAATGATAAAAGGACTGTGTCACGAAGCCAGGAGACGATTCTTGTTTTCCTTTTTAAACACTTTATTATTTATCTTAAACTTCTGAAAACCTTACGATCTCGAACCTTATTTATAGCAGCCGATTACATCATACTTATTTCTGAAACACTATTTTTAGCACATTCTAGACGCTAATGTTCCTGAATATGGAGAAGTTTCTAGCTCAGCTTATGCAATAGCGTTGTGGTAAATCAATGTTCTATTAATTTCTGGAGACTTCGTTACAGAGTTGACTTTCTCGACTGAACTGGGTCAGCGGAAATAACTTGTGCTGTTCCTCTATACTTGCGAGTAAACCGAACAAACTGTCCTCATTCTAATTCATTCAATTCTAAGAATGCCACCTACAGCTTTCATCTGGCTCCTAATTTTCCATTAAGCAGTAAAACCAAAACCAAATTTACCTCAACGACCAATCACAACGAAGGAAATATCTCAGAAAGCCAATAAGATCTTAGAGTAAAAAACAGCAAACGCCCACGAGCGCGGGAAAACACACGTGACCAAGTCACCACTGTTTTTAGAAGTGCTCCTGATTGGTTGAGATTGTAGCACGAGTATTTTAATCCAATAACAAAGCAAGAAAAGGCAAAAAGCAATGAAATCCCAATTATATTCGACACCCAATTGAAAATTGCTCCAACTCTGATCTGTTACTAATTCAATCATGGAGCTCACCTTCATCTTTGCAATACATATCTTGTAGTAAGAACTCTTTAAAATTTAAATCAGAAATACACGTGATAGCTGTACAGAGGTAAATCTAGCCATCCTAACACGAACTACAGTTGCTACCAAGAGATAATAAACAGTTTATAAATTTAAATTGTTACATATCAAGACTAAAACGAGATTACTGTCTACCTAAGAATGAAGCCGACTCATTTTTTTTTTTTTATCAAAAAATAAAAACAATAAGAGAATAAATGAATATGATCACGGTATATGCTCGATGTAACACCAGGGGAGGCGTTTCTCAGTAGTACCCAGCCCCCAAAAAGCGGGTTGTTTTTTTCTTTTTTGTTGCTGTTATTTTCTTTACGAGTCAACAAACAAAATCATGGTATTCATAGTTTTAAAATTCAGAAATGAAAATATCAAGAAACCAAACATATCGGATATGTTTGAGATGATTAAGTTCTACTTCATACATTTGGATTTTTGAATATAGTTTCGCGCTAGTTAAGCTACCAGTATTTTCGAGAAACGAACCTCAAGCCCCCCCCCCCCATTCATGGGGGGGGGGCACTCAATTGTACGATTCCTTTTGCGTTTCGAGCGTTTCTCGATTGAGTGTAATAAATCCAAAATCAAAGTAATCACAATGGCCAATCAAAAGGAAGGAAAATACCTTTAAGAACCAATGAGATCTCAAAGCTAAAACAACCAAACTGCCTGAAGCGCGGGAAAACGCGGGCGACCAAGTCGTGATTGGTTTTAGTTTTGCATCTGATTGGTTGAGAGAGTGACATAAGTTTTCTGGACCAATGACAGAGCAAAAAAAACAAAACAAAACAAAGAAATCCTGCTCTACTTTCGACTCTCAATTGAAAATTGCTCTCTTGGTCTGTGTTGAGTGTTACTTTAGAAAATAAATCATAACTAGACTACTGTTGAGTTAATAATCTTCAACTTTAAATTATCGCCTGGTAAATCATATGCTTATGAAAGGCAAGCAAAGGTTAACCAGCTATGAGACAAAACAACGGAGGACGCCGCCAGAAAATCTGACATGCGCAATGGAACTTGAGAAAAAAAAACCTTTTCAATTGCTGGTAACAATGAAATAGAAAATAAAATTGAAAAAAAAGTGTGGGAACTCCACAAGGAGCGCGGCGAAAAAAATTCTCACTTAGCGCAAATCGCCACAAATTATTTTGGTTCTGTGTTTTGTTAGTAAAGGTAATATTACACCTTCTCGAGGACTGCAGTAGAGTTGAAAAAAATACACATGTAAAACGTGGGCTTAAGTTAAAGTTCATGGTAAAACCATTCAATGTTTCATTAACAATGTTTACATGCCTTGCGCCTCGCACCATCCATCTCCCAAGCCAATTGGTTTCCTTCCTCCAGACTGTGATTTGATCCACCAATCACAAGTCCGCAATCAGGACACGTGGTTCTGTGTATGGGGCCACCGCACTCACCAACGACGTAGGCGTGTCCATTGGGACATTTGAACCAATGACCCGTTTTGAAGTTCATGGCTGCCACGATCTGAGTTTTTTCCTCAGGTGTCAACGGCGAGAGAACTGGGTGGGCGCGCCTAAAATTAAAAGGAGCAGCACATCATCCACTTCAATGAGACAACGACACGTCTCAAGAGATACTGAAAACAACTAGGAAAACTCCGGGGTAAAACAAATTGGACGTGTATTCTGGGAAGTGCAAAGGTCAAGAAAGAACGAAGAACTTTACAGAAAGATTTGCGCACCTGAAAATCAACTAAATTGACAAAGTGGAAGCTAAGCAAGGCAGAGGTGTAACTGGAAGAAACAGTCGCAGGGATCAGTCATTATTTATTGCCTTGGGGAGGGGAAGGGGGGGCGGAAAATTTTGGAGGGTCACATGGTTCTCCAGGGAAACAGAGGGGATATCAGTCGCCGCCAAGAGATTATAAGGGGGGACTATAGAGAATTGTCTGCTAATTAACTGCCAAAGAGGGGGATTATGAAAATATTACAGAGCCTTATGGGGGATCAGGTGAAGTTGATTGTAACACAACTAAAATCCTCTAGCCCCCTCTCAAGAGATGAATAATGATAATTTCCTCAGTGAAAGTTATCCACCCATTTTGTCAATTACACTAGATATAAGCAAGTCGACAAGAGTTCAGGACCAAAAATATGACTTTGACGCTTAAAAGGCAGGAAGTTTTGATTTCAGTTTGCTTTTAGAGCATTTATTCTTAACTAGAAAACTCGTACTCTGAGATTCAAAGCCACAAGAGCATGAAGAGGAGAAAATCTCCCCTATCTACTCCGCGACTCCTATTCACTTCTTATTCGAAGACGCACAAAACTGCTAGGTACACCGGCTGATGAACCGGCCTGACCCTTGCAGTCATCCAATGAAGTAGCACGCACTTCAACACATAAAAAAAAGATTAAGTCACCTGATATCACCCAACTTTCCCAGGTACATATCAAGTCTCTCTTCCTTCACAATTCTGCCGCTGGACAGTTCATCTTGTATCGACGTCATAGTTTTACGGTAATTCCTCTTAAGGTTTAAGCCCAGGCTCCTGGCGTTGTGCCACAACAAACACAGCTCAAGTTGGAGGTTTTGTCGACTGAATTCAACTCTTATATCATGCAGTTCCCTCTCTGTGACTCCCTGAGACATGAAGCGTTTCCTCAGATACTCTAAGTCCTTCTGCACTGCCATAGCTATTCATGGAAACAAAAATAAGAAACTCATTCAGGAACGCCGGAATTTTCCATGTAAATGCAAGTGACCCTAAGGGATTAAGATGTAACTTCTTCTCCAAAAATCTATAATTTTTTAGCAAATAGATAATGGGAATAGATTTTCCGTTCCCTGCGAGATTTTCTAAGGCACTTTCCACTGCTACGTCGGTTTTAGAAACAGTCAGAAAAATTTCCTATAGTGAAGTCCGATGGTCCGAGTGGGCTGGACCTCAAACGGACTGCTACTGGAATTCCTTCGTGCTGATTGGTCGAGAGCCACAGTCAATAGAAGTATCGACAATGTCAAGTCAAATTTGATTTGTGAGAACCTGGAGATCAAAGTCAGTATCAGAGCACCTACGCACCTACCCCTCCCCTAGCCGAACAACAGTCAACTGATAACAAGTCAGGGTTAATGGGGTTAGTTTAGGGTAGGTCGACAGTTGGTCCGGTACCGACGTTGATCAAAATGCGCTTCTTTAATACCTATTGATAACCTCTGCCGTAATGACAATAGCAGTAAGACTCCACCGGCGTATACAAAGGTTGATAAGAAACCTTCATAATTTCGTACTTACCTGTCATAACGATGTCAGTGCTCAAGTTTCGAGGTGCATGGCAGAGAAAACATTGATCCAACTTCTGTCTCATTACGCAAAACTTCTCCATAAACATCACCCGGTTTTCTGTAACTGCCACTGTTACTCTGGCCATTCCTTTCAAACTGCTCTCCAGTCTTTTCCACTCCTCCATCTTGTCGTCGCAAAAATCGTTTTAAACCTGTAAGACGTGCTTGTAATTTCTGCTTGGTGAGTCTCATCTCGTTCGGATGACCATTGGCACGTATCTTCACTTTCTCTATGTCGCATAGCTGCTGTTTAATAACGTTGCTGTATCGGAGGCTCGTAAGAATAGGGGTGAGACAGCGAGGACAGGACTTTAGTTTAATCGCGCCACTTTCTTCGTCGTCCATGTACCTGCAGAAAAGAGTGTGATATAGAATGTGCTATTTCCTGAAATTTGTCTCCTTTTCCAGGTAAAATGAAAACGTTTTGAGCCCATCTAAGGCTTTTTGTCAGCGGTATATATATTTGTGGCACTAAGTACTTCGTAGATTCAGTGTGGATTGTCTTCCAAGTTTACTTAACGTCATAGTCGACCACACCGCTGACGCGGCGATTTTGAGTAATGAATCCATTTTCTTATCATTACTGTCCATCCTCCATTCCAATTGGAATCTTATGGGTCTCTAAAGTTTCTTAAGTAAAATAAGCAGCTGACTGTTTTCGCTGTATTTTCAAATACTTTAACAAAAATTGGGATCAACTTACTTGTCAAGTCCTGTTACTTCAAATATGTGTTTACAGTCTGATAGTTTGATGAAACGTGCATCGTCTTGGTCTTCCTCACCAAAGAAAATTTCAGTAATGGGAGACCCGTCATTCTTGTCACAGGAGACACAAACACACTGCTCTCCACATAAACCGTAGCAGATATGACGACGTCTTCCGCATTTGATGATTTTGTTGCACCGTACGTTGCACCTTGGCCTGTTGCATAACTCTCCACAAAGCTTAGAGCACTTGTGATGCGGACATTTCCACGTGCATTCTTCACTGCATGGCACGCACAGCTCACCACACTTTCTCGCGCAGTAGTTATGCACGCATCGGTTTTCACATTGCCTTGAACACGGTGGACACGCTGCGATGCAAGATTCTCTACACTTGTGCGAACACACTAACAGACGATCACACCTTTGGTTGCACCGCTTATGAATTCGACCCATTCGACATTCTCCACAGGTTCCAGAACACTGGTGCCCACATTCCAATATGGAGGAGCAGGGTACTGGGCATTCGTCGGGCTTAGCAGAACACGCGACTGTCACATCATGTCCACATGGCCAATCCCGTCTCTTAACGCGTTTTTTGCAGTTTTTCGTGCATGGTTCTCCACATAAGTTTTGGCACTGGTGACCACATTGCGGGAGCTTCTTTTCGCAGTTTTCCTTGCACTTCACCCTTTTCTCATCCTGACCACACCTCATGGTATTGATGTGCCCACAAAGTGGTTGCATTTTCCGCACCAGAACCGCACAATTCGTTTCACACGCTTCGAAGCAAAGCTTGGGGCACTTGTGAGAGCAGCCGTTGATGGTATTACGGCATGGCTCTATACATCTGTAGTTCTCGTGTTCAACATCATCAGGATGACAGAGCTGTTTACATGTGTGACCGCACTCCAACCGCACGTTACACTCACGCTGGCATCCCCCATTAGGAACCTTTTTCTTAAAATCGCTGGCGAGTTTGACGCGGACTTCTGTGTGGTGAATCTGGCAAACCAGCTGTAAATTGCTGCAAATTCTTCCATTCGCTCTGAGATCTGTTACAATCTTCCGCCAGATGTCACTGTGAGTGGAAAGGAGGTCAAAGTTTCCGATGCAGTAGAAACCTTTCTTTGCACGAGAGAGAGCCACGCATGCGCGGTTGACAATCTTCAGAAATCCTACTTTCTTATCTTTGTTACTGCGCACGAGTGACAGAAGGATGATGTCGTTTTCTTCACCTTGAAAGTTGTCAACTGTTGTCACACGGACACCTCTCAAGGATTGATCTTTTTCAGCTTTGAGAGATTCTCTGATGGCAAACATTTGTCCCATGTAGGTTGTCAGCAGGGTAATTTGATCGGCTTTGTATCCTTGCTGCAGTAAATATCGACATAGCGCGACCAAAAACTTGGCTTCGTGCTCATTCACGTGACTGTGCGACTGATAACACGACACTTCCGTGTAATTGTGGCTGATGAAGAACATGTTCTTCTTCATTCCTTTGATATCTTCATATTTCTCCACCGACTCGTCATTCTCTAGATCGTCATAAATGTGTTTCATCAGGGCAGCGATTTCAGGTCTCATACGATGCTGTACGTTTAGCATCTCGCATTGCATTCCAACATTCACCATTCGCTCAAACAGGGACACATCCAGCTTGAACCTCTTGGCTAAATCATAGACTGCGGGGGTGGGTCTTAGCTGCTGATGATCACCAATTAAAATCAAATGCTGACAGCCTGGAGTCAATGAGGTAATAATGTGAGCCTCGAGTACTTCAGCGGCTTCTTCGACTAAAACAATTTTGGGGCGAATCCGCTGAAGAATACGGCGGTTTTTGCCGGCGCAGGTGGTTGTCATGCCAATGACACGTGCATTCTTGAGAACAATTGCGTTCTCCTCCTCCCGCAGCTCGTTCAAGCGAGCCTGGAATTTTTCGAATTCGGGTTGTTTGTCTTGTATTTGTTTTAAATAGTTTTTCTCAGCTCTCTGGAGCCATAGCCTGTATAGATTCCAGCGCTGTTGTTGCGATAACCTTTGTGAGAGGAATACGCGCTTTTCTTCGTTCTCAGGCATAACTTCTACAGCTTGGAGGTTTCTTTGTAGTCGCAAGGGTCTTTTAGAGTCGTTGATTTCGCAAATCAGCACATCTGAGGGCTTGGTTGCGATGCGTAAGTCACCTTCCTCTTGAGCATCGTCTTCATCGGCAAAGGTGCGGAACGAAACTTGCCTTTGAAAATCTTCGTCATGGAAATCACAAGTATCTGTGTCCCTGAGGTCTTTTGCAGCCTCTTGTTTCTCTACATCAAGCCATTTACAGAAGAATTCGTTCGCGTTCCGTTTATTTTGGTTGTCGAATTCTCTCTCAAACCAACGGGCGTGGCGTTCCAACATGAACTGATGTATTAAATGAAAGGACAGGACTCCTCTTCTTGCAAGCTTCATCACCAGTATTGACAGGTCTAGAGTTCCATCCTCCTTCAGCGCTCTAATTTTCTTGTTAGTCTTTGTTCTCGCTCTGGTAATTCTGCCAGGAATTTCCTTGTTTTCACGAGCTTGCTCGCGAACGAAGTGGAGCATATTGGGTTCAAGTTTTTCACTTTTAGACCGCCCACCGACACGAACAATCCCTATGAGGAAGGCAAATGCAACATTGAGAATTTCAGATCGCTTTAGGGACCAGTTGTCCCTTTTTCACCTGAGGGTGGTGGTTGGTCAGGGGAAGATTAGGGGGATCAGTCATCAGTCGTCAATAACAGAGTGTAAAGGGGGACTATGGAAAATTGACCGCTAATTAAATGCAAATGAGGCGGGGGGGGGGGGGGGGGGGGAAGGGTGTCATAAGAATTTTAAAGAGCCTTAAGGGTGGGATTAGGTAAATCTTACCTTGCATTGGCAGAAGTCCTTCCAGGAACTGATCCAGGGCGTGATTCGTGTAAGACACCATTAAAATTGGTGTCGGCTCATCCTCTCCTTCCCAGAGGGAAGCTGTCTCCAAAAGAACACGCGCAATTTTCAAACCCACATATGTCTTCCCAGTCCCTGGCGGCCCTTGAATGACAGCAAACTTTTTGGTCAGCGCCAGTTGAAATGCTCGCAGCTGTGAGTCGTTAAAACCCAGGCTGTCTCGGTAGTCATGCAATTCGAAAGCGTTCACAAGATCTTGGCTATCAGTGGACATGTCTTCTTCGTCACTGTAAAGCACATCTTCGCTCGAAGTCAGACGGTGCTGCACAAATCCAGAGTTTCTGTCTCTGATAATGCCATATTCAACAAACGGGCGCAACTCACTGCTCCCATCTATTTCATCTTGTAATATTCCACTCATGTTGTAGTCGAAGTTCGTTTGATGCTTGTGATCTGGAGCACCAATGACACTCTTACACTTCACAATGTGCTTTTCAAAGGGCAAGTCTCCAGGATATATTTCTTTCATACCTTCTAACACGTATCTGTACGCTTCAAAGAAGGCTTTGGATTCGACCATGTCAAATTTCGTCTTGGAATCGATCCATTCATTTAATGTTTCGAGATCCACACCTTCAAATCGCACATCAAGCTCACCCAGGCAAAGTTCTTTGGGATCTCGACCCTCGACTGTGGCAAAAAAAGGCGTGTAAAAGTCATCCGGTGCTAAACACAAGAGGGAACCATTCTTGAAACGCTTACATCTGTCCCAAGGGACTTTCCTCACAGTGTGGTGAAATGCGTCAAACCGGATCCTGTAGACCTTTCCTTTTGCATTACATACGGGATACAACACAGTGACGTCTCGGTAGAAGTACACGTCTTTGGCGCGTTCTTTGTCCTTGCTGCCACTAGCTGCTAGGCCGCCGTTGTCCCTCCGAAGCTCCATGATAGCTTCCCGCAGTGGTATGATAAAGTCTTCTCGAACAAGCCGAAACTGAACATCTAAGTAATGTTCCAGATCTCTGTAGCCGCGCTGGTCGACAACATTGACACGGAGAAAGGGATTATGTGAAATGCTAAGATCTGAGGCTTTTGGGAAAACACTGAGTTCTCGAAAACTCTGCGGGGGCTCGACTTCCAACTCCTCTTCTTCGTCCCAGTTAGGCATCATTTCTTGATTAATGACTCCTTGTCGTAGTTCTTTGACTTGGGAAACTTTCTTTTCCAGTGTACCTACGTCGTGTAAAAGCCTTTTTGCTTTTAGTTGCATCACGGTGTCTTCGAGCGTAAACACAGGAATTTCGTGAGCTACTTCGCGTCCAAATCTCTGCAGGAAGTGGAGAAATACTTCCGCCAAACTGAAGATCAGATCAGATGATTGGAACTTATCAAATTCTTTTTCTGCATAAAACATCATTCGGCTGATGAAACCAGACAGTCGTGAACACATGAAATTGCTTTCTATCACCAAACGTAACAACTCTTCAACATGACATAAAAGTATATTACGGGAACAACAAAGCTGATGGAGTACACAGATGGTAAGCCTCATGACACCTGGATTTATTTCTGTCTTGGAACTTAGCAACGCTTTGAATCTTTCAGATCTGAGTTCTAGTTCCAATATCCTATTTTCATCTGAATCTGCTTTCCATATTTCCTCCAAGGCCTTGTATCCTAAAGGTACCGCCTCCTCCTGACTCTCCCCTCCCCTCGTATCTGTTAGGCGTCGTCGTTTAGGCGAGAAAGCTCGTGAGTCATATGACCATTTATCGCTCTCACTACGTCGCCTTCCTTCCTCAAAATCGGACGTTCGGTTTGTTCTGCCAAAAGTAGCAGCTTCACTGTATCGTCTCTTGCGATTTCGCCCCATATTACATGCAGCAGTTTCTAGTCATATGAATATTTTCTATCGTGAGCGATGTCTTGGTTCATTGTTGGCCGACTTTGTTTAAACGTCACTGTCGACAAAATGATTTCAGTTTCAAATATTAGCATTACCATGGAAGAAATTGCCAAAACTGTTCGTGGAAGATATGCAGAAAAATTTGAAATGACGAAATGTGAAATTCTCAAAGGAAACGTTTCGGCATTCACCACAACGCACATTGACCTTCGATAATTATTGAAAACAACATAAAACCTTGAAAACATGATTTCTTCGCTTTTGTTTACCCGCAGAAAGCTCTCCTTTCTAACATTCCATACACCGTACATAATCTGAATTTTAGATGGAAAATAACTTACCCAACGACATTATGTTAACATTATCTAACTCTCCTTCCCTTGAGCATTAAATCGGTTTTCTAAAAGCTAGGTTTAGTTACCTCAGCGAAGAAAATATGCGTAATGTACGAGGGCAAAAATGGCTTCCCATACCAATGAAACTCTCGCTGCTGATAACGCATATTTGACCGAAAATCTCTCTTCATAGATCACTAGGGCTACATCACAGCTAAGCAACAAACTAGTTGCTCGTTATCAGCCTCAAATGCCTTTATTTAAATCTGCACAGCCGATGTTAATGGTAACAAATGTAAACCTTTGGTACTCGATCAATTCACTCTTACATAATTCTTGAACAAATCATCCTCATTTCAAGCTTGTAAGCATTATATATTTGTCATACAGTTACATGAACAGGAAACTGCTTTTCGATTTTCAGTTAGCTAGATCTCTATGTTTAGACTACAGCTCTAAACACTGCCAAAAACGTGCAGGTTTTCCAGTGGATAAAATCAATGTTATCCAACGTAACTGCACGATGTAATTTCAAGGCTCCTCTGCGCTAAACTGTAACTTTGCTGCACCAGTTGTTTTCTACACCGCACTACAATCAATTTTCCGCATACATAAATACTATTTCTACATACCTTGACCTTGTTAAGAGCTGTTGAAAAGAACTTCCTCCGTAACAGACATACAAAATTAACACATTATTTAGTGTTTACCTTTCGCGGAAGCTTCTTCGAGGCATCATATCAATTCCGAGAAAAGCATCTTCCTCGTGATTGGTTGAATGTTCAGAGTTGACACGCAAACGAATCGAATTTCAACTTCAGTTAGAATCATTACACTAAGAGTTATATGTGGGAAGAGAGGATTTTACTCGTTAGTAGTGTCTATACAACAACAATAAAAAACACGATGAATCAGCTGTGAAAGGATCTAGCGTGACTTTTTCACGACTCTCCGAAGCATCAGTTTTTGACTCGTGCAAACGAGTCTCTGTTGGGACTCCGATGAGCAAATGAGTCACTGGCTCACTCACTCAATTAGATGTAATCACTGTGGTAATGAGTTGTCCCGAACTATCCCGAGCGCGAAACCAAATTGGAGTAGTAACCGCGCATAAAACGATCGAGAGGCTTTTTTAGAGTTTATGTCATATTTTCAAGCATCGTTGCTTGAAATATCACCTTCCAAGTGAACAAACATTTATCGAGTTCAGGCACAAAGCTAATATTGTTAATCGCTTTGATTTTTTTTTTATCTGATGTAAAACAAGAACCGTGTAAACATTGGCGGCTGGATCGATGAGAAGCGGACGAAAATAATCATGTGCTTTCATGACTGAAGAAAATTTGTGGAATTTATTGCCACATGTCTTTAATATCAATCAGTCAAAAACAAACTTCAGTCACATAAAATGCGTTCAGAGGTATTTCCGTTCCGAGGCAGGAAACCTAAAGGTTTGTTATCAGATGCAAGTGCGAGTAAACTCTGTAAACGAAGATCATCATGTTACGGTGCAAATATGTATTGAGCAACTGCGAGGTGAAACGTGACATAGTAACGGAGAGTAGTGGAATCTGGCTTGTGCAGGGGGAAGAGCGATTTGGATTGCAGTGTCTAAATTGACGAATTTTGCAAACAGCAATTTAATAAGCGCAGGATACTATTTTGTGCTATTTTGTAGATTTTACTTGCGATTATTAGTCTGTGGGTTGGATGGATGATTGTGATTTGCTGGAGATAAGAGAAACCTTACATTGCTACAAGACCAATAATTATAAGTTCACAACCATGTTTCATCTCTAGGTCAAGTAGTTTATGCGCAAGTTGGCCGTAGGTATTCTGCATGCGCCGTTAAATTTAATTTTCATTACCTGGATCTCCTTAGAAGTAATCAGAATCACTTCTTGCGAGAACAAAAGGATTATAGAGGTGGGAAAACAAGGATCACTTTTCACCACAAGCTAATACTATTTCGCAAAATATTCTGATTTCGAGACAAGACATATTCGTGATTGATAGGAGATGTCACGCAACAAAATCGAACGTGACTGGTACTACTAGGTCTTTGTGGCAGTTTACTTCGCGGAATTATTATTGTCTAAAATCGAACAACATCGGACACCACAGTCCAAAATCAGACACAAGTGTCTAAAATTGGACCCTAGTGTCCAAAATTGGACACTGGTGTATAAAATAGAACACTAGTGTCTAAACTCGAAAACTAGTCTCTAAAATAGAACACGTTTGTCTAAAAAAATTAGATACTAATGTCTAAAAGCGAACACTAGTGTCTGATATCAGACAACAGTGTCTCAGCTCAGACACTCGCGTCCCAAATCGGACAACATCAGACACTAGTGCCTAAAATTGTACTCTAGTGTCTAAAATCTGACACTAGAGTCCAAAATCAGACACCAGTGTCTAAAATCCAACGATAGTGTCTAAAATGAAACAATGGTGCATGTCTACAACCAAACATTAGTGTCTATAATCGGACACTAGCGTCCAAAATCGGACACCAGTGTCTAAAGAGAATTTGGCCCATTTACACGCATGTGCAATTGTTGAGACTGCTTTGTTGTCATTTTTTTCCAGATTTTATTTTCTCAAAGCCCTCTAAAGCGACAATAAGAATGATTATGATAGTAATCAAGTTAATATTTTGGGAATGAATATTTTTCAGCTCTTCTTAGAATCCTTTTCACACCTGCCCGGCGGCTTGGGCTAAAATGAATTTGAGTAGGGCCCAAAACATATTAATGCCCATGAACATGAAGTCTTTTGTTTTATTAGACTTCCTAGGTAAGCGTTTGAAAGCATCCTCTAAATCTAGTTTAATTGGTCCATTTTTTTCAGCGAAAAAATCAACTTGTTTCAATATTCGGAGAGAATTTTCTCGAAAAGAGCTGACTTTGAAACTTCCACACAATAGCCCGCTTAGCATGCTCTTTCTAACGCAATATCTAATTTTTTAAGGAAATAAAAGCCAAGAATATTCTTTTCTTCTAATAATCGCTGGGGTTTTTTTTTTGAAATTTTCTCTAAGAAAACGCTGAACCCTAACCCTATTTTTCCGATTCGAAAAAAAATGCATTACACGCCGCGTAACAACAACCAAGCCGTCAAACGTCTGCGCATGGGCGAATATTGCAACGACTAGGTAACGTGCTTTCAGGCTGTCAGAGCAAAGTTGTCTCACGCAAGTTACGACTAACAGCGACACAAGGCAGTTAGTCATGGTGTTTTAAAAGCTAATAATTTTTTGGTAAAGTTCAAAACAGAATGGTAAAATAACAGGATACCCGTACTTGCATAAGTTTTGTGTTCCAAAGCCTTGAATTTTCCTTTTCTCTACTTTCGGTTCTTTTTAGAGATTTCTATGAACGCTTCAGTTTTCTTTCACTGTTTCAGCGAGAGAGCGGTTGCTTCTTAAGTTTATCCTTTGATATTTTGCGCGGTAATTTGGCGCGCGACAAGCCAGAATTGATCCCTTCGCGCATGCCCGACGTTTGACTGTTGTGTTCGTCATTCGTAACGACGCGCCATTCGCTTTCTGCTTAGTGCTTCTTTTCCAGCGTTCTGTGGCGCTCGTTTTGGTTCACTTACAGCCCGCACCGTATTTTTATATGCAGGGGAAATCAAACTATCTTCTACAAACTTGTATAAAATTCTCGGACGTTTGGCCTACTCCATGCACGCGAGACGTACAGCAACAAATGACAATTATTTTAGCTTTGCCCCTCATGTTACACCGCCTAGTCTACTGAATGTATAATTAATAAGCTGCCGATTACATTTTAAACTCAGTTTTAAACCTTTTACGCCTCATCCACGATCCTGTAATTTTCCATGTTCGCTTGTTCTGACCAGGCCGCGTGTCTCGCACCATCCATCTCAGGAGCTAATTGGTTTCCGTCTTCCAGTCTGTGATGTGCTCCACCAATCACAGCTCCGCATTCATTGCACGTGCTTTTCTGCATGGCACCACCACACTCACCTATAGTGTAGGGATGTCCGTTTGGACATTTGAACCAATGACCTTGTTTAAAGCCCATGGCAGATACGATTTGTTGTCTCTCTTCTGGCGTTATCGGCCTAAGACTTGGGTAATCCTTCCTATAATAAACAAAGAGGAAACTAATTTGTTTTACACTATCTCCATCGACGTTACTGTTTTAGTTTTTACGACCTTACTGTACCTTAGAAGTCACAAATTTCAAGATTTTGTTTCCTTCACAAAAGGCAGCCGAAACAAATCGCCCCCCCACAGGAATCCCACTCGGGATTACGCTGCCCACAAGTAAGGTAACAAAATGTGAAGACACTCATAATATTAGAGAGATTTAGAAAAAAAGTACGAAAACGGCAAAAGGCAAATGACTCGCTCGTAAACGTGATTCTAAATCTATCTATTATAGATAACATTTTTCACAGACAGAAGCGAATAGCAAATTTTCTAACTTCTTTTTTGTTTTAGATACTTCATTTCAGTTACCCCAACCATTTCGTCGGGCTTTGCTGATAGTTTTCAGTGTCTTTTAAAACTCCTGGGTTGGGAGAAGGTCACGTTGTATCTGATATGATTGTCTTAAAACGAAAGTTATCATCTGATACCCACCTAATTCCCGATAACATCTCTAGTAGTTCGTCAAGCCTCTCGGTTTGTATAAGTTTACCGCTGGACAGCTCATCCTGCACATCTCTCAAAAGGTTACCATGCGATTCCATCAGCGTCAAGTTGAGTTCTGTAATGTTGTGTTTCAGCAGACACAGTTCGAATCGCAGATTAATCCTTGTAAATTCCAAGTTTATGTCGCACAGCTCTCTCTCCGAGACTGTTCCAGATATTGCACGTGTTTTTAAATACTCCAACTCCTCCTGGAGAGTCAAACCTAGCAACCAAATAATGCAAAAAGGGTTTACTTCCATCTTTTTCTTTAATCAGAGTAGGATAATCGATAAACCGAGTCAATCCCTTCGCCGTCAAAAGAAAACCCCCGCCCCCTCCCTCCCCCCCCCCCCCTTATATCCACCCCAGTTTCCTTATACATCTTAACATTAACTCAAGCTTAAAGTTCAAAACCTTCACCTTTACTTGAGAGAGGATGTGTTACAGTCAGCGAGGTAGTCAGTCCGTTGGGAGGGGGGGTGGGGTATTGCAAGACATTTGGTTTCAGCAACTTAATTGGCCACAACAGAGGCCTGTCTCTCAGACATTTTTTAAATACAAGGATTCAAAACGCGCCAAACGAAAAAACACGCTTGTAAACATACCTTCTGATTGACTCCTGTTGTTGGGAAGCTTTGCTTTAAGCTTCCGGTCTATCGGGAGAAATCGCTCCATCAGCATCACCTGGTTTGTGACTACAACTGCCACTACTGAGTTGGATATTTTGTTGACACGTTTCATCAATACGCTCCGCTCCTCCTCAGCTGCAAATTTCGGCCGTAAAACTCGCAAACGTTCTTTCAAATCTTCTCTCGTGGTTTCGATCTCATCCTGATTCCCGTTGACCTTGGCCTTCACTTTCACAATGTCGAGCAGCTGCTGTTTAATAACATTACCGTATCGCTGGCTCCTTCGGATAGCAGTCTTGCAACGAGGACAAGTTTTCAGTTGAATCATGTGACGATTATCTTCGCTGTTAATGGGCATGTCCATGTAGCTACAAAAAATTACGGTAAAAATATCATTATTATCTAATCTTGCTTGTTCGGAATCGTTATAATCAAAGCTCGATAAACAAATTTAAACTTTATACTCTTATTTACCTATCGACATCTGAGCTGAGAGGTAGTTGTGCTAGTTCGTAATGAGGAAACGGCCTGTTTCTGCTACCCACTCAATTCAACATCTATTTAACGAACCAGTCTGTATAACTTTCACATTTAACGAAACATTTTGATCCAAGACAAAGATATAGTTAAGTTCTAGGGTTAAGGAAAGTAAAATAGATAATTTTCAAATAAGAGGTTCAATCATTCCTATACTGTCTTGCTTTACAATTACTTCTACCCGAACTACGGACCTCCTTTTACTGTTTCTCAAAGACTCAATGGGAGCCGCCGAACTATAGCCCACTAATCCTCATCAATTTAATTCAGTCATAGATCCAGGGCTTAGCATAACAGTTTCGACAAGAATAGCACCGGTTTGTTCCAAAACAAAATCCCATAATGTTGTCAAAGCTTAATGGGGCTTACCAAGTCATAATGCAGCATTTTTGGCAAAAAGCTAACAAATTGTTCATACTTACTAATCAAGATCTTTTACTGCGAAGATGTGTTTGCAGTCCGGAAGCTGAATAAAACGTGCACCAGATTCGTCTTCTCTACCTAAAAAAATTTGGGTGATCGGGTCGCCATCGTTCTTCATGCACACAGCACAAATACATTGCTCTCCACACAAACCTCGACAACGATGGCGACGACCCTTCTTTTCACATTTGAGGAACTTCTTGCAGGGCCTGTCACATCTTGGGCGATCGCACAATTCACCACACAACTTGCTACACTTGAAATGAAAACATTCCCACTTGCACTTTTCAGCGCAAGGCTTGCAAGCCTCCCCACACTGGAAATCACATTTCGAATGCACGCAACGGTTTTCGCAAGATACCGTGCAAGGCGGGCAAGAGCTTGTGCACCCTGCCTTGCAGACATGAGAGCAGACCAATACACGGCTACACTTCAGTTTGCAGCGCTTATGAACTCGACCCATGCGACACTCGCCACACTTCCCGGGGCACGGGTGACCACATTCCAAAGTGGCACCACAAAGGACTGGGCAATCTGCCGGAGTTGCCGAGCAAGCAATCTCAACTTCATGACCACAAGGCCAATCTTTTCTCTTGACAAGCTCTTGGCATTTTCTTGTGCAAGGTTGACTACAGTAGCTCTGACAGCGGTGGAAACAGGGTAGCTTTTTATCGCACGTCACTCGGCACTGGACCTTCTTCAAATCATCTCCGCATTTCACGGTTGTCTTATGCCCGCAGGATGGTAAAGCCTTCTCCACCACCACTTGACAGTATGTGTCGCATTTCTGCCAGCAAAGCTTTGAACACGTGTGGTCACAGCCAACGATTTTCTTAACGCACGGCTCTCCGCACCGATATTCCAAGTGATCGACATCATTTGGGTGACATGACCGTTTGCATGCATGCCCGCATTTCAGGCGCACTTCACAGGGACGCTGACATCCCCCTTCAGGAGCTTTTCCTTCGAAATCTTCGGCTGTTTCTGCTGTGATCTCTTCATTGTGGCTTTGACAGATGAGAGTTAAAGACTCTCCAAAGCTACTACTTGCTTTTAAATCGTCGACAATTTTGTTCCAGACTTCACTGTGTTTGCAGAGAAGGGTGAAGTTTCCAATACAGTAAAAGCCCTCTTTAGCACGAGAAAGCGCCACGCATGCACGGTTTTCCATCTTGATGAACCCAGCCTCGTCTTCTTCGTTACTGCGCACGAGCGATAGAAGAATGATGTCATTTTCTTCACCTTGAAAGTTGTCAACTGTTGTAAGACGCACTTGGCTGAGGTCGTCCCTTTGTCTCACTTGGACGCAGTCTCTGATGGCGAACATTTGTCCTGTGTAGGTTGTCAGAAGGGTAATTTGATGGGCTTTATAACCTTGTTGTAACAGATACCGACACAAGGCCACCACAAACTTAGCTTCGTGATCATTCACGTGGCTGTACGAATCTTCGCAGGGATTCTCTAAATGACTGTGGTTGATAAAGAACATGTTCTTCTTCATTCCTCTGATATCTTTATATTTCTCCACTGTCTTGTGATTCTCAAGATCGTCATAAATGTGTTTCATCAAGGCGGCAATTTCAGGTCTCATACGATGTTGTACGTTGAGGGTCTCACACTGAAGTCCCACATTCACCATTCTCTCAAACAGGGACACATCCAGATGGTACTTCTTGGCTAAGACATACACTTCCGGTTTAGGTCTGAGTTGCTTGTGATCACCAATCAAAATCAGGTGTTGACAGTCTTTGGTCAGTGACGTAATTATGTGGGCCTCCATTACTTCAGCGGCTTCTTCAACAAGTACAATTTTAGGGCGTATCCGCTGGAGTATACGGCGGTATTTGGCGGCACAAGTGGTGGTCATTCCAATGATCTTCGCACTTTGGAGAACATGAAAGTCTTCTTCTTGCATCACTTCAAACTTACGCGCCAATGCTCTTTCGTAATCTGGCTGTTTGCTCTGAAGTTTCCTCATGTAGTATTTCTCTGCTTTCTGAAGCCACAATCTGTACAGATTCCATCGTTCGGGTAGCGACAATTTCAACAAGTTGAAAATATTACTTTTCTGCCCACTAATGACTTCCTCTCGAAGAAGATGGTTACGAAGGAAAACCGGTTTTTGGATGTCTTCAGTTGTACTGATAGTTACATCTGAAGGTTGGATTTCTCTTTCCTCCTCGTTATCTTCGAAGTTCCGAGCTGACTCCTGCGTCTGAAAAACTTTCTCCATTTTTGCTTCATAGTCACTGTTCTTGGTATCATTTCGCTTAGCAACGAAGTGCAGCCCCAACCATTCACATAACAAATAATCGTTGCTGTGTGGAAATTTGTTGAACCATTTGACATGACGAACCATCATGAATTTCATTAAAATTTGAAAGGTGAGAATCCTTCTTCTGGAAAATTTTAGGACAGTAACACAAAGATCGAGGGATCCTTCTTTGTTTAGTTCTCTGATTTCGTCTTGGGCACTTCTTCTTGCACTGTAGATTGTATATGGAGTTTCCTTGTTGTCAGCAGCTTCATTCCGCCGAGCCTTCAGGGAGCAGTGCTCCAACTTTTCACTGCAACGTCCACCAACGCGCACAATACCTATTATGGGTAATACATTCCAGAAAAAATATAATTAAACGCATTTATATACACACAGGTATTTACTTTTTTACCACAGTATGCAGTAATGTCGTAATCTGATTGGCCAATTTGCCGTTGTCGAAAAGAGTACAGACAACGTCGCTCGCGCCAACGAGACATGCAATGGTCACTAACTGAAAGACTCGTTTTGATGTCCATATTGTGATAAAAAAAATCGACTTTGGTTAAGTGTGGTGTGTACTCTTATCGACACTGCTAAACCACTGCATTGCATCTGATTGGTTAAAAGGGTAGCCTAAGTTCTCTCAAACACTCAAGAAGTGTTTCAGAGCAAACGTAACGATTCTAGAAAAGCTCAGTTTTAGTCTTTGGCCCTTTGTTAGTGACTTTGAGCCCCAAAAGTTCTCACACATGTAAGATGCCCCCCTTTTGTAACTTTACCTTCCATCGGTAGGCCGGCCAAGAAATCGTCTAAGGCGTGGTTCGTGTACGACACCATCAAAATTGGTGACGGTTCACTATCCTTCTGCCACATAGGGGCGCTCTGTAGAAGAACACGTGCTATCTTGTGACCAACGTACGTCTTCCCAGTCCCTGGCGGTCCTTGAATGACGGCGAACTTTTTGGTCAGTGCCATTTTGAATGCGCTCATCTGTGACTCGTTGAAGCCCAGATCTTCTGGATTGAGTTCCAAGTCGTAAATATTCTCGACACGAGCGGGTCGGTTGGTTACTTGGCTGCTATTTTCGGAAGCTTCATTACTGTCATCACCGGCACTTGGTTGAGAAGCCGTTGAGTCCACTCCTTCTCCTATCATTCCACTCATGTCGAACAAACCACCGGTGTTAATTTCATACGCAGGTGGCTCCACATCTTGATTGCATTGTACAATGTGTTCTTCAAATGGAAGTCCACCCGGCTCAATTTCTTGCAAACCTTCCAAAACATGCCTGTAGGCTTGAAAGAACGCTGGGGATTCTACCATATCAAACTTCTTTTTTTCCTCAATAAACCGATTCAGGTTTTCGAACTGAACGTCTTCAAATCGCACTTCAAGCTCGCCAACACAGAGGTCGCGTGAATCTCGATTCTCCACGATCGCAAATAAAAGAGTGCGAAATTCGTCTGATGAAAGACAAAGAAGAGAGCCCAGTTTGAGAAGCTTGCTCTTCTCCCATCTCACGCGAACTACATCCGGGTGAGACGAGTTGAACCGGATTCTGTAAACCATACCCTTTCCGCTGCATACGGGATACATTAATGTGACGTCATGGTACACGCGAACGCTTCGCGCCCGTTTACTGTGGTTTACGTTCCCTGCTCCCGGATTGTAGGACTTCTGAAGTTGTTCTATCCCATTGCGCAAAGGCAAGATGAAGTCTTCTCTTAAAAGTCGAAATTGCACGTCTAAATAATGATCCTGGTCTAAGTACTTTCCATCTACAACGTTTTCACGAAGGAAAGGCTTGCTGTAAGGTCTTAAATCTGCGGCTTGGGGAACCACGCTCATTGTTCGAAAATCCTCGGGTGGAGTTCGATGAGATTGATTCTGGCGAACTGTTTTGCGGCGATTTATGTCATCTTTGTACTCCTTGACTTGATGAAGTTTCTTCTCTAACCTCTCTGCGTCTCCAAGGACACCCTTACTCTTCAGATTACCCACCGTCTCATTCAGTTGGGCACTGGGAATGAAGTGAATTACGTCCTGTTCAAATCTCTGCAGCAACTCCAAGAAAACCTCTGCTAACAGCAAGACCAGTCTATCAGGCTGGTAATTGTCACTAAACGCCGAGACATTGGACATCTGGCTGATAAACTTAGTTAGATGCAACTGTAAAAAATTTGTTTTAATTACCATGCGCAGAAGTTTATTAGCAATCTCCTTTTTATCATTCGGTAAGCAGCACATGTGAATAGCTCGAATAACAAGCTTCATCAGATCGGGTCGTATTTCTTCTGCCTCTAGTAGAGCTTCAAATCGTTTAGATTTGTTGAAAAGATCCAAAATTCCCTCGTCAGGAGAGTTTGAATCACACACTTTTTCTAAGGCCCTATAATTGAGAGGATTAGAATCTCTTCCTCGTTGTACATGTGTTCCTGCCCCATTTCTATCAAATGCGGGTCTTCTTCCCCGGGAAAACTCATGTGAATGACGAGTTCTACTGCCATTTCGTTCCATTAATCCTTGTCCATTGAAAGAGACGCGCGGATTTCTTTCTCCTGTAACAGCTCTCTTCATTTTTGTTCTATTTTGAAGTGTGCCATCGAGTGTTTGGCATACCTAAGGTCACTGAGAACTTCTTTTCTTCTTTCGAAAAAACAGAAAGAAAGAAAACGTTACCAAAAATTCTCGTGAAAAAAGGTGATAAGATAGTAAGTGGTTAGGGTTAGGGTTAGGGTTAGTCGGATTTTCCTGATTTGAGGAGTCCTGAAAAGGACTGTTGTTGCTTACAGTTACTATTGTTTCGACAACCTCAGCGGAAGTCACTATCAGAGTCAAGAGAAGAGCTACCTTTCAGTGGAGTGTAAGGAGTCTGGCTCGTAAATTTGATTGGTCAATTTTGCGCTTGAAAGTCAGTCAGTCGGTCGGTCAGCCATTAAGCAAGTTTGTGGTCGTGTTTGAAGCTTTCCAAGTTAAAGTAACTATTTGATAAACCTTGAGAATTGTTATTGATCAGCTAACGTTGATCAGCAGCATTTGCATCAATGTTTGTGTTTTTGAGGGTAACAAAATAAGACTAAAAACTCGTATACCTGAACTTAGTTTTGTAGGATTAAGGTGGTTTAGAGATCTCTCCAGGAGTTGGTAAAATCGTTTCTACAGAAAACTGTATTTTAACAAGCTATGGGTGATGAGCTGCTCATGTTTTTTTACCCAACAGCTTGGTATTCCTTAGATAGATCTATCTAAAGGCTCTCTAATGTAAAAATTACTTTAGCCGTTGAGGGCACTCTAATATTGATCCCAAGGGAACCCTACTAAGCGTCTTGTTTGCTTATCCTCCTAGCCTGCAGAGCAGGCGTAATTTTGGCGAGCGAGTACTCAGTATTTTTCAGCGACAATTATGGCCGCCATCTTTGATTTTAATGGCAGTGGTGAGCTGGGGAGAGAAAGAAATTTTTACCAAGGGGGTTAGTGACGATCAAAACAAGGAGAGGGGTGGGGATGGGGAAAATATTTCTCCTTTCGCCCCTCCCCCCCTTCCGATGCCTCTATTTCCAAATCATATATGGCCGGTTGAATAAGCGATCGCGAGCTTCTTAAAGTTAACTCGCCCTAATAAGACGCCTGAACTTCAGCTACCAATTTGTCTGTTTCTACTGCGCGCTACAGACATTGCAAATTTACATGTTATCAGTTATCATAATCTAGTTAATGCACTCTGGTACTTTAGACCTTGATTCATAACATTCTTAAACAGCTTGAGTTTACCGATTAGATGAACGACCCCGGAAACTTATAGCTTCAAGATGGTCGTGTCCATAGAAAGATTCTGTTCAGTCTAAAAACGAGCACGCGAAAAGAAACCGCAGAAGATACCAGAAATTCAATCGCTACATTAAACATCAATACCGTTTTCAATGAGTGTGTCTTCATCTCAGTGAAATATTCTGAAGTCTCCAAGTTTAGAAGTACTGTTTTCTGTAGCATCGAGGATCTTTCGATAAAGGTAAGTATTTCAACTTTAACCTACTAAGTAACTTTGGAATTCCACACACGTTTCGATCTAATTATTCAGGATGGAAATATGTTGTTTTAAAGTTTTCTTGAGAACGCTCAGATCCTGTTGGAAGTCGACGTACTTCTCTTTTACTATCAGATCGATTTCTTTACTAAAGTTGTGGAAATTCTTTCCAATAACAAGAATCAGCGCATTACCAAGTACAAAAGTCCATGTATTTGCACATAATCGAATTTCCGGGAATCTTGAAGGCCTTAAGCTTCAGTCGCTGAGAGTTAGTACTACTATCTGAAATATTCAGGAATATTAATGATTAATACATACCCAAGACTCCCTTGAAATAGATTTGGTGCACCACTTATCACGAAAACAGGGAAAAAGAAGATGGAAAAGATGTAAACGTCACTTGAGCGCTACTATCTTTCGGACTAGATTATTCTGCGAAACACTGCCAAGCAGGAATTCCGGGAAAAGCATCCTCTTCGTGATTGGTCGAACGCATGGAATGATTCTTGTGTCACGTAAGAAAAGCGAGATTCAATCACGCGACCAAGAAGTAATGTTATACAACGGCAAAAGTTTCGCGAATCTATTCGCTAGACTTTGCGAACTGACGCAACAAAATTCGAGCAAAAAATTAATAAGTTTACCATGAAGAGTAAAAACTTTGTTAAGAAACGAGATCAACAAAAATTTGCATATTAACAAAGCATTATAAATTTGATTTTGTTCAAAAGAATTTCCACAGACCCCCTACGTAAATTTCCCATTGTCTCTTGAAGATATATTACAATTCATTTCTAATTTAAGGCACTCATTAGCATATAGAAGCAAAACATTTTTCTCTAGAACCGTACACAAGTTATTCAGAAATTGTATATACGAAAAAAATGTTACATCATTCAAGCTCTCATTCTTCTAAATTCATTCTTTGTAATAAAATTATAGCCTACGTGACGATAAAGTAAACCAAAACCAAAACAATTCTCCCTTACATCGGTCAAAAACCATACTTGCATTTTAAAATGGCTACTAATGAAACTCAAGGCCGTTCTGAATCAGTTGTTTTCAACACGGTACGGTCATCAATTATCCTCATAATATATACACAATTTCCACATACCTTTGCTTCAGTTGGAGCCGTTGAAAAGATCTTTCTCTGCTAAAGACATGGAAAATAAGGACAGCATCTGTGGTTCACATTTCGCAAAAGCATCTTCCTTGTGATTGGTTGAATGTTCAGAGTTGATCACAAAAACGAATCGAATTTCAGTGACGTGATCCTTGAGTCAGTCAAAACCAATTAACTAAGGATTACGCGTAGAAAGGAAGTGATTTGTTGGTAAGTAGTTTCTGGAGGGAAATGCGTCAAAAAAACAACAACAGAAAAATGATCGATCGATTTATAGCGAAAGGATCTTAAGAGACCGTTTCTCAAGTGTGTAACGTAACAGTTTTTTTCAAAAGGATGACCCCATTTTTCAATAGGATCAACCCTTTAACTACCAAGATCTCATTAGTAATTCTCCTTACTGTCTGCCATACAGTTCTTGTGATGTTAGTTCTGAGAATTTGGTACCGAATCAACAAATAATCCCATAACTGATATTTTTCTTTATTCTCATCCCTTGCCTCTTTGATATTGTGTTGATTTGGTAAGGAGAATTTGTCTTGGTCACTCATCGGAGTTAAAGGGTCTGGATCTCCATAGAAGTAATCAGGATCCTTTCTTATATCAACAAAGAGAGCTAAAACGGGGAAAGCAAATACAATTTATTCATCACCGACTAACACTGTTTTTCGAAATATACTGACGGATCCGAGAGGACTGATTAAATAAGTCACGCAAGATAAGCCAACGTGACAAACGCCACTATATTTTTGTGGCGGTTTTCATCCCATATTCAGAGGGGATTTTCTTGGAATTTTTCTTTAAGGGTAAATAAGGGGAATGGAAAGCAGAAATCTCGAGAAAACTCGCCAGGGAAAAACAAAAAAATTAATGTTTTAGTGTCAAGAACCAATCAAATCATAGTTAGTAGAGGAGACGAATCAAATGATTCAATCTTTCCTGATAACGGTATTTTGACATTATTTACACCAAGGGAATATTCTCTTGTCTACACCCACCACACTGATTTTGATCTTTTACCCTCTTAGTTTATTCGAGTTTCGATTAGGTTTAAACTGAGCTAGCTCCAAGAAAGCAGTGTACAAATTAAGATGTAATAATCGGTCACCCTCTACATGAAAGCTATTTGCGATCAGAAAAAGTATTCCCAATTTCTTTCAACGCAAAAGGACTGCGTTGGACGCCCGGAGGATTACTCAGGTCCATTTTTGCTGGTTATATGCCGCAGACCTCTCAGAGCCCCTAACCCCATTCAGGAGTCCAAGTAATGTGCTCCTGCCCCAACTTTGTGGCCAATTATTGACACCATATTAATCCATTTTTCAATCGCAAATTTTCCCATTACTAATTTCCCACTAACCAAAGTTTTCTCACCCCAAAATCCCGCAAAAACGTACGGCCCCGACTCTGATAAAAATGAAACTTTTTTATCCTCAATCCAGCAGTAAAAATGCGACCAATCCAGTGGCAAATCCCCAAAACAAAATTACTAGGAAGTAACCTCCCCCCCCTTCGGGAGGATTGGACGCCAAGTAACAACGCACTGCGCGTCTTAGCGTTTATTCCCCAGTGTTGCTTGTTGTACGTTTCCGTTGGCCAACAGCTTGCTGCCATGCTTTCGTATGCACAGGGAAAAAAAAAAGTAAAGCTTAATCACAGGTTTCCTGAAAAAGACACATTTCTAATGAAACTTGACTCCAAATAAACAAGTCTTAGTTAAAATTCATTAGCCTCGCACCTTAAGTTGACGCTATGCAATCAAATCGGCGTAAACATTAATTCCGCTTATCCTTCGCTAAGCCAGCGATACGCGAAAGAACAAATCACGATAGTTAAACTTTCCCTCTCATGGCACACCACCTAAATTTTCTATTGAACGTATAATTAACAAGCTGAAACCATTGCATGCAAATCGAAGTAAAACTCTATTCCGCTCAGCCTTTGCTAAGCACGCGGTACGCGAGAGAAAAAAAATCCTTATTGGTTTAGCTCTGCCGCTCATGCCACACTGTCCAAGGAGTCTACTGAAAATATAGTCAGTGAGGTTCCGATTACTTTAAAAACTCAGTTTTAAACCTTTTTTACGCCTCATCCATGATCACGTAATTTTCCATGTTCGCCTGTTCGGACCAGGCAGGGTATCTCGCACCATCCATCTCAGTCGCCACTTGGTTGTCTTCTACTAGTCGGTGATTTTCTCCGCCAATCACAGCTCCGCAATCAGGACACGTGCTTTTCTCCATAGCGCCGCCACACTCAGTAATGGCATAGATATGTCCCTGGGGACATTTGTACCAATGACCTTGTTTGAGGCCCATGGCCGTCACGATCTGTTGTTTTTCTTCGGGTGTCAACGGTAACAGACATGGGTACGCTTTTCTAAAATGCAAGTAGTACAAAATGTATTATCTTTACTATCATAGTCGTCATCGTCGTTATTGTCTTCACTATAAAAATCCTAAAATGACACAAATTTCTTGCGTCTCCTTCAAAACGGAAAGACCGAACAGATCACTTGCGTAGCAATTCTGGGCCTCGATGCTCAAAATTAGGTAATCAAAAGTGAAGACACCCGGAATAATGGAGAGATTTACGAAAATGTTATCGCGAATAGTACCAGACAGTGATTCAACTCTTTCTATTTGCATCTCTGCCGTTTGTTTAGTGGTATAAAAGTTTTTTTTCATGAGAGTGTAAGGCGTGGTTGACAAGGAGATAGCTCGTCATGGTTTCCCCCAACTCGAACGCGTACGGGTCAAAAGGCTCGTGATATGTAATTATTGACTGAGTGAGGGGACCATACGGCTTGAGGGGCATGTCATAATTTACAGACCGAGTGCAGCGTCAATAGGTTAAAAAGAACTTTATTATATGACCGCTGCTCTTTTATTTCCCTCCTTTCTTCGATTAGCTCGCATCTTGCGCGGCCGCACGGCTTTATCTGGCCCTGTTTGCGCCATCAACTACCGTCATACGGGCTTTCTTGTCTAATATTTACCAATAAACGCGCGCACGAGGCCGTACGGGTCATAGAGTAACTTTTAAAAATGCCTTAACCCTTAAACTCTCGGAAGTGATTACATGTAACTTCTCCCTAGAGTATCCATACATTATACAGCAAACAGGTAATGAGAACACTAAAACTCATCAGGTACAATTTATTACCTTGATTGAACACCTAGTTCTCGTAATCAATCAATAAGGAAATGTGTAGTAACTAGAGGGGAGAATTGACAATCAGATCTTGGGAGTTAAGGGGTTAAAAGACAAAAGACACTGTCAAGTAACACACCTGACTCCCGACAGCATATCTAACAGCTCGTCTAATCTCTCAGTTTGAATTAGTTTACCACTGGATAACTCATCGCGAACATCTCTCATCATCTGACCATGCGATTCCTCCGGAGTCAAGTTGACGCTTGCGATGTCGTGTTTCAGCAGACACAGCTCCAATCGCAGATTAACCCTGGTACATTCCAGGTTTATGTCATGCAGCTCTCGCTCCGTGACTTCTCCTGACTTTGCACGTTTCTGCAAATACTTCAGATCCTCTTGCAAAGAGAACCCTACCAAATGACACCAAAGTAAGTAATGATACTCTGAAGGAAGCGAACAATTATTATGGGAAATACTCGCAAGCTCACGTTTAAAAGAAAAAATCATCGTGAGATCGCAACTCCTTAACTTTTTACCTGCCATGAGTGACCAAGACAGAATTTCTCCTCACAATATCAACACAATACCAAGCATAGAAGTGATGAGAATAAAGAAAAATATCAATTAGGGGACTACAAGTTGATCCAATACCAAATTCTCCAAATTGACATCATAAGAATTGTATGTAAGACAGTAAGGAGAATTACTAATGAGAACTTGGGAGTTAAAGGTTTAAAGGACCAGTCATTATCTACCACCTGGGGGGGGGGGAGACTACAGAAAATCGATTGCTAATCAGGGGAGATCAGGTAAATTTTGTTGTAACAGAACCAAAATCCTCTGCAGCCCATCCCCCCTCCGTGGCGATAAATGAGACAGTGTGCTTCAGAAAAATTTATCACATACTATGCTATGGGCAAAATAAAATGTTATAGCTGTAGCGGGCGGAGGGGGGATGGGGGGAAATGTCAGTATGTCAGTGGAGGGTTAACCTAGATGTTAAGGGAACTTTCACAGTAAACAAAAGAGGGTTTCATTTTCCCCAAACAGAGGCATTTATCTTGATCTCTACTGACGGTAATCTCATTCACACGCTGAAAAGGAAAAAAATAATTGCGCACGTACCTTCCACACGACTTTCGTCGTTGACTTGGCTCTGGGTCTTAATAGATAGTCTATGCTTCATCTTCTGGTTTATCTCCGCAAATCTCTTCATCAGCATCACCTGGTTTTTGGTGACAGCTGCCATAAACATGTTCGACAATTTGGTCACACGTTTCATTAGTATGTCCCAGTCTCTCTCTTCATCTTCCGACTCAAGTGTCGGCTTCAAAGCTCTCAAACTTGTTTCCAAGTCTTTCTTTGCAGCCTCAATCTCAACCTGATCCCCGTTGACCTTGGCCTTGACTTTTTCAATGTCAAGCAACTGCTGTTTAATAACGTTACCGTATCGCAGGCTCTTACGGATCCCCTTCTTACATCGAGGACAGGTTTTCAGTTGAATCACATCATGGCTCTCTTCGTCGAGATGCGACGTATCCATGTAGCTATGAAATAACGATAATAAAGACTGTTAAGGGTATTGTATAATTTACACGAGATAAAATTGTCCACAGAACATGTGTAAGCTAACTCCACACACTGAGACACCCAAAGCTCATGGCCAAGGTCTGACAGTATTGGTTCTAATGGCGCAATGGCAGATGCAAGGAGAAGGTCCAGGGGTCAGGACCAGCCCCCCTCCCTTAGCAGACGTATGGGTTTTGTCGCTTTTTGTCTGACACCAAAATTCTAGCAACAAAAGGATCACACGTTACTAATCAATAAAGTAATTCAAAATGCACTTGTCTTGAGAAAACTTCTCATCATATTTAGGCTATAGGATTCCAGGATCCGCTCTTGTAGCGGCTCTTTTAAAATTACCACACAATTCCACGAAATGGGGCTCAACTCTAGTTTAGATTCGTTGGACCTGGGTGTACAAAGAATTTCAGCGTTCGATGAAAGAAAAATATAATACACTCTACTTACTAATCAAGATCTTTTACTGCGAAGATGTGTTTGCAGTCCGGAAGCTGAATGAAACGTGCACCTTTTTCGTCTTCTCCACCTAAAAATGTTTGGGTGATTGGGTAGCCATCGTTGTCCTGGCACACGGCACAAATGCAATCCTCCCCACACAAGCCTCGGCAGCGATGGGGACGACCCTCACTTCCGCATTTGAGGAACTGTTTGCAAGGCATGTCACATCTTAGGCGATCGCACAACTCACCACACAAACTTGCTACATCTGTAATGTAAGCATTCCCAGTTGCACTTTTCTGCGCAAGACTTGCACGCCTCACCACAAGGGTGTTTGCACTCCGAATGCCTACAACGGTTTTCGCATGACATCCTACATGGTGGGCAGAATTTTGTGCATGATGCCAGGCATTCATGAGAACAAACTAGGAGACGCTTGCACCTTTTCTTGCACCGCTTGTGAACTCGACCCATGCGACACTCCCCGCAGTTCCCAGGGCACGAGTGGCCGCATTCCAAAGTGGCCCCACAAAGGGCTGGGCATTCTACTGGAGTTGCTGAGCAGGCAACATTTTCTCCATGTCCACATGGCCAATCTGTTCTCCTGACAAGCTCTTGGCATTTTCTTGTGCAAGGTTGACCGCAGCGGCTCTGACAGCGGTGGGAACAGGGTAGAATTTTATCGCATTGTTCTTCGCACTTTACATTCTTCAAATCCCTGCCGCATCTGACGGTTGTCTTATGCCCACAGGATGGTAAAGTCTTCTCCGCCACCTCTTGACAGAATGTGTCACATTTCTCCCAGCAAACCTTTGAACACGTGTGGTCACAACCAACGATTTTCCTGACGCACGGCTCTCCACACTGATACTCCAAGTGATCGACATCATATGGATGACATGATCGTTTGCAAGCATGACCGCAATCCAGGCGCACTTCGCAAGGACGCTGACATCCCCCGTTGGGAGCTTTCTCTACGAAATCTTCGGCTGTTTCTGCTGTGATCTCTTCATTGTGGCTTTGACAGCTAAGGGGTAAGGACGCGCCAAAGCTATCACTCGCTTTCAAATCGTCAATAATCTTGCTCCAGACTTCACTGTGTTTGCAGAGAAGGGTGAAGTTTGCAATACAGTAGAAGCCCTTTCTAGCACGAGAGAGCGCCACACATGCACGGTTTTCCATCTTGATGAAGCCAGCCTGGTCATCTTTGTTGCTCCGCACGAGTGAGAGAAGAATGACGTCGTTTTCTTCACCTTGAAAGTTGTCGACTGTTGTCAGGCGCACTTGGTTGAGCTCTTCAATTCCTTTTTCTTGAAGGCAGTCTCTGATGGCAAACATTTGTCCCGTATATGTTGTCAAAAGGGTAATTTGATGGGCTTCATAACCTTGCTGCAACAGATAACGACACAAGGCCACCACAAACTTAACCTCGTAGTCATTCACGTGACTGTGGGAATCTTCACAAGGATTCTCCAAATGACTGTGGTTGATGAAGAACATGTTCTTCTTGATTCCTTTGATGTCTTCATATTTCTCTACCGACTCGTGATTCTCGAGATCGTCATAGATATGTTTCATTAAGGCGGCAATTTCAGGTCTCATACGATGCTGTACGTTGAGGGTCTCACACTGAAGACCCACATTCACCATTCGCTCAAACAGGGACACATCCAGATAGTACTTCTTGGCTGATTCGTAAAGTTCCGGCTTAGGTCTTAGTTGCTTGTGATCACCAATCAAAATCAAATGCTGATAGTCTTTGGTCAGTGACGTAATTATGTGGGCCTCCATTACTTCAGCGGCTTCCTCAACAATTACAATTTTAGGACGAATCCGCTGAAGTGTGCGGCGGTATTTGGCGGCACAAGTAGTAGTCATTCCAATGATCTTCGCATTTTGAAGAATATGAAAGTCTTCCTCGAGCATCACTTCAAACTTACGCGCCAATGCTCTTTCGTAATCTGGCTGTTTGCTCTGAAGTTTCTTCATGTAGTATTTCTCTGCTTTTTGAAGCCACGACCTGTACAGATTCCATCGTTGAAATCGCGAAAATCCTAAGAGGTCGTACTGACTATTTCTCTCTTCGCGTTCACTCATGGCTTCTTCTCTTAGAAGTTTTCTGCGAAGTTGAAGCGGTGCTGTAGTGTCTTCAGTTGTGCTGATAGTCGCCTCTGATGGCTTCACCTCTTCGTCTTCCTCGATGTCTTCGTAATCCTCTTCGTTCGAGAAATTCCGAGCTGACTCCCGCAGATGAAAATATTTGTACCTGTCCATATCATGTCCATTGCTCTTGGAACCCTTCCGCTTGATTTCGTACCGCAAGTCTAACCATTTACACAACAGTAAATCCTTGTTTTCTTGCGACTCTGTAAACCACTTGACATGACGAGGTGACATGAACTTCTCCAGTATGCGAAAGGCCAGAATCTTCCTTCTGGAGTACTTCAGGACAGCAACACAGAGGTCCAGGGATCCATCTTTGTTTAGCTCTTTGATCTCCCATTGAGCGTTTTTTCTTGCCCTGTATATTTCTAATGGAGTAAGCTTGTTGGAAGCCGTTTGCTCGCGCCGGTCCTTCAGGGTGCAGTCTTTCAACGTTTTACTGCTGCGTCCACCAACACGCACGATACCTGATGGGAGCAGACATTCCAGATCAAGGTCTTAGAATTATCATCATTAATGCACGTTCATCAAACGCCTAGGTAAAAATACATATATTTTTCTCGCAGCAATCTCCTATTTAGAAGAACAACAGTCCTATCAAAAAAACACTCGATCAAAAAGCGCGAGGGTAAAGTGATCAGGTCTGAAAGAAATCAAAGGGCTGGTAGAGGGAGAGAGAAACTCCTTGTTGATTAGAGCACTCTCCCCTCGAGTGTTGCAAAACAAAAATCAGATTATCAACAACATTCAATCAAAAAGGTAAAGATCACAAAGAACCAATGGGAACTTCAAGAAAACAATTGCAACAGATCTAAACGTGCAAACGATCGAGTCATGATGAGTTAGGATTGGTTTCTGATTATATTGGTTTTGTGCTTTAAGACAAAGTCAATGCAATTCTAGATTACTTTCGACCTTCAATCGAGACTTCTCTATTAAATTTTAAATTACCGCCGTAAAGATTCGAGAAGAGCTGATATATTATATTTCGGTATTTTTTTCAGAGAAGAAGAGGATCGCAGATTGCAAAAATGTTTACTTCCTTACCTTCTCTCGGAAGACCACTCAAGAAATCGTCCAAGGCGTGATTCGTGTAAGACACCATCAAAATTGGCGACGGTTCATTTTCGTTCTGCCGCAGGGTGCCGCTTTGTAGCAAAACACGTGCTATCTTCTGACCAACGTACGTCTTCCCAGTACCTGGTGGGCCTTGTATGACCGCAAAATTTTTGGTCAGTGCCATTTTGAACGCGCTCATCTGCGACTTATTAAAGCCCAGGTCTTCTGGATTGAGTTCCAAGTCGTAGATATTCAAGACACCAGCAGGTCGGTCGTCTGCCGGAGTTCCTTCACTGGAACCTTCGTTATCATCAATTAAAAGCTCATCTGTGGCAACGTAGTCCAAATCGCGGCCCGAACTGGCTGAATTTTCTTCGGAAAGCAACTCGAGATCAGGCATACTCCACTCGGCATCTTCGGTATTCGACTCCCAATCACGATTTACTAAATCACGATAATCGGAGATGACATTGTCTTCCCTGGAAACTGACTCAGTTTCCATGTTTTCCATGGCGTTCCTAACTTTGGATATTGTCAAGTCCACTCCCTTTTCTATTATTCCACTCATGTCGAAAAAACCACTGGTTTTGTTTTCATAAGCAGGTGGCTTCACATCTTGGTCGCATTGAACGATATGCTCTGCAAACGGAAGTTCACCGTCCTTAATTCCTTGCAAGCCTTCTAAAACGTGTCTGTAGGCTTCGAAGAACGCAGGGGATTCTACCATATCAAATTTCTTTTTATCTTCGATGAATTGATTCAGGATTTCAAGATTAGCTTCTTCAAATCGCACTTCAAGCTCGCCAACACAAAGATCGCGTGAATCTCGATTCTCCACGGTCGCAAATAGAAGATTGCGAAATCCATCGGCTGAAAGGCAAAGGAGGGAGCCAAACTTGAAAAGCTTGCTCTTCTTCTCCCATTTCACCCGACGTATATCCGGGTGAAACGAGTCGAACCGGATTCTGTAAACCATTCCCTTTCCACTACATACAGGGTATAAGATTGTGACGTCGCGGTACACAGGAACGTCTCGCGTACGTTTGTCGTGGCTTGGGTCATTTGCTGCCATGGGACTGCGGTCCCGTTTAAGCTGTTTTATTCCATTGCGAAGAGGTAAGATGAAGTCTTCTCTTAAAAGTCGAAATTGCACGTCTAAATAGTGCTCCTGGTCTAAGTACCTTCCATCAACAACATTTTTACGAAGAAACGGCTTGTTATGGGGTTCTAAATCAGCTACTCCTGGGATCACGCTCATATTGCGAAAATCCTCGGGTGGAGTTAGCTGAGACTCGTCTGGGTGAGTTGTTTTCCGGCGATTTATTTCATCTTTGTACTCCTTGACCTGTTGAAGCTTCTTCTCCAACGTCTCTGCGTCTTCAAGGAGACCCTTACTCTTCAGATCTCCCACCGTCTCATTCAGTTGGGCACTGGGAACGAGGTGAATAATGTTCTGTTCAAATCTCTGCAACAACTCCAGGAAAACCTCTGCTAACAGCAGGACCAGTTTATCAAGCTGGCGATTGTCACCAAGCTCTGAGACGTCGGACATTTGGCTGATAAACTTAGTAAGATGCAATTGCAGGAAATTTGTTTTAATTACCATACGTAGCATTTTGTTAGCAATCTCTTTCTTATCATTTGGTGAGCAGCACATGTGTATGGCTCGAATAACAAGCTTCATCAGATCGGGTCGTATTGTTTCTGTCTTTAGCAGAGCCTCAAATCGTTTAGAATTGTTGAAGAGATCCAATATGCCTTCATCAGGAGAGTTTGAATTGCAGATTTTATCCAATGCCATGTAATTGAGAGGCTCAGGATCTCTTTTTTGTTGAAGTCCAGCCTCCCCACGACTTTTTCCTCCATTTCTGTGAATTTCTCGTCTTCTCTCCAGGGAAAGCCCACGTGACTGCCATGTTCCACCTTCATTTCTTTCGATGAATCCTTGTCCTTCAACAGACATGCACAGTCTCTTTGATCTCAATGAATCATGACCGTCTTCGCTGAAGGATCTTTTATTTCCTATCACTGTTACGATTCTCTTCATTTTCTCTGAATTTGGAAGTTACCTTACCAGCGGCGTGGAATACATAACCTAAATACTTAAAAAATGGGAAAAAAAAGCAAAAGAATTATCCCGGCAATTGATAGTAATTGATCGTTAGTCTAAGCTCAAGTGTACTCTGTGAGAGTACACTTGACAATGACTTAAGTGACAGACAACCTGAGCAGAAGTCATCCTCCGAGTCACCTGAAGACTCACTTGTCAGTCGAGATGGTCTGGTACCTAATGCTGATTGGTCAGTTTTGCCGTGATGTCATTAGCATTTTAACCCAAGCAGCGAATGTCCTTCGGTCTGTTAGCAAGCAAATTTGTAATCATGTTTGGCGCTTGTTCAAGCTGTAGCAAAGAATGAAATAACTGAAAAATTGTTTACTGATCAGCTAACGTTGGTCAGGGACAGCAAAGCAGTGCTTGTGCTTTCATGATAAGAAAATTTGTCGAGAAGCAAGTGCGCTTAAACCAAATTCTTGTGAGAAGAAGAAGACTGCAAGATCTTTCCAGACTTCAGTAGAAACGTTTTTGCTCAAAACTACTCTTGACAAGCTGATTGTTTCAAAACATTGTTAAGAATAAAAATCGCGTCTAAGGACTCAAGTTATGGAAAATATAAGAACTTCAACTGGTCACGTAATTATAATGCCTTCTTAAGGAGTGTAGACTTCACAGTCCAGCGGATGATCTGTTAATATTTATCATGGCTGGCTTTTCGCTGAAGACTTTGTTTTGTCATCAACAGTATTAAATGTATGACACATCTGAGCCTTAGTAATGAAAAAAAGCGCAAACCACTTTTCTTTTGCTGTCATGAGCGTTGAAACACGAGCATCAGTAGAGAGCAAGCTAGTAACTATCAGAATGCCACAAGTTGCGAGGACGACATCAGTATTATCAACTAAGCGAACTATTCATCGAGTTGTTAGTTTTTGAAGTGCTGCTGTCTTGTGGCGGCGAGGATTTGTCGATAAAGTAGTGAATTAAAGTAAAGATTACAAACTTAACCCACCAGGTATATTGTGCACGCTTTCGAAATTAGCTATTCAGAATAAAAACCTACCGTTTCAGATTTGTTTTGAGAACGCTCATATTCCTATTCTGTGACAAGTTGACGCACTTTCCTGGTAAGATCAGCTCGATTTTAAAACTAGAGTCGTGAGAATTCTTTCCAATAACAAGCATCAGCATATTACCAAATACTGTACTCCATACATTAGCACATGCTTGCTAAATGCGTGAAGCTTCAGTTATCCGAGGGTTAATTAAAAATTCAACAATATTCATAATTCGTACGCGCTCAAGTCTCACATGCTTCATTGCTAGCAAAGAAAATTGAAAAAAATAAGATGAAAAAGCCGTAAACATCACAGTACGCCACCTTCTCTCAGAACATTCTGTTAAATTTTGCGACGAGCATCTGCGATTCCGAGAAAAGCATCCTCTTCCTGATTGGTTGAACGCATGGAATGATTCTTAAGTCACGCGACCATGAAGTAACGTTATAATTGTGACATTTTAAGGAATCTTTTACATGAGACTATGTGAACTGGTTGGTGGGAATACATCTGTTGTATGGGCTGTTTTATACAGTTAGAATGTTTAACCAAATGAGCCCTAATACAGTTCTTGACTAGTTATCATATGATATACATAAGTCCAGGGCGTGACGAGTAAAATGGCCACACGCGGTGACACGAACAAATCTCAATGATTGACTCAAAGGAATGACCCAAAGAATAGAAACTGATGACGCCAGTCGTAAAGAGCCAATGGGCGCTTAATGTTATATCAAGACATTGCCTAGGCCGTGGGAAAACAGGAGTGACATGGTCGCAAATGGCTTTCCTTTAGCATCTGACTGGTTGAAGTAGCACGTTTTTTAGACCAATCACAGACCAAAGTGAAGCAAATCGTAAGCAATATCAGATCACTTTTTACCTTTACCTGAAGATAGCTTTAAAGTTAAGGCACAGTTAAACGTTGGTTCTCAACGGAGAGGGAGAGGGGTGGGGATGGAGTAGTTTTCTCTTAAAATGATTAGCAGACGCACAAATAATCGATGTGATGGAAAATTTAGTGCTAAATTCAACTGTAAATACAGGTCAGTAATAGTCACTGATAAAACAACAATTCTAACATTGAAAAATGAGACTAAAACGCGAAAAGTTCTACCATTATGCCCGTGTAAAAATCCAATATTTTACCTTCACTCAAAACAGGATTTTTTTTTCTTCTTTAAGACATATGCAACTTGGCGATGTATGAAATCAACAAAAGAAAAATTGTGAAAAAAATGAATGAAATTACCACATGCTGTAATAAGCCGGTTAGTTAAGAAACATGTTCACCAAAAATTTACATATAAACAAAGCATTATAAATTTAATTTTGTTAAAAATAATTTCCACTGACCCACGAAACAAATTTCCAATTGTCTCCTGAAGATTTAATACAATTCATTTTTAATTGAAAGCACTCATTAGCATATAGCAGTAAAACATTTTTTCTCAGGACAACAAACAACTGTTTAAATTTGGACTTCAGTGATATAACTGACTGACAGTGTAACATACCGTACATAAGTTATTTAGAAATTATATATATACAAAAAAACCGTTATCTTATTCAAGTCCTCATTCTTCTAACACTATTTCTTTGTAATAACATAATAGCCTACGTGACGATGAATTAATCAAAAACTAAAACAATTCTTCCCTACATCGGTCTAAAATTATTATTACGTTTTAAATGGCTACCAGTGAAGTTCAAGGCCGTTCTGCATCAGTTGTTTTCAATACAGTACCGCAATCAGTTCTCCACTTAATATAAAATCAACTTCTGCATACCTAGACTTCACTCAAAGCCGTTGAAAAGAACTTTCTCCAGAGAAGACAAGGAAAATAAGGACAGCATCTGTGCTTCACATTTCGCAGAACCGTCCTCGAAGCTTCATTTCAACAATTCTGAGAAAAGCGTCTTCCTCGTGATTTGCTGAATGTTCAGAGTTGATCGCTAAAAAGGGTCGAATTTCTCGAATTTCATTGACATGATCCGGGAGTCAATCAAAACCAATAAACTGAGGATTATGTGTGGAAAGGAAGTAGTTTGTTCGTAAGTAGTTTCTTGAGGGAAACGTGTCGAAAAAAACATTTGTTTACAACAACAACAACAAAAAAAGGATCGATCGACTACGCAAGGATCTAGCGAGACCCTTTCTCAAGTGTCTGACGCATTAGTTTTCTCTTCAAAAGGATTGCCCTTTTTTGCAATATACTTAATCAAATTAATATTTTTCTCTCCTGGATCTCCATAGAAGTAATCAGGATCATTTCTCGTATCAGCAAAAAGAGTTAAAACGGGGAAAGCAAATATAACTTCTTCATCACCGGATAACACTGTTTCTCGAAATATACTGATTCCAAGAGAACTGATTGTATGAGTCACGCAAGATAAGCGAACGTGACTGACGCCACTACATTTTTGTGGCGGTTTTTCTTCCAATATTCAAAGGAGAATTTTTTGGAATTTTTCTTTGAGGGCAAATAAGGAGAATGAAAGGCAGAAACCTCTAGAAAACTCGTCAGGGAAAAAAAATGTACGTTTTAGTGTCGAGAACCTATCTTATATTCTCTTGTCAACACCCATCGCGCTTATATTGATCTTTTACCCTCTCAGTTTATTCGAGTTTCGCAGATTAGGTTTGAACTGAGCTGGCTCCAAGAAAGCTGTGTACAAATTAAGATGTGATAATCAATCACACTCCCAATGAAAGCTATTTGCGATCAGAGCTAGTATTTCCTACTTGTTTCAATACAACAGGGCTGCTTTGGACACCCGAAGGGTAAGGGGAATTAGTTAGGTCAATTTTTTCTGGTTATATGCCGCAGACCTTTCAGAGCCCCTAACCCCATTATATTATACTCTGTGGCCATTTACAAACAGCACCTTAATCCCTTTTTCAACCGCCAATTTTCCCATTTCTAAATTCCTACTAACCAAAATTTTCTTACCCCAGAATCCCTCAAAAACTTGCAACCACAACTATGATGAGAATGAAATTCCATTATACTTAATCTAGTTGTGAACATGCGACCCATCCAGCGGCAAATCCCCAAAAGAAAATTACCAGAAAGAAACCTTCCCCCCCCGGGGGATGGACGCCAAGTAACAACAGACTGCGCGTTTTCCACTAACAGCCTACTGACAAGCTTTCGTATGCACAGAAATAAAATTTAAAGCTTAATCACGGGTTTTCTGAAAAAGATACATTTCTGATGAAACTTGACTCCAAATAAACAAGTCTTCGTTCAAATTCATTAGCCTCGCGCTTTAAATTGACGCTATGCAAGCAAATCGACGTAAACATTCATTTCGCTTATGTTTCGCTGAGCACGCAGCACGCGAAAGAACAAAAATTCACGGTAATTTAGCTTTGCCTCTCAAAGCACAACGCCCAAATTGTCTACTGAACGCATAATTAATAAGCTGAAACTATCGCATGCGAATCGAAGTAAAAATTTATTGCGCTCAGCCTTCCCTAAGTGTGCGGTAAGCAAGAGAACAAATCAAAATTGGTTTAGGTCTGCCTCTCTAGACACACTGTCCAAGGAGTCTACTTAAAGTATAATCAGAAAGCTGCCGATTACTTTTAAAACTCAGTTTTAAACCTTTTTACGCCTCATCCACAATCATGTAATTTTCCATGTTAGCCTGTTCAGACCAGGCAGGGTATCTCGCACCATCCATCTCAGTCGCAACTTGGTTGTCTTCTACCAGTCTGTGACGTTCTCCACCAATCACAGCTCCGCAATCAGGACACGTGCTTTTCTCCATTGCGCCGCCACACTCAGTAATGGCATAGATATGTCCCTGAGGACATTTGTACCAATGACCTTGTTTGAGGCCCATGGCGCTCACGATCTGTTGTTTTTCTTCCGGTGTCAACGGTAACAGACATGGGTACGCTTTTCTAAAATGTAAGTAGTGCAAAACGTATTATCTTTACTATCCTAGTCGTCGTCGTCGTTATTGTCGTCAATATAAAAATCCTATAATGACGCAAATTTCTTGTGTCTCCTTCAAACGGAAAGACCAAACAGATCACTTGCATAGCAATTCTGGGCCTCGATGCTCACAAATTAGGTAACCAAAAGTGAAGACACCCAGAATAATAGAGAGATTAAAGAAAACGTTTTCGCGATCAGTAACAGGCAAAGATTCAACTCTTGCTATTTGCATCTCGACCGTTTGTTTAGTGGTGTAAAAGTTTTTTCCTGGGAGTAGGTGTGGTGGGCAGGGAGACATGTTTTTTACCCCACCTCGAGCGCGTACAAAAGGCACGTGATATGTAACTATTGACTGAGTGAGAGGACCAGACGGCCCGTTGGGGCATTTTATGATTTACGGACCGAGCGTTGCGTGGTCCTCGCGTCGTGACAAAGAGTCAAATATTTTCTCACCCGGTCCGACCTAACTCAGTCAAAAAGAATTTTATTATATGACCGCCGCTCTTTTATTTCCCTCAATTCTTCTTTTAGCTCGCATCTTGCGCGGCCGCAAGGCTTTATCTGGCCCTGCTTACTCCATCGCTTATCCTCGTACGGGCACTCTTGTCTAATAATTACCAATAAAAACGTGCACGAGGCCGTATAAGTCATAGAGAAACTTTTAAAAATGCCTTAAAAGACAAAAAACACTGTCAAGTAACGCACCTGATTCCCGACAGCATATCTAACAGCTCGTCCAACCTCTCGGATTGAATTAGTTTACCGCTGGACAGCTCATCGCGAACATCTCTCATCATCTGACCATGCGACTCCTCCGGAGTCAGGTTGATGCTTTCGATGTCGTGTTTCAGCAAACACAGCTCAAATCGTAGATTAACCCTGGTACATTCCAGGTTTATGTCTTGCAGCTCTCGCTCCATGACTTCTCCTGACATAGCACGCTCCTTCAAATACTTCAAATCTTTTTGCAAGGAGTACCCTACCAAATGACACCAAAAGTAACCAATGATACTCTGAAGGAAGCGAACAATTATTATGGAAGATACTCGTAGGCTCACATTTAAAACAAAAATTCGTCGTGAGATCACAACTCCTTAACCCTTTACCTCTCATGAGTGACCAAGAGGGAATTTCTCCTCATCATATCAATACAATATCAAGCACAGAAGTGATGAGAATAAAGTAAAATATCAATAAGGGGAGTATTAGCTGATGGGAGTTAAGGACCAGTCATTATCTATCACCTGGGGGGAAGGAGGAGGGACTATAGAGACTTGATTGCCAATTAACAGCCAACTTGGGGGGAATCATTAGAATATTACAGAGCCTCAGGGGGATCAGGTAAATTGTCGTGACACAACCAAAATCCTCCACAGCCCATCCCCCTCCGTGGCGATAAATAAGACCTGTGCCTAAAAAAAGTTATCACATACTATGCAATGGGCAAAAGAAAATGTTATAGCAATAGCAGGGGGAGGGGGAGGCTATGTCAGTGATCTGTATTTCACACAGACTATTTACATAGTTTAGTGTAATTGTGTTACGACTACTAGGCTTATCCCTTTGAGGATACATTAACGGAATCATTTTCTAGTTAATTAATCCGCATTCTCAGAAACATTGTCATGAAACATTATATTTGTGAGTACCGTAAGATGCGATCGGCATTTCGCGCAGAATATTTACATAGTTTCGTGAAAATATATGCCTCCATTGCGTAAACGTTACATAAAAAGGACGCGAAAAAATATTGTAACGAGCAGAGGGAGAGATCAGAACTACGATTGTTTGAAGAAGTGAAGTTTGAACTGTAATTAATCGGGAACTGTAATTAATCGGATATAGTGCAAATAAATTCTCGAATCCTTGATTCCCGTGGTTGATCTTCAATTCTACCTGTGTCTTACCCGTAGGTGCAGAACAGTCAGTATGTCAGTGGCAGGTTAACCAAAACCGTAAGGGAACTTTCACAATAAACCATAAAAGGTTTCATTTTCCCCAAACAGAGGCGTTTATCTAAGTCGCTACTGACGGTAATTTCATTGGTACACTAGGAAAAAAAAAAGAAACATGCGCACGTACCTTCCACACGACTTTCGTTGCTGACTTGGCTCTGAGTCTTAAAAAATATTCTATGATTCAGCTTCTGGTTTATCTCGGCAAATCTCTTCATCAGCATCACCCGGTTTTTGGTGACAGCTGCCATAAACATGTTCGACAATTTGGTCACACTTCTCATTAGTGTGTTCCAGTCTTTCTTTTCATCCTCCGTCGGCTTCAAAGCTCTCAAACTTGTTTCCAAGTCTTTCTTTGCAGCCTTGATCTCAACCGGATTCCCGTTGACCTTAGCCTTGACTTTTTCAATGTAAAACAACTGCTTTTTAATAATATTACCGTATCGCAGGCTCCTACGGATACTCTTCTTGCATAGAGGACAAGTTTTCAGTTGAATCACCTCACAGTTCTCTTCGTTTAGATGGGACGTATCCATGTAGCTATGAAATAGTGATAATTAAGACTGCTAAATGATTCACACGAGATAAAATTGTTCACCGAACATGTTTAAACTCACCCCACACACGTAACACACTGAGAAACCTTAAGCTGATGGCCAAGATCTGACGGTTTTGGCCCTAATGGCCCAATAGCAGATCCAGGGGGGGGGGTCCAGGGGTCAGGACCAGCCCCCTCCCTTCCTCACCAGACGTGCGGGTTTTGTCGCTTTTTGTCTCTTACCAAAATTCTAGCAACAAAAGGATCACACGTTACAAATCAATAAAGTAACTCAAAATGTACTTGTCTTGAGACACTGTCTCATATTATTTAGGCTACGGGATTCCAGGATCCGCTCTTGCAGCGGCTCTTAATTGCCACACAATTGCATGGAATGGGGCTCTACTCTAGTTTAGCTTCGTTGGGGTTTACAAATAATTACTGCGTTGGATGAAAGAAAAATTCAAATATAGAAGACCACACTTACTGATCAAGATCTTTTACAGCGAAGATGTGTTTGCAGTCCGGAAGCTGAACGAAACGCGCATCTGGTTCGTCTTCTCCACCTAAAAATATTTGGGTGATTGGATCGCCATTGTTTTTCTCGCACACGGCACAAATGCACTCCTCTCCACACAAGCCTCGGCAGCGATGGGGACGACTCTTACTTCCGCACTTGAGGAACTTTTCGCAAGGCCTGTCACATCTTGGGCGATCGCACAACTCACCACACAACTTGCTACAACTGTAATGTCGGCATTTCCAATTGCACTTTTCTGTGCAAGGCTTGCACGACTCACTGCAGGGGTGTTTACACTTCGAATGCCTACAACGGTTTTCGCATGACATCCCACATGGCGGGCAGGATTTTGCGCATGATGACGTGTACCCATGAGAACAAACCAGTACTTGCTTGCTCCTGTTCTTACACCGCTTATGAACTCGACCCATGCGACACTCACCACACGTTCCAGGGCACTGGTGGCCGCATTCCAAAACGTCCTGACAACGGGTTGTGCAATCTGCCGGTGTTGCTGAGCAAGCAATACTGACTTCATGTCCACATGGCCAATCTGTTCTCTTGACAAGCTCCTGGCATTCTCTTGTGCAAGGTTGACCACAGTGGTTCTGACAGCGGTGGGAACAGGGTAGAATTTTTTCACATTTTTCTTTGCACTGGACCTTGTTCAAATCCCTGCCGCATTTCACGGTTGTCTTGTGCCCACAGGATGGTAGAGTCTTCTCCACCACCTCTTGACAGAATGTGTCACATTTCTGCCAGCAAACCTTTGAACACGTGTGGTCACAGCCAACGATTTTCCTGACGCACAGCTCTCCACAGCGATACTCCAAGTGATCGACATCATAAGGGTGACATGACCGTTTGCAGGCATGACCGCAATCCAGGCGCACTTCGCAAGGACGCTGACATCCCCCGTCAGGAGCTTTCTCTTCGAAATCTTCGGCTGTTTCTGCTGTGATCTCTTCATTGTGGCTTTGACAGATAAGGGGTAAGGACACGCCAAAGCTATCACTCGCTTTCAAATCGTCAATAATCTTGCTCCAGACTTCACTGTGTTTGCAGAGAAGGGTGAAGTTTCCAATACAGTAAAAGCCCTCTTTAGCACGAGAAAGCGCCACGCATGCACGGTTTTGCATCTTGATGAACCCAGCCTCGTCTTCTTTGTTACTGCGCACGAGCGATAGAAGAATGATGTCATTTTCTTCACCTTGAAAGTTGTCGACTGTTGTAAGACGCACTTGGCTGAGGTCGTTCCTTTGTCTCACTTGGACGCAGTCTCTGATGGCGAACATTTGTCCTGTGTAGGTTGTCAGAAGGGTAATTTGATGGGCTTTATAACCTTGTTGTAACAGATAGCGACACAAGGCCACCACAAAATTAGCTTCGTGATCATTCACGTGGCTGAACGAGTCTTCGCAGGGATTCTCTAAATGACTGTGGTTGACAAAGAACATGTTCTTCTTCATTCCTCTGATATCTTTATATTCCTCCACTGTCTTGTAATTCTCAAGATCGTCATAAATGTGTTTCATCAAGGCGGCAATTTCAGGTCTCATACGATGCTGTACGTTGAGGGTCTCACACTGAAGTCCCACATTCACCATTCTTTCAAACAGGGACACATCCAGATGGTACTTCTTGGCTAAGACATACACTTCCGGTTTAGGTCTGAGTTGCTTGTGATCACCAATCAAAATCAGGTGTTGACAGTCTTTAGTCAGTGACGTAATTATGTGGGCCTCCATAACTTCAGCGGCTTCTTCGACAATCACAATTTTAGGGCGAATCCGCTGGAGTATACGGCGATATTTGGCGGCACAAGTGGTGGTCATTCCAATGATTTTCGCACTTTGAAGAATATGAAAGTCTTCCTCGAGCATTACTTCAAACTTACGCGCCAATGCTCTTTCGTAATCTGGCTGTTTGCTCTGAAGTTTCTTCATGTAAAATTTCTCTGCTTTCTGAAGCCACAATCTGTACAGCCTCCATCGTTCAAGTGACGACAATCTCCACAAGTTGTAAATATTACGTTTCTCTTCACTAATGACGTCCTCTCGAAGAAGATTGTCACGAAGCATAAGCGGTTTTTCAGTGTCTTCAATTGTACTGATAGTTACCTCTGACGGCTGGGTTTCTCTTTCCTCTTCGTTATCTTCGAAGTTCCGAGCTGACTCCTGCGTCTGAAAAACCTTCTCCATTTTTACATTATGATCATTATTCTTAGTATTGTTTCGCTTAGCGTCGAAGTGCAGGCCTAGCCATTCACATAACAAGGAATCTTTGTTGGTTCGAGGTTTGTGAAACCATTTGTAATGACGATTCATCATGAATTTGCTTAGAATCTGGAATGCGAGAATCCTTCTTCTAGAAAATTTTAGGACAGCAACACAAAGATCGAGGGATCCTTCTTCGTTTAGTTCTCGGATCTCGTTTTGAGCACTTTTTCTTGCACTGTAGATTGCATGTGGAGTTTCCTTATTGTCAGCAGCTTCATTCCGCCGCGCCTTCAGGGAGTAGCGCTCCAACTTTTCACTGCAACGTCCACCAACGCGCACAATACCTATTATGGGTAAGACATTCCAGACAAAATATAATTAAACGCATTTATGTACACACAAGTATTTACTTTTTTAGCACAGTATGCAGTAATGTCGTGATCTGATTGACCAATTTGCCGTTGTCGAAAAGAGTACAGACAACGTCGTTTGCGCCAACGAGTCACGCAGTAGTCACGCAATGGTCACGCACTGAAAGACTCGTTTTGACGTCGATATTGTGATAAAAGAAAACAGATCGACTCTGGTTAAGTGTGGTGTGTAGTCTTATCGACACTGCTACATCACTGCATTGCATCTGATTGGTTAAAAGGGTAGCCTAAGTATTCTCGAAAAATCAAGAAGTGTTTCAGAGCAATAGCAACAATTCGAGAAAAGCTTAGTTTCAGTCCTTGGCTCTTTGTTAGTGACTTGGAACCCCAAGAGTTCTCACACATGAAAAATGCCCCCCTTTTGTAACTTTACCTTCCATCTTTAGTTCAGCTAAGAAATCGTCTAAGGCGTGGTTCGTGTACGACACCATCAAAATTGGTGACGGTTCACTATCGTTCTGCCACATAGGGGCGCTCTGTAGAAGAACACGTGCTATCTTGTGACCAACGTGCGTCTTCCCAGTCCCTGGCGGTCCTTGAATGACGGCGAACTTTTTGGTCAGTGCCATTTTGAAAGCTTTCATCTGTGACTCGTTGAAGCCCAGATCTTCTGGATTGAGTTCCAAGTCGTAAATATTCTCGACACGAGCGGGTCGGTCGGTTACTGGGCTGCCATTTTCGGAAGCTTCACTACTGTCATCACCGGCACTTGGTTGAGAAGCCTTTGAGTCCACTCCTTCTCCTATCATTCCACTCAAGTCGAAGAAACCACCAGTGTTGATTTCATGCGCAGGTGGCCCCACATTTTGATTGCATCGCACAATGTGTTCTTCAAAGGGAAGTCCACCCGGCTCAATCTCTTGCAAGCCCTCCAAAACATGTCTGTAGGCTTGAAAGAATGCTGGGGATTCTACCATATCAAACTTCTTTTTTTCCTCAATAAACCGATTCAGATTTTCGAACTGGACGTCTTCAAATCGCACTTCAAGCTCGCCAACACAGAGGTCGCGTGAATCTCGATTCTCCACGATCGCAAATAGAAGAGTGCGAAATTCATCTGATGAAAGACAAAGTAGAGAGCCCAGTTTGAAAAGCTTGCTCTTCTCCCATCTCACGCGAGCTATATCCGGGTGAAACGAGTTGAACCGGATTCTGTAAACCATACCCTTTCCGCTGCATACGGGATACATTATTGTGACGTCATTGTACACGCGAACGCTTCGCGCGCGTTTGCTGTGATTCACGTTCCCTGCTCCCGGATTGTAGGACTTTTGAAGTTGTTCTATTCCATTGCGCAAAGGCAGGATGAAGTCTTCTCTTAAAAGTCGAAATTGCACGTCTAAATAATGATCCTGGTCTAAGTACTTTCCATCTACAACGTTTTCACGAAGGAAAGGCTTGCTGTAAGGTCTTAAATCTGCGGCTTGGGGAATCACGCTCATTTTACGAAAATCCTCGGGTGGAGTTCGATGAGATTGATTCTGGCGAACTGTTTTCCGGCGATTTATGTCATCTTTGTACTCCTTGACTTGATGAAGTTTCTTCTCCAACGTCTCTGCGTCTTCAAGGAGACCCTTACTCTTCAGATTACCCACCGTCTCATTCAGTTGGGCACTGGGAATGAAGTGAATTACGTCCTGTTCAAATCTCTGCAGCAACTCCAGGAAAACCTCTGCTAACAGCAAGACCAGTCTATCAGGCTGGTAATTGTCACTAAACGCCGAGACATTGGACATCTGGCTGATAAACTTGGTTAGATGCAACTGTAAAAAATTTTTTTTAATTACCATGCGCAGAAGTTTATTAGCAATCTCCTTTTTATCATTCGGTAAGCAGCACATGTGAATAGCTCGAATAACAAGCTTCATCAGATCAGGTCGTATTTCTTCCGCCTCCAGTAGAGCTTCAAATCGTTTAGATTTGTTGAAAAGATCCAAAATTCCCTCGTCAGGAGAGTTTGAATTACATACTTTTTCTAAGGCCTTATAATTGAGAGGATTAGACTCTCTTCCTCGTTGTACATGTGTTCCTGCCCCATTTCTATCAAATGCGGGTCTTCTTCCCCGGGAAAACTCATGTGAATGACGAGTTCTACTGCCGTTTCTTTCCATTAATCCTTGCCCATTGAAAGAGACGCGCGGATTCCTTTCTCCTGTATCAGCTCTCTTCATTTTTGTTCTATTTTGAAGTTAGGGGAGCAGCGCCATCGAGTGTTTGACATACTTAAGATCACTGAGGACTTCTTTTCTTCTTTCGAAAGAAAAGGGAAAGAAAGAAAGAGTTACCAACAATTCTCGTGACAAGAGGTGGTAAGATAGTAAGTGGTCGATCTTGTAGTCTGATTTTCCAGATTAGAGAAGTCCTGAAAAGGACTGTTGTTGCTTACAGTTACTATTGTTTCGACAACCTCAGCGGAAGTCACTATCAGAGTCAAGTGAAGAGCTACCTTACAGTCGAGTGTAAGGAGTCTGGTTCGTTCATTTGATTGGTCAATTTTGCGCTTGAAAGTCAGTCGGTCGATTGGCCAGAAATTAAGTAAGTTTGTAGTCGTGTTTGAAGCTTTCAAAATTAAAGTAACTAATAGATAAACCTTGAGAAGTGTTACTGATCATCTAACGATGATCAGCAGCATTTGCATCAATGCTTGTGTTTTTGAGGGTAACAAAATAAGACTAAAAACTCGTATACCTGAACTTAGTTTTGTAGGATTAAGGTGGTTTAGAGATCTCTCCAGGAGTTATTAAAATCGTTTCTACAGAAAACTGTATTTTAACAAGCTATGGATGATGAGCCGCTCATGTTTTTTACCCAACGGCTTGGTATTCCTTAGATAGATCTATTTAAAGGTTTCCTAATGTAAAAATTACTCTATCCGTTGAAGGCACTAATATTGATCCCAAGGGAACCCTACTGAGCGTCTTGTTTGCTTATCCTCCTAGCCTACAAAGCAGGCGTAATTTTGGCGAGCGAGTACTCAATATTTTTTCAGCGATAAGTATGGCCGCCATCTTTGATGTTAATAGCAATGGTAAGCTGGGGAGAGAAAGAAATTTTTACCAATGGGGTGAGCGACGATCAAAAACAAGGAGAGGGGTGGGGATGGGGAAAATATTTCGCCTTTCGCCCCACCCCTTCCGCTGCCTCTATTTCCAAATCATACATGGCCGGTTGAATAGGACGCCTGAACTTTAGGTCACTACCTTTCTCGACAAGGAGGCAGTAGCTACCAATTTGTCTATTTCTATTGCACGCTACAGACATTGCAAATTTACATGTTGTCAGTTATCATAATCTAGTTAATGCACTCTAGTGCTTTAGATCTTGATTCATATCATTCTTAAACAGCTTGAATTTACCGATTCGATGAACAACTCTGGAAACTTATAGCTTTAAGATGGTCGAAAGATTCTGTTTAGTCTGTTTAGTCTAAAAACGAGCATGCCAAAAGAAACCGCAGAAGATACCAGAAATTCACTCGCTACAGAGCCGACCATTAAATATAATACCGTTTTTAATGAGTGTGTCTTCATCTCAATGAAATATTCTGAAGTCTCTAAGTTCAGAAGTGCTGTTTTCTGTAGCATCGAGGATCTTTCAAGAAAGGTAAGTACTACATTTTTAACCCACTAGGTAACTTTGGAATTCCACACACTTTATTTAATTATTATCTAATTATTCAGGATGAAAATATGTCGTTTGAAAGTTTTCTTGAGAACGTTCAGATCGTGTGGGAAGTCGACGTACTTCTCTTTTAGTAACAGATCGATTTCTATACTAAAGTTGTGGAAATTCTTTCCAATAACAAGAATCAGCGTATCGCCAAGTACAAAAGTCCATATATTTGCATTTAATCGAGCTACAGGGAATCCTGAAGGCCTTAAGTTTCAATTGTTTAAGAGTTAGTACTACTTTCTGAAATATTCAGCAATATTTATGATCAATACATACCCAAGACTCTCTCGAAATAGATTTGGTGTACCACTTATCACGAAAACAGGGGAAAAGAGGCGGAAAAGATGTAAACGTCACTTGAGCGCTATCATCTTTCGAAGCAGATTATTCTGCGAAACACTGCGAAGCGTATCAGCGATTCCGGGAAAAGCATCCTCTTCCTGATTGGTCGAACGCATGGAATGATTCTTGTGTCACGTAAGAAAAGCGAGATTCAATCACGCGACCAAGAAGTAATGTTATACAACTGCGAAAGTTTCGCGAATCTATTGCACTAGACTTTGCGAACTGACGCGACAAAATTCGAGCAAAAAATTAATAAGTTTACCATGAACAGTAAAAACTTTGTTAAGAAACGAGATCACCAAAAATTTGCATATTAACAAAGCATTATAAATTTGATTTTGTTCAAAAGAATTTCCACAGACCCCCTACGTAAATTTCCCATTGTCTCTTGAAGATATATTACAATTCATTTCTAATTTAAGGCACTCATTAGCATATAGAAGCAAAACATTTTTCTCTAGAACCGTACACAAGTTATTCAGAAATTGTATATACGAAAAAAATGGTCTATCATTCAAGCTCTCATTCTTCTTAATTCATCTTTGTAATAAGAGCCTACGTGACGATAAAGTAAACCAAAACCCAAACAATTCTCCCCTACATCGGTCAAAAACCATACTTGCGTTTTAAATGGCTACTAATGAAACTCAAGGGCCGTTCTGAATCAGTTGTTTTTAACACGGTACCGTCATCAATTATCCACATAATATATACACAATTTCTACATACCTTCACTTCACTTGGAGCCGTTGAGAAGAACTTTCTCCGCTAAAGACAAGGAAAATAAGGACAGCAACTGTGGTTCACATTTCGCAGAACCTTCCTCGAAGCAATTCTGAGAAAAGCATCTTCCTTGTGATTGGTTGAATGTTCAGAGTTGATCACAAAAACGAATCGAATTTCAGTGACGTGATCCGTGAGTCAGTCAAAACCAATTAATTAAAGATTATGTGTGGAAAGGAAGTAGTTTGTTCGTAAGTAGTTTCTGGAGGGAAATGCGTCAAAAAAAACGACAACAGAGAAATGATCGATCGATCGATAGCGGAAGGATCCTAAGAGACCGTTTCTCAAGTGTGCAACGTAACAGTTTTTTTTTCAAAAGGATGACCCCATTTTTTAATAGGATCAACCCTTTAACTACCAAGATCTCATTAGTAATTCTCCTTACTGTCTGCCATACAGTTCTTGTGATGTTAGTTCTGAGAATTTGGTACCGAATCAACAAATAATTCCATAACTGATATTTTTCTTTATTCTCATCCCTTGCCTCTTTGATATTGTGTTGATTTAGTAAGGAGAGTTTCTGTCTTGGTCACTCATCGGGGTTAAAGGGTCTGGATCTCCATAGAAGTAATCAGGATCCTTTCTTATATCAACAAAGAGAGCTAAAACGGGGAAAGCAAATACAATTTATTCATCACCGACTAACAATGTTTTTCGAAATATACTGACGGATTCCGAGAGGACTGATTAAATAAGTCACGCACGATAAGCCAACGTGACAAACGCCACTACATTTTTGTGGCGGTTTTCATCCCATATTCAGAGGGGATTTTCTTGGAATTTTTCTTTAAGGGTAAATAAGGGGAATGGAAAGCAGAAATCTCGAGAAAACTGGTCAGGGAAAAACAAAAAATTAATGTTTTAGTGTCGAGAACCAATCAAATGATTCAATCTTTCCTGATAACGGTATTTTGACATGATCTACACCAAGGGAATATTCTCTTGTCTACACCCACCACGCTGATGTTGATCTTTTACCCTCTTAGTTTATTCGAGTTTCGATTAGGTTTAAACTGAGCTGGCTCCAAGAAAGCAGTGTACAAATTAAGATGTAATAATCGGTCACCCTCGACATGAAAGCTATTTGCGATCAGAAAAAGTATTCCCAATTTGTTTCAATGCAAAAGGACTGCTTTGGACGCCCGGAGGATTACTCAGGTCCATTTTTGCTGGTTATATGCCGCAGACCTCTCAGAGCCCCTAACCCCATTCAGGAGTCCAAGTAATGTGCTCCTGCCCCAATTTTGTGGCCAATTATTGACACCATATTAATCCATTTTTCAATCGCAAATTTTCCCATTACTAATTTCCTACTAACCAAAGTTTTCTCACCCCAAAATCCCGCAAAAACGTACGACCCCGACTCTGATAAAAATGAAACTTTTTTATCCTCAATCCAGCAGTAAACATGCGACCAATCCAGTGGCAAATCCCCAAAACAAAATTACTAGGAAGTAACGTCCCCCCCCCTTCGGGAGGATTGGACGCCAAGTAACAACGCACTGCGCGTCTTAGCGGTTATTCTCCAGTGTTGCTTGTTCTACGTTTCCGTTGACCAACAGCTTGCTGCCATGCTTTCGTATGCACAGGAAAAAAAAGTAAAGCTTAATCACAGGTTTCCTGAAAAAGATACATTTCTAATGAAACTTGACTCCAAATAAACAAGTCTTAGTTCAAATTCATTAGCCTCGCACCTTAAGTTGACGCTATGCAATCAAATCGGCGTAAACATTAATTCCGCTTATCCTTCGCTAAGCCAGCGATACGCGAAAGAACAAATCACGATAGTTAAACCTTGCCTCTCATGGCACAACACCTAAATTTTCTATTGAACGTATAGTTAACAAGCTGAAACTATTGCATGCAAATCGAAGTAAAACTCTATTACGCTCAGCCTTTGCTAAGCACGCGGTACGCGAGAGAAAAAAAATCCTAATTGGTTTAGCTCTGCCGCTCATGCCACACTGTCCAAGGAGTCTACTGAAAATATAGTCAGTGAGGTTCCGATTACTTTAAAAACTCAGTTTTAAACCTTTTTTACGCCTCATCCATGATCACGTAATTTTCCATGTTCGCCTGTTCGGACCAGGCAGGGTATCTCGCACCATCCATCTCCGTCGCCACTTGGTTGTCTTCTACTAGTCGGTGATTTTCTCCACCAATCACAGCTCCGCAATCAGGACACGTGCTTTTCTCCATAGCGCCGCCACACTCAGTAATGGCATAGATATGTCCCTGGGGACATTTGTACCAATGACCTTGTTTGAGGCCCATGGCCGTCACGATCTGTTGTTTTTCTTCTGGCGTCAACGGTAACAGACATGGGTACGCTTTTCTAAAATGCAAGTAGTACAAAATGTATTATCTTTACTATCATAGTCGTCATCGTCGTTATTGTCTTCAGTATAAAATCCTAAAATGACACAAATTTCTTGCGTCTCCTTCAAAACGGAAAGACCAAACAGATCACATGCGTAGCAATTCTGGGCCTCGATGCTCACAAATTTGGTAATAAAAAGTGAAGACACCCGGAATAATGGAGAGATTTAAGAAAACGTTATCGCGAATAGTACCAGACAGTGATTCAACTCTTGCTATTTGCATCTCTGCCGTTTGTTTAGTGGTATAAAAGTTTTTTTTCATGAGAGTGTAAGGCATGGTTGACAAGGAGACAGCTCGTCATGGTTTCCCCCAACTCGAACGCGTACGGGTCAAAAGGCTCGTGATATGTAATTATTGACTGGGTGAGGGGACCATACGGCTTGAGGGGCATGTCATAATTTACAGACCGAGTGAAGCGTCAATAGGTTAAAAAGAACTTTATTATATGACCGCCGCTCTTTTATTTCCCTCCTTTCTTCGATTAGCTCGCATCTTGCGCGGCCGCACGGCTTTATCTGGCCCTGTTTGCGCCATCACCTACCGTCATACGGGCTTTCTTGTCTAATATTTACCAATAAACGCGCGCACGAGGCCGTACGGGTCATAGAGTAACTTTTAAAAATGCCTTAACCCTTAAACTCTCGGAAGTGATTACATGTAACATCTCCCTAGAGTATCCATACATTATACTGCAAACAGGTAATGAGAACACTAAAACTCATCAGGTACAATTTATTACCTTGATTGAACACCTAATTCTCGTAATCAATCAATAAGGAAATGTGTAGTAACTAGAGGGGAGAATTGACAATCAGATCTTAGGGGTTAAGGGGTTAAAAGACAAAAATCACTGTCAAGTAACACACCTGACTCCCGACAGCATATCTAACAGTTCGTCTAATCTCTCAGTTTGAATTAGTTTACCGCTAGACAACTCCTCGCGAACATCTCTCATCATCTGACCATGCGATTCCTCCGGAGTCAAGTTGACGCTTGCGATGTCGTGTTTCAGCAGACACAGCTCCAATCGCAGATTAACCCTGGTACATTCCAGGTTTATGTCATGCAGCTCTCGCTCCGTGGCTTCTCCTGACTTTGCACGTTTCTGCAAATACTTCAGATCCTCTTGCAAAGAGAACCCTACCAAATGACACCAAAGTAAGTAATGATACTCTGAAGGAAGTGAACAATTATTATGGGAAATACTCGCAAGCTCACGTTTAAAAGAAAAATACCAAGCATAGAAGTGATGAGAATAAAGAAAAATATCAATTAGGGGACTACAAGTTGATCCAATACCAAATTCTCCAAATTGACATCATAAGAATTGTATGTAAGACAGTAAGGAGAATTACTAATGAGAACTTGGGAGTTAAAGGTTTAAAGGACCAGTCATTATCTACCACCTGGGGGGGGGGAGACTACAGAAAATCGATTGCTAATCAGGGGAGATCAGGTAAATTTTGTTGTGACAGAACCAAAATCCTCTGCAGCCCATCCCCCCTCCGTGGCGATAAATGAGACAGTGTGCTTCAGAAAAATTTATCACATACTATGCTATGGGCAAAATAAAATGTTATAGCAGTAGCGGGCGGAGGGGGGATGGGGGGAAATGTCAGTATGTCAGTGGAGGGTTAGCCTAGATGTTAAGGGAACTTTCACATTAAACAAAAGAGGGTTTCATTTTCCCCAAACAGAGGCATTTATCTTGATCTCTACTGACGGTAATTTCATTCACACGCTGAAAAGGAAAAAAATAATTGCGCACGTACCTTCCACACGACTTTCGTCGTTGACTTGGCTCTGGGTCTTAATAGATAGTCTATGCTTCATCTTCTGGTTTATCTCCGCAAATCTCTTCATCAGCATCACCTTGTTTTTGGTGACAGCTGCCATAAACATGTTCGACAATTTGGTCACACGTTTCATTAGTATGTCCCAGTCTCTCTCTTCATCTTCCGACTCAAGTGTCGGCTTCAAAGCTCTCAAACTTGTTTCCAAGTCTTTCTTTGCAGCCTCAATCTCAACCTGATCCCCGTTGACCTTGGCCTTGACTTTTTCAATGTCAAGCAACTGCTGTTTAATAATGTTACCGTATCGCAGGCTCTTACGGATCCCCTTCTTACATCGAGGACAGGTTTTCAGTTGAATCACATCATGGCTCTCTTCGTCGAGATGCGACGTATCCATGTAGCTATGAAATAACGATAATAAAGACTGTTAAGGGTATTGTATAATTTACACGAGATAAAATTGTCCACAGAACATGTGTAAGCTAACTCCACACACTGAGACACCCAAAGCTCATGGCCAAGGTCTGACAGTATTGGTTCTAATGGCGCAATGGCAGATGCAAGGAGAAGGTCCAGGGGTCAGGACCAGCCCCCCTCCCTTATCAGACGTATGGGTTTTGTCGCTTTTTATCTGACACCAAAATTCTAGCAACAAAAGGATCACACGTTACTAATCAATAAAGTAATTCAAAATGCACTTGTCTTGAGAAAACTTCTCATCATATTTAGGCTATAGGATTCCAGGATCCGCTCTTGTAGCGGCTCTTTTAAAATTACCACACAATTCCACGAAATGGGGCTCAACTCTAGTTTAGATTCGTTGGACCTGGGTGTACAAAGAATTTCAGCGTTCGATGAAAGAAAAATATAATACACTCTACTTACTAATCAAGATCTTTTACTGCGAAGATGTGTTTGCAGTCCGGAAGCTGAATGAAACGTGCACCTTTTTCGTCTTCTCCACCTAAAAATGTTTGGGTGATTGGGTAGCCATCGTTGTCCTGGCACACGGCACAAATGCAATCCTCCCCACACAAGCCTCGGCAGCGATGGGGACGACCCTCACTTCCGCATTTGAGGAACTGTTTGCAAGGCATGTCACATCTTAGACGATCGCACAACTCACCACACAACTTGCTACATCTGTAATGTAAGCATTCCCAGTTGCACTTTTCTGCGCAAGACTTGCACGCCTCACCACAAGGGTGTTTGCACTCCGAATGCCTACAACGGTTTTCGCATGACATCCTACATGGTGGGCAGAATTTTGTGCATGATGCCAGGCATTCATGAGAACAAACTAGGAGACGCTTGCACCTTTTCTTGCACCGCTTGTGAACTCGACCCATGCGACACTCCCCGCAGTTCCCAGGGCACGAGTGGCCGCATTCCAAAGTGGCCCCACAAAGGGCTGGGCATTCTACTGGAGTTGCTGAGCAGGCAACATTTTCTCCATGTCCACATGGCCAATCTGTTCTCCTGACAAGCTCTTGGCATTTTCTTGTGCAAGGTTGACCGCAGCGGCTCTGACAGCGGTGGGAACAGGGTAGAATTTTATCGCATTGTTCTTCGCACTTTACATTCTTCAAATCCCTGCCGCATCTAACGGTTGTCTTATGCCCACAGGATGGTAAAGTCTTCTCCACCACCTCTTGACAGAATGTGTCACATTTCTCCCAGCAAACCTTTGAACACGTGTGGTCACAACCAACGATTTTCCTGACGCACGGCTCTCCACACTGATACTCCAAGTGATCGACATCATATGGATGACATGATCGTTTGCAAGCATGACCGCAATCCAGGCGCACTTCGCAAGGACGCTGACATCCCCCGTTGGGAGCTTTCTCTACGAAATCTTCGGCTGTTTCTGCTGTGATCTCTTCATTGTGGCTTTGACAGCTAAGGGGTAAGGACGCGCCAAAGCTATCACTCGCTTTCAAATCGTCAATAATCTTGCTCCAGACTTCACTGTGTTTGCAGAGAAGGGTGAAGTTTGCAATACAGTAGAAGCCCTTTCTAGCACGAGAGAGCGCCACACATGCACGGTTTTCCATCTTGATGAAGCCAGCCTGGTCATCTTTGTTGCTCCGCACGAGCGAGAGAAGAATGACGTCGTTTTCTTCACCTTGAAAGTTGTCGACTGTTGTCAGGCGCACTTGGTTGAGCTCTTCAATTCCTTTTTCTTGAAGGCAGTCTCTGATGGCAAACATTTGTCCCGTATATGTTGTCAAAAGGGTAATTTGATGGGCTTCATAACCTTGCTGCAACAGATAACGACACAAGGCCACCACAAACTTAACCTCGTAGTCATTCACGTGACTGTGGGAATCTTCACAATGATTCTCCAAATGACTGTGGTTGATGAAGAACATGTTCTTCTTGATTCCTTTGATGTCTTCATATTTCTCTACCGACTCGTGATTCTCGAGATCGTCATAGATATGTTTCATTAAGGCGGCAATTTCAGGTCTCATACGATGCTGTACGTTGAGGGTCTCACACTGAAGACCCACATTCACCATTCGCTCAAACAGGGACACATCCAGATGGTACTTCTTGGCTGATTCGTAAACTTCCGGCTTAGGTCTTAGTTGCTTGTGATCACCAATCAAAATCAAATGCTGACAGTCTTTGGTCAGTGACGTAATTATGTGGGCCTCCATTACTTCAGCGGCTTCCTCAACAATTACAATTTTAGGACGAATCCGCTGAAGTGTGCGGCGGTATTTGGCGGCACAAGTAGTAGTCATTCCAATGATCTTCGCATTTTGAAGAATATGAAAGTCTTCCTCGAGCATCACTTCAAACTTACGCGCCAATGCTCTTTCGTAATCTGGCTGTTTGCTCTGAAGTTTCTCCATGTAGTATTTCTCTGCTTTTTGAAGCCACGACCTGTACAGATTCCATCGTTGAAATCGCGAAAATCCTAAGAGGTCGTACTGACTATTTCTCTCTTCGCGTTCACTCATGGCTTCTTCTCGTAGAAGTTTTCTGCGAAGTTGAAGCGGTGCTGTAGTGTCTTCAGTTGTACTGATAGTCGCCTCTGATGGCTTCACCTCATCGTCTTCCTCGATGTCTTCGTAATCCTCTTCGTTCGAGAAATTCCGAGCTGACTCCCGCAGATGAAAATATTTGTACCTGTCCATATCATGTCCATTGCTCTTGGAACCCTTCCGCTTGATTTCGTACCGCAAGTCTAACCATTTACACAACAGTAAATCCTTGTTTTCTTGCGACTCTGTAAACCACTTGGCATGACGAGGTGACATGAACTTCTCCAGTATGCGAAAGGCCAGAATCTTCCTTCTGGAGTACTTCAGGACAGCAACACAGAGGTCCAGGGATCCATCTTTGTTTAGCTCTTTGATCTCCCATTGAGCGTTTTTTCTTGCCCTGTATATTTCTAATGGAGTAAGCTTGTTGGAAGCCGTTTGCTTGCGCCGGTCCCTCAGGGTGCAGTCTTTCAACGTTTTACTGCTGCGTCCACCAACACGCACGATACCTGATGGGAGCAGACATTCCAGATCAAGGTCTTAGAATTATTATCATTAATGCACGTTCATCAAACGCCTAAGTAAAAATACATATATTTTTCTCGCAGCAATCTCCTATTTAGAAGAACAACAGTCCTATCAAAAAAACACTCGATCAAAAAGCGCGAGGGTAAAGTGATCAGTTCTGAAAGAAATCAAAGGGCTGGTAGGGGGAGAGAGAAACTCCTTGTTGATTAGAGCACTCTCCCCTCGAGTGTTGCAAAACAAAAATCAGATTATCAACAACATTCAATCAAAAAGGTAAAGATCACAAAGAACCAATGGGAACTTCAAGAAAACAATTGCAACAGATCTAAACGTGCAAACGATCGAGTCATGATGAGTTAGGATTGGTTTCTGATTATATTGGTTTTGTGCTTTAAGACAAAGTCAATGCAATTCTAGATTACTTTCGACCTTCAATCGAGACTTCTCTATTAAATTTTAAATTACCGCCGTAAAGATTCGAGAAGAGCTGATATATTATATTTCGGCATTTTTTTCAGAGAAGAAGAGGATCGCAGATTGCAAAAATGTTTACTTCCTTACCTTCTCTCGGAAGACCACTCAAGAAATCGTCCAAGGCGTGATTCGTGTAAGACACCATCAAAATTGGCGACGGTTCATTTTCGTTCTGCCGCAGGGTGCCGCTTTGTAGCAAAACACGTGCTATCTTCTGACCAACGTACGTCTTCCCAGTACCTGGTGGGCCTTGTATGACCGCAAAATTTTTGGTCAGTGCCATTTTGAACGCGCTCATCTGCGACTTATTAAAGCCCAGGTCTTCTGGATTGAGTTCCAAGTCGTAGATATTCAAGACACCAGCAGGTCGGTCGTCTGCCGGAGTTCCTTCACTGGAACCTTCGTTATCATCAATTAAAAGCTCATCTGTGGCAACGTAGTCCAAATCGCGGCCCGAACTAGCTGAATTTTCTTCGGACAGCAACTCGAGATCAGGCATGCTCCACTCGGCATCTTCGGTATTCGACTCCCAATCACGATTTACTAAATCACGATAATCGGAGATGACATTGTCTTCCCTGGAAACTGACTCAGTTTCCATGTTTTCCATGGCGTTCCTTGCTTTGGATATTGTCAAGTCCACTCCCTTTTCTATTATTCCACTCATGTCGAAAAAACCACTGGTTTTGTTTTCATAAGCAGGTGGCTTCACATCTTGGTCGCATTGAACGATATGCTCTGCAAACGGAAGTTCACCGTCCTTAATTCCTTGCAAGCCTTCTAAAACGTGTCTGTAGGCTTCGAAGAACGCAGGGGATTCTACCATATCAAATTTCTTTTTATCTTCGATGAATTGATTCAGGATTTCAAGATTAGCTTCTTCAAATCGCACTTCAAGCTCGCCAACACAAAGATCGCGTGAATCTCGATTCTCCACGGTCGCAAATAGAAGATTGCGAAATCCATCGGCTGAAAGGCACAGGAGGGAGCCAAACTTAAAAAGCTTGCTCTTCTTCTCCCATTTCACCCGACGTACATCCGGGTGAAACGAGTCGAACCGGATTCTGTAAACCATTCCCTTTCCACTACATACGGGGTATAAGATTGTGACGTCGCGGTACACAGGAACGTCTCGCGTACGTTTGTCGTGGCTTGGGTCATCTGCTGCCATGGGAATGCGGTCCCGTTTAAGCTGTTTTATTCCATTGCGAAGAGGTAAGATGAAGTCTTCTCTTAAAAGTCGAAATTGCACGTCTAAATAGTGCTCCTGGTCTAAGTACCTTCCACCAACAACGTTTTTACGAAGAAACGGCTTGTTATGGGGTTCTAAATCAGCTACTCCTGGGATCACGCTCATATTGCGAAAATCCTCGGGTGGAGTTAGCTGAGACTCGTCTGGGTGAGTTGTTTTCCGGCGATTTATTTCATCTTTGTACTCCTTGATCTGTTGAAGCTTCTTCTCCAAAGTCTCTGCGTCTTCAAGGAGACCCTTACTCTTCAGATCTCCCACTGTCTCATTCAGTTGGGCACTGGAAACGAGGTGAATAATGTTCTGTTCAAATCTCTGCAACAACTCCAGGAAAACCTGTGCTATCAGCAAGACCAGTTTATCAAGCTGGCGATTCTCACCAAGCTCTGAGACGTCGGACATTTGGCTGATAAACTTAGTAAGATGCAATTGCAGGAAATTTGTTTTAATTACCATACGTAGCATTTTGTTAGCAATCTCTTTCTTATCATTTGGTGAGCAGCACATGTGTATGGCTCGAATAACAAGCTTCATCAGATCGGGTCGTATTGTTTCTGTCTTTAGCAGAGCCTCAAATCGTTTAGAATTGTTGAAAAGATCCAATATGCCTTCATCAGGAGAGTTTGAATTGCAGATTTTATCCAATGTCATGTAATTGAGAGGCTCAGGATCTCTTTTTTGTTGAAGTCCAGCCTCCCCACGACTTTTTCCTCCATTTCTGTCAATTTCTCGTCTTCTCTCCAGGGAAAGCCCACGTGACTGCCATGTTCCACCTTCATTTCTTTCGATGAATCCTTGTCCTTCAACAGAAATGCGCAGTCTCTTTGATCTCAATGAATCATGACCGTCGCTGAAGGATCTTTTATTTCCTATCACTGTTACGATTCTCTTCATTTTCTCTGAATTTGGAAGTTACCTTACCAGCGGCATGGAATACATAACCTAAATACTTAAAAAATGGGAAAAAAAAGCAAAAGAATTATCCCGGCAATTGATAGTAATTGATCGTTAGTCTAAGCTCAAGTTTACTCTGTGAGAGTACACTTGACAATGACTTAAGTGACAGACAACCTGAGCAGAAGTCATCCTCCGAGTCACCTGAGGACTCACTTGTCAGTCGAGATGGTCTGGTACCTAAAGCTGATTGGTCAGTTTTGCCGTGATGTCATTAGCATTTTAACCCAAGCAGCGAATGTCCTTCGGTCTGTTAGCAAGCAAATTTGTAATCATGTTTGGCGCTTGTTCAAGCTGTAGTAAAGAATGAAATAACTGAAAAATTGTTTACTGATTAGCTAACGTTGGTCAGGGACAGCAAAGCAGTGCTTGTGCTTTCATGGTAAGAAAATTTGTTGAGAAGCAAGTACGCTTAAACCAAATTCTTGTGAGAAGAAGAAGACTGCAAGATCTTTCCAGACTTCAGTAGAAACGTTTTTGCTCAAAACTACTCTTGACAAGCTGATTGTTTCAAAACATTGTTAAGAATAAAAATCGCGTCTAAGGACTCAAGTTATGGAAAATATAAGAACTTCAACTGGTCACGTAATTATAATGCCTTCTTAAGGAGTTTAGACTTCACGGTCCAGCGGATGATCTGTTAATATTTATCATGGCTGGCTTTTCGCTGAAGACTTTGTTTTGTCATCAACAGTATTAAATGTATGACACATCTGAGCCTTAGTAATGAAAAAAAGCGCAAACCACTTTTCTTTTGCTGTCATGAGCGTTGAAACACGAGCATCAGTAGAGAGCAAGCTAGTAACTATCAGAATGCCACAAGTTGCGAGGACGACATCAGTATTATCAACTAAGCGAACTATTCATCGAGTTCTTAGTTTTTGAAGTGCTGCTGTCTTGTGGCGGCGAGGATTTGTCGATAAAGTAGTGAATTAAAGTAAAGATTACAAACTTAACCCACCAGGTATATTGTGCACGCTTTCGAAATTAGCTATTCAGAATAAAAACCTACCGTTTCAGATTTGTTTTGAGAACGCTCATATTCCTATTCTGTGACAAGTTGACGCACTTTCCTGGTAAGATCAGCTCGATTTTAAAACTAGAGTCGTGAGAATTCTTTCCAATAACAAGCATCAGCATATTACCAAATACTGTACTCCATACATTAGCACATGCTTGCTAAATGCGTGAAGCTTCAGTTATCCGAGAGTTAATTAAAAATTCAACAATATTCATAATTCGTACGCGCTCAAGTCTCACATGGTTCATTGCTTGCAAAGAAAATTGAAAAAATAAGATGAAAAAGCCGTAAACACCACAGTACGCCACCTTCTCTCGGAACATTCTGTTAAATTTTGCGACGAGCATCTGCGATTCCGAGAAAAGCATCCTCTTCCTGATTGGTTGAACGCATGGAATGATTCTTAAGTCACGCGACTATGAAGTAACGTTATAATTGTGACATTTTAAGGAATCTTTTACATGAGACTATGTGAACTGGTTGGTGGGAATACATCTGTTGTATGGGCTGTTTTATACAGTTAGAATGTTTAACCAAATGAGCCCTAATACAGTTCTTGACTAGTTATCATATGATATACATAAGTCCAGGGCGTGCGAGTAAAATGGCCACACGCGGTGACACAAACAAATCTCAATGATTGACTCAAAGGAATGACCCAAAGAATAGAAACTGATGACGCCAGTCGTAAAGAGCCAATGGGCGCTTAATGTTATATCAAGACATTGCCTAGGCCGTGGGAAAACAGGTGTGACATGCTCGCAAATGGCTTTCCTCTAGCATCTGACTGGTTGAAGTAGCACTTTATTTAGACCAATCACAGACCAAAGTGAAGCAAATCGTAAGCAATATCAGATCACTTTTTACCTTTACCTGAAGATCGCTTTAAAGTTAAGGCACAGTTAAACGTTGGTTCTCAACGGAGAGGGAGAGGGGTGGGGATGGAGTAGTTTTCTCTTAAAATGATTAGCAGACGCACAAATAATCGATGTGATGGAAAATTTAGTGCTAAATTCAACTGTAAATACAGGTCAGTAATAGTCACTGATAAAACGACATTGAAAAATGAGACTAAAACACGAAAAGTTCTACCATTATGCCCGTGTAAAAATCCAATATTTTACCTTCACTCAAAACAGGATCTTTTTTCTTCTTTAAGAAATATGCAACTTGGCGAGGTATGAAATCAACAAAAGAAAAATTGCGAAAAAAATGAATGAAATTACCACATGCTGTAATAAGCTGGTTAGTTAAGAAACATGTTCACCAAAAATTTACATATAAACAAAGCATTATAAATTTAATTTTGTTAAAAATAATTTCCACTGACCCACCAAACAAATTTCCAATTGTCTCCTGAAGATTTAATACAATTCATTTTTATTGAAAGCACTCATTTGCATATAGCAGTAAAGCATTTTTTTCTCAGAACAACAAACAACTGTTTAAATTTGGACTTCAGTGATATAACTGACTGACAGTGTAACATACCGTACATAAGTTATTTAGAAATTATATATATACAAAAAAACTGTTCTCTTATTCAAGTTCTCATTCTTCTAACACTTTTTCTTTGTAATAACATTATAGCCTACGTGACGATTAATTAATCAAAAACTTAGACAATTCTTCCCTACATCGGTCTAAAATTATTATTACGTTTTAAATGGCTACCAGTGAAATTCAAGGCCGTTCTGCATCAGTTGTTTTCAACACAGTACCGCAATCAATTCTCCACTTAATATAAAATCAACTTCTACATACCTAGACTTCACTCAAAGCCGTTGAAAAGAACTTTCTCCAGAGAAGACAAGGAAAATAAGGCCAGCATCTGTGCTTCACATTTCGCAGAACCGTCCTCGAAGCTTCATTTCAACAATTCTGAGAAAAGCGTCTTCCTCGTGATTGGCTGAATGTTCAGAGTTGATCACTAAAAAGGGTCGAATTTGTCGAATTTCATTGACATGATCCGGGAGTCAATCAAAACCAATAAACTGAGGATTATGTGTGGAAAGGAAGTAGTTTGTTCGTAAGTAGTTTCTTGAGGGAAATATGTCGAAAAAAACATTTGTTTACAACAACAACAAAAAAAAGGATCGATCGACTACGCAAGGATCTAGCGAGACCCTTTCTCAAGTGTCTAGCGCATTAGTTTTCTCTTCACAAGGATTGCCCTTTTTTGCAATATGCTTAATCAAATTAATATTTTTCTCTCCTGGATCTCCATAGAAGTAATCAGGATCATTTCTCGTATCAGCAAAAAGAGTTAAAACGGGGAAAGCAAATATAACTTATTCATCACCGGCTAACACTGTTTCTCGAAATATACTGATTCCAAGAGAACTGATTGTATGAGTCACGCAAGATAAGCGAACGTGACTGACGCCACTACATTTTTGTGGCAGTTTTTCTTCCAATATTCAGAGGAGAAATTTTTTGGAATTTTTCTTTGAGGGCAAATAAGGAGAATAAAAAGCAGAAACCTCTAGAAAACTCGTCAGGGGAAAAAAATGTTTTGGTGTCGAGAACCTATCAAAAGATTTAATCTTTCCTGACAACGGTATTTTGACTTGATCTACACCAAGAAAATATAAAAAGTTTATATTCTCTTGTCAACACCCAGCACGCTTTTATTGATCTTTTTCCCTCTCAGTTTATTCGAGTTTCACAGATTAGGTTTGAACTGAGCTGGCTCCAAGAAAGCTGTGTACAAATTAAGAAGTGATAATCAATCACACTCCCAATGAAAGCTATTTGCGATCAGAGCAAGTATTTCCTACTTGTTTCAATACAAAAAGACTGCTTTGGACACCCGAAGGGTAAGGGGAATAAGTTAGGTCAATTTTTTCTAGTTATATGCCGCAGACCTTTCAGAGCCCCTGACCCCATTATATTCTACTCTGTGGCCATTTACAAACAGCACCTTAATCCCTTTTTCAACCGCCAATTTTCCCATTTCTAAATTCCTACTAACCAAAATTTTCTTACCCAGAATCCCCCAAAAACGTGCGACCACAACTATGATGAGAATGAAATTCCATTATACTTAATCCAGCAGTAAACATGCGACCCATCCAGCGGCAAATCCCCAAAAGAAAATTACCAGGAAGAAACCTCTCCCCCCCCCCCCGGGGATGGACACCAAGTAACAACAGACTGCGTGTTTTCTACTAACAGCCTACTGACAAGCTTTCGTATGCACAGAAAAAAAATTTAAAGCTCAAACACGGGTTTACTGAAGCTTGACTCCAAATCAACAAGTCTGCGTTAAAATTCATTAGCCTCGCGCTTTAAATTGACGCTATGCAAGCAAATCGACGTAAACATTTCGCTTATGTTTCGCTGAGCACGCAGCACGCGAAAGAACAAAAATTCACGGTAATTTAGCTTAGCCTCTCAAAGCACATCGCCCAAATTGTCTACTGAACGCATAATTAATGAGCTGAAACTATTGCATGCAAATCGAAGTAAAAGTTTATTGCGCTTAGCCTTCGCTAAGTGCACGGTACGCAAGAGAACAAATCACAATTGGTTTAGGTCTGCCTCTCTAGATACACTGTCCAAAGAGTCTACTTAAAGTATAATCAGAAAGCTGCCGATTACTTTTAAAACTCAGTTTTAAACCTTTTTACGCCTCATCCACGATCATGTAATTTTCCATGTTTGCCTGTTCAGACCAGGCAGGGTGTCTCGCACCATCCATCTCCGTCGCCACTTGGTTGTCTTCTACCAGTCTGTGATTTTCTCCACCAATCACAGCTCCGCAATCAGGACAAGTGCTTTTCTCCATTGCGCCGCCACACTCAGTAATGGCGTAAATATGTCCCTGGGGACATTTGTACCAATGACCTTGTTTGAGGCCCATGGCGCTCACGATCTGTTGTTTTTCTTCCGGTGTCAACGGTAACAGACATGGGTATGCTTTTCTAAAATGTAAGTAGTGCAAAACGTATTATCTTTACTATCCTAGTCGTCGTCGTTATTGTCGTCAATATAAAAATCCTAAAATGACGCAAATTTCTTGTGTCTCCTTCAAACGGAAAGACCAAACAGATCACTTGCATAGCAATTCTGAGCCTCGATGCTCACAAATTAGGTAACCAAAAGTGAAGACACCCAGAATAATAGAGAGATTTAAGAAAAAGTTTTCGCGATCAGTAACTCGCAAAGATTCAACTCTTGCTATTTGCATCTCGACCGTTTGTTTAGTGGTGTAAAAGTTTTTTCCTGGGAGTAGGTGTGGTGGCAGGGAGACATGTTTTTTACCCCACCTCGAGCGCGTACAAAAGGCACGTCATATGTAACTATTGACCGAGTGAGAGGACCAGACGGCCCGTTGGGGCATTTTATGATTTACGGACCGAGCGTTGCGTGATCCTCGCGTCGTGACAAAGAGTCAAATATTTTCTCACCCGGTCCGACCTAACTCAGTCAAAAGGCATTTTATTATATGACCGCCGCTCTTTTATTTCCCTCAATTCTTCTTTTAGCTCGCATCTTGCGCGGCCGCAAGGCTTTATCTGGCCCTGCTTACGCCATCGCTTATCCTCGTAAGGGCATTCTTGTCTAATAATTACCAATAAAAACGTGCACGAGGCCGTATAAGTCATAGAGAAACTTTTAAAAATGCCTTAAAAGACAAAAAACACTGTCAAGTAACGCACCTGATTCCCGACAGCATATCTAACAGCTCGTCCAACCTCTCGGATTGAATTAGTTTACCGCTGGACAGCTCATCGCGAACATCTCTCATCATCTGACCATGCGATTCCTCCGAAGTCAGGTTGATGCTTTCGATGTCGTGTTTCAGCAAACACAGCTCAAATCGTAGATTAACCCTGCTACATTCCAGGTTTATGTCTTGCAGCTCTCGCTCCGTGACTTCTCCTGACATAGCACGCTCCTTCAAATACTTCAAATCTTTTTGCAAGGAGTACCCTACCAAATGACACCAAAAGTAACCAATGATACTCTGAAGGAAGCGAACAATTATTATGGAAGATACTCGTAGGCTCACATTTAAAACAAAAATTCGTCGTGAGATCACAACTCCTTAACCCTTTACCTCTCATGAGTGACCAAGAGGGAATTTCTCCTCATCATATCAATACAATATCAAGCACAGAAGTGATGAGAATAAAGTAAAATATCAATAAGGGGAGTATTAGCTGATGGGAGTTAAGGACCAGTCATTATCTATCACCTGGGGGGGGAAGGGAGGAGGGACTATAGAGACTTGATTGCCAATTAACAGCCAACTTGGGGGGGGGGGAATCATTAGAATATTACAGAGCCTCAGGGGGGATCAGGTAAATTGTCGTGACACAACCAAAATCCTCCACAGCCCATCCCCCTCCGTGGCGATAAATAAGACCTGTGCCTAAAAAAGTTATCACATACTATGCAATGGGCAAAAGAAAATGTTATAGCAATAGCAGGGGGAGGGGGAGGCTATGTCAGTGATCTGTATTTCACACAGACTATTTACATAGTTTAGTGTAATTGTGTTACGACTACTAGGCTTATCCCTTTGAGGATACATTAACGGAATCATTTTCTAGTTAATTAATCCGCATTCTCAGAAACATTGTCATGAAACATTATATTTGTGAGTACCTTAAGATGCGATCGGCATTTCGCGCAGAATATTTACATAGTTTCGTGAAAATATATGCCTCCATTGCGTAAACGTTACATAAAAAGGACGCGAATAAATATTGTAACGAGCAGAGGGAGAGATCAGAACTACGATTGTTTGAAGAAGTGAAGTTTGAACTGTAATTAATCGGGAACTGAAGGACTGATAGATACAAATTGTAAGTATTATCGTTTTGCCTTCGCGTTCACAAACGTACACTATTGTAACTTGTTTTCTTATAATTTTTGTAATTTCAGTTGACTGTATACGCATATATATATATATATTTATTGGACTCAAAGGCCCTGCCAAGAGATCTTATTATGTTTAATATTTTTTAAGGGCCCTTCCAGGGATTTTGTTGCTAATTTGCCCTTTCAGGCTCCAATGGCCTTGTTTTGGGATTTTGGTACGGTTTACAGTTGTAGGTTAGAGGGGGTCTATCCTTTTATAATGCTTGCCGCATTGCCTCTTCAGTTGCGCTATTCGTTTCAGCAAGTTTAGTTTTTTAGTTTTTATTTTTTAAGCTTTATCTCTCGTATTTTGTCCATCATTTTCTTTGTGGCTTGTTTTTTTCGATATTTTTCGCTTTGTTGATTTCGTTTTTTGTCATCTTTTTATTAACACCACTTTCTGCTCTTTCGCGTGATTTTGTCCCTTATTCATTAGTTGTGACCTGTAATTACGTAATCATTAGCACATCGATCTTATTTAAAGCTCTTTTTTATTGAAAAGTTGTAAATAACTGAAGGTCTCTGACCAAAACGTTTTTATTAAATTGTTTATCTTTTTTACGTCAGAAGTTCTCCATCCCCGCATTTTTTTGGCTCTCTACGTTCGTGTTTGAAGTGAGGTTTGGACTGCGAATCTTTTTTGATCCTCCTGGCGCGGTGCGGTACACCTTTTCTTGGCCTGAGAGTACTAGTAACAATTTTATATACATACATATATATATGTTCGACCAGATCGAATGTAGTGCAAATAAATTCTCGAATCCTTGATTCCCGTGGTTGATCTTCAATTCTACCTGTGTCTTACCCGTAGGTGCAGAACAGTCAGTATGTCAGTGGCAGGTTAACCAAAACCGTAAGGGAACTTTCACAATAAACCATAAAAGGTTTCATTTTCCCCAAACAGAGGCGTTTATCTAAGTCGCTACTGACGGTAATTTCATTGGTACACTAGGAAAAAAAAAGAAACATGCGCACGTACCTTCCACACGACTTTCGTTGCTGACTTGGCTCTGAGTCTTAAAAAATATTCTATGATTCAGCTTCTGGTTTATCTCGGCAAATCTCTTCATCAGCATCACCCGGTTTTTGGTGACAGCTGCCATAAACATGTTCGACAATTTGGTCACACGTCTCATTAGTGTGTTCCAGTCTTTCTTTTCATCCTCCGTCGGCTTCAAAGCTCTCAAACTTGTTTCCAAGTCTTTCTTTGCAGCCTGGATCTCAACCGGATTCCCGTTGACCTTAGCCTTGACTTTTTCAATGTAAAACAACTGCTTTTTAATAATATTACCGTATCGCAGGCTCCTACGGATACTCTTCTTGCATCGAGGACAAGTTCTCAGTTGAATCACTTCACAGTTCTCTTCGTTTAGATGGGACGTATCCATGTAGCTATGAAATAGTGATAATAAAGACTACTAAATGATTCACACGAGATAAAATTGTTCACCGAACATGTTAAAACTCACCCCACACACGTAACACACTGAGAAACCTTAAGCTGATGGCCAAGATCTGACAGTTTTGGCCCTAATGGCCCAATAGCAGATCCAGGGGGGGGGTCCAGGGGTCAGGACCAGCCCCCTCCCTTGCTCATCAGACGTGCGGGTTTTGTCGCTTTTTGTCTCTTACCAAAATTCTAGCAACAAAAGGATCACACGTTACTAATCAATAAAGTAATTCAAAATGTACTTGTCTTGAGACACTGTCTCATATTATTTAGGCTACGGGATTCCAGGATCCGCTCTTGTAGCGGCTCTTAATTGCCACACAATTGCATGGAATGGGGCTCTACTCTAGTTTAGCTTCGTTGGGGTTTACAAATAATTACCGCGTTGGATGAAAGAAAAATTCAAATATAGAAGACCATACTTACTAATCAAGATCTTTTACAGCGAAGATGTGTTTGCAGTCCGGAAGCTGAACGAAACGCGCATCTGGTTCGTCTTCTCCTCCTAAAAATATTTGGGTGATTGGGTCGCCATTGTTTTTCTCGCACACGGCACAAATGCACTCCTCTCCACACAAGCCTCGGCAGCGATGGGGACGACTCTTACTTCCGCACTTGAGGAACTTTTCGCAAGGCCTGTCACATCTTGGGCGATCGCACAACTCACCACACAACTTGCTACAACTGTAATGTCGGCATTTCCAATTGCACTTTTCTGTGCAAGGCTTGCACGACTCACTGCAGGGGTGTTTACACTTCGAATGCCTACAACGGTTTTCGCATGACATCCCACATGGCGGGCAGGATTTTGCGCATGATGACGTGTACCCATGAGAACAAACCAGTACTTGCTTGCTCCTGTTCTTACACCGCTTATGAACTCGACCCATGCGACACTCACCACACGTTCCAGGGCACTGGTGGCCGCATTCCAAAACGTCCTGACAACGGGTTGTGCAATCTGCCGGTGTTGCTGAACAAGCAATACTGACTTCATGTCCACATGGCCAATCTGTTCTCTTGACAAGCTCCTGGCATTCTCTTGTGCAAGGTTGACCACAGTGGTTCTGACAGCGGTGGGAACAGGGTAGAATTTTTTCACATTTTTCTTCGCACTGGACCTTGTTCAAATCCCTGCCGCATTTCACGGTTGTCTTGTGCCCACAGGATGGTAGAGTCTTCTCCACCACCTCTTGACAGAATGTGTCACATTTCTGCCAGCAAACCTTTGAACACGTGTGGTCACAGCCAACGATTTTCTTGACGCACAGCTCTCCACAGCGATACTCCAAGTGATCGACATCATAAGGGTGACATGACCGTTTGCAGGCATGACCGCAATCCAGGCGCACTTCGCAAGGACGCTGACATCCCCCGTCAGGAGCTTTCTCTTCGAAATCTTCGGCTGTTTCTGCTGTGATCTCTTCATTGTGGCTTTGACAGATAAGGGGTAAGGACACCCCAAAGCTATCACTCGCTTTCAAATCGTCAATAATCTTTCTCCAGACTTCACTGTGTTTGCAGAGAAGGGTGAAGTTTCCAATACAGTAGAAGCCCTTTCTGGCACGAGAGAGCGCCACGCATGCACGGTTTTCCATCTTGATGAAGCCAGCCTTGTCATCTTTGTTGCTCCGCACGAGCGAGAGAAGAATGACGTCGTTTTCTTCACCTTGAAAGTTGTCGACTGTTGTCAGGCGCACTTGGTTGAGCTCTTCAATTTCTTTTTTTTGAAGGCAGCCTCTGATGGCAAACATTTGTCCTGTATATGTTGTCAAAAGGGTAATTTGATGGGCTTCATAACCTTGCTGCAACAGATAACGACACAAGGCCACCACAAACTTAACCTCGTAGTCATTCACGTGACTGTGGGAATCTTCACAATGATTCTCCAAATGACTGTGGTTGATAAAGAACATGTTCTTCTTGATTCCTTTGATGTCTTCATATTTCTCTACCGACTCGTGATTCTCGAGATCGTCATAGATATGTTTCATCAAGGCGGCAATTTCAGGTCTCATACGATGCTGTACGTTGAGGGTCTCACACTGAAGACCCACACTGACCACTCTTTCAAACAGGGACACATCCAGATGGTACTTCTTAGCTAATTCATAAACTTCCGGCTTAGGTCTGAGTTGCTTGTGATCACCAATCAAAATTAAATGCTGACAGTCTTTGGTCAGTGACGTAATTATGTGGGCCTCCAGCACTTCAGCCGCTTCTTCAACCAGTACAATTTTAGGACGAATCCGCTGAAGTGTGCGGCGGTACCTGGCGGCACAAGTAGTAGTCATTCCAATGATCTTCGCACTTTGAAGAACATGAAAGTCTTCCTCGAGCATCACTTCAAACTTACGCGCCAATGCTCTTTCGTAATCTGGCTGTTTGCTCTGAAGTTTCTTCATGTAGTATTTCTCTGCCTTCTGAAGCCACGACCTGTACAGATTCCATCGCTGAAATCGCGAAAATCCTAACGGGTTGTACTGACTATTTCTCTCTTCGCGTTCACTCATGGCTTCATCTCTCAGAAGTTTTCTGCGAAGTTTAAGCGGTGCTGTAGTGTCTTCAGTTGTTCCGATAGTCACCTCTGATGGCTTCACCGCTTCGTCCTCCTCAATGTCTTCGTAATCCTCTTCGTTCGAGAAATTCCGAGCTGACTCCTGCAAATGAAAATCTTTGTCCCTGTCCATATCATGTCCATTGCTCTTGGAATCCTTCCACTTCGTATCGTAATGTAAGTCTAACATTCACACAACAGGGAATCCTCGTTTTCTTGCGAATCTTTGAACCACTTGACATGACGAGCTAACATGAACTTCTCCAGTATGCGAAAGGCCAGAATCTTCCTTCTGGAGTACTTCAGGACAGCAACACAGAGATCCAAGGATCCATCTTTGTTTAGTTCTTTGATCTCCCGTTGAGCGTTTTTTCTTGCACTGTATATCGCGAAAGGAGTAAGCTTGTTGGTAGCCGCCTGCTCCCGCCGGTCCCTCAGGGTGCAGCCTTTCAACTTTTCACTGCTGCGTCCACCGACACGCACGATACCTGTTGAGAGCAGACATTACAGATCAAAGTCTTAGAATTATTATCATAAATGCACGTTCATCAAACGCCTCGTTAAAAATATACTTCTTTTTCTCGAAGCAATCTTCTATTTAGAATATAAACAATCTGATAAAAAAAACCCTCAATCAAAAAGCGCTAAGGTCAAAGTGATCTGTCATTGAAGAAATCAAAGGGCTGGTAGAAGGGAGAGAAAAACTCCTCGTTGTTTGGAGCGCTCTCCTCTCGAGTGTTGCAAAGCAAAAATCAGATTATCAACAACATTCAATCAAAAAGGCAAAGATCACAAGGAATCAATCAAAAAATCAAAAAGGCAAAAAGCCAAAGATCACAAAGAACCAATCAGAACTTCATGAAAACAATTGCAATAGATTTAAAGATGTAGATGACGGAGTCAAGACGAGTTAGGATTACCTTCTAATTATATTGGTTTAGCACCATAAGAAACCGCCAATGCAATTCTAGATTACTTTCGACCTTCAATCGAGACTTCTCTACTAATCTTAGATTACCGCTGTAAAGATTCGAGAACAGCTGAAATAATACATTTCTGCTTTTTTGGGGGGGAGAAAGAGGATCGCAGATTACAAAAATTTTTACTTCCTTACCTTCTCTAGGAAGACCACTCAAGAAATCGTCCAAGGCGTGGTTCGTGTAAGACACCATCAAAATTGGCGACGGTTCATTTTCGTTCTGCCGCAAGGTGCCGCTTTGTAGCAGAACACGCGCTATCTTCTGACCAACGTACGTCTTCCCAGTACCTGGTGGGCCTTGTATGACCGCAAAATTTTTGGTCAGTGCCATTTTGAACGCGCTCATCTGCGACTTATTAAAGCCTAGGTCTTCTGGATTGAGTTCCAAGTCGTAAATATTTAAGACACCAGCGGGTCGGTCGTCTGCTGGAGGTCCTTCATTGGAACCTTCGTTACCGTCAATTGAAAGTTCATCTGTGGCAACGGAGTCCAAATCACTGCCCGAACTGGCTGAATTTTCTTCGGACAGCAACTCGAGATCGGGCATACTCCACTCAGCATCTTCTGTATCCGACCCCCAATCACGATTGAGTAAATCGCGATAATCGGAGATGACACTATCTTCGCTAGAAACTGACTCAGCTTCCATGATTTCCATAGCGTTACTTGCTCGGGATGTTGTCAAGTCCACTTCTTGTTCTATTATTCCACTCATGTCGAAAAAACCATTGGTTTTGTTTTCATAAGCAGGTGGCTTTACATCTTGGTTGCATTGAACGATATGCTCTGCAAACGGAAGTTCACCATCCTTAATTCCTTGCAAGCCTTCTAAAACGTGTCTATAGGCCTGGAAGAACGCTGGGGACTCTACCATATCAAACTGCTCTTTATCCTCTATGAATTGATTCAGGATTTCAAGATTAGCTTCTTCAAATCGCACTTCAAGCTCGCCAACACAAAGGTCGCGTGAATCTCGATTCTCCACGGTCGCAAGTAAGAGATTGCGAAATCCGTCGGCTGAAAGGCAAAGGAGGGAGCCAAACTTGAAAAGCTTGCTCTTCTTCTCCCATTTCACGCAACGTGCATCCGGGTGAAACGAGTCGAACCGGATTCTGTAAACCATTCCCTTTCCACTACATACGGGGTATAAGATTGTGACGTTACGGTACACAGGAACGTCTCGTGCACGTTTACCGTGGCTTGGGTTACTTGCTGCCGTGGGACTGCGGTCCCTTTTAAGCTGTTTTATTCCATTGCGAAGAGGTAAGATGAAGTCTTCTCTTAAAAGTCGAAATTGCACGTCTAAATAGTGCTCCTGGTCTAAGTACCTTCCATCAACAACGTTTTTACGAAGAAACGGCTTGTTACGGGGTTCTAAATCAGCTACTCGTGGGATCACGCTCATATCGCGAAAATCCTCGGGTGGCGTTAGCTGAGATTCGTCTGGGTGAGTTGTTTTCCGGCGATTTATTTCATCTTTGTACTCCTTGACCTGTTTAAGTTTCTTCTCCAACGTCTCTGCGTCTTTAAGGAGACCCTTACTCTTCAGATCTTCCACCGTCTCATTCAGTTGGGCATTGGGAATGAGGTGAATTACGTCCTGTTCAAATCTCTGCAACAACTCCAGGAAAACCTCTGCTATCAGCAAGACCAGTTTATCAGGCTCGTAATTGTCACCAAGCTCTGAAACGTCGGACATTTGGCTGATAAACTTGGTAAGATGCAATTGCAGGCAATTTGTTTTAATTACCATACGTAGCATTTTGTTAGCAATCTCTTTCTTATCATTTGGTGAGCAGCACACGTGTATGGCTCGAATAACAAGCTTCATCAGATCGGGTCGTATTGTTTCTGTCTTCAGCAGAGCCTCAAATCGTTTAGAATTGTTGAAGAGATCCAATATGCCTTCATCAGGAGAGTTTGAATTGCAGATTTTATCCAATGCCATGTAATTGAGAGGCTTTGGATCTCTTTTTTGTTGAATTCCAGCTTCCCCATGACTTTCTCTTCCATTTCTGTCAATTTCTCGTCTTCTCTCCGGGGAAAACCCACGTGACTGCCATGTTCCACTGTCATTTCTTACGATGCATCCTTGTCCTTCAACAGACATGCGCAGTCTCTTTGATCTCGATAAATCATGACCCTCTTCACAGAAGGATCTTTTATTTCCTATCTCTGTTACGGTTCTCTTCATATTTTTCTGACTTTGGAAGTTACGTTACCAGCAACATGGAATACTTAACCTAAATACTTAAAACAAAAAGGAAAAAAAAGAAAAGATAAGAAAACCGAGAATTTTCCAAGCCATAGTTAGTAAATGATCGTTTATTTAACAGTCCTTGTAAGAGTACACTTGATAATGACTTCAGTGATAGACAGCCTGAGCGAAAGTCATCCTCAGGGTCACGTGAGGAGTCACTTGTCAGTCGAGATGGTCTGGTTCCTGAAAGCTGATTGGTCAGTTTCGCCGTGATTTCCTGGCCCCGGTTGTTCGAAAGCCGATTAGCGCTAACCCACGATCAAATCGCCCTAACCCAAGAATAAAATTTAACCTACGATTAGTTTCTGTTCCTGAAAACGCGATTAGCACTATCCCAGGGTTAAAATAAAGGTTAACTTTAACACACCTAGCGAGGTGGATTAACTCACTAATCGAGGGAAAACTTTCCCCAAACAAAACAAAATGGCCGACTTATTACTCGGCGGATTAGGCTTAATGCCGGCCCCAAGAAGGAAAGAAAGGACATTTAGGCTACCAGACGACTTTTCCCTGTCCAATTTTACTGATGAAGAATTGAGAAGTCGATATCGTTTTGGCCGAGAGTCCATAGAATTTTTATCTGAGCTCCTTCGCGACGATCTTGAAAGAGATACATCTCGAAACCGTGCATTGTCGACAACTGTGCAAGTCCTTGTAGCGTTGCGCTTTTTCGCCTCCGGAAGCTTTCTTCAAGTTATTGGAGATACTCTGGGCCTGTCAAAGTCATCCGTGTCCCGTATAATCGGTCAAGTTTCGCTTGCCCTTGCACAGAAACAAAGAAACTTCATCAAGTGGCCATCGACCGAAGAGGAGATACTTCAAAACAAACGCGGTTTTTTTACCAAGGGGGGATTTCCTGGGGTGATTGGCTGTGTTGACGGCACTCACATCAAGATTCAGGCACCACATGAAAACGAAAACGATTTTGTCAATCGTAAAGGGTTCCATTCCATAAATGTGCAAGCAATTTGCAATCACAAAGGTAGGTAAAATACTCAAATGTCACAATTAGTGTTCTATAAAAATTGCAAAATAACCTTTGGCAGGGAGGGGTACTCCCCTTATAGAAGGTTTTAGATTGAGATTTCTAGCACACCAGCTGCTATGGGGTTGCATTGTTGGGAGTTACTAGATTGCAGTTTCACATAGTCAGGAAATGGGAGTGGTGATAAAATTTTTTTTTTTTTTTAATATTTTTTGAGTCAAATGGTATAGGTGGAGTTTGGTTTGCAAACACACATACGGAAAATTTATCAAAATTATCACACCAATATTTTAGTGACAGTATAAAAAAGTAAAAAACAAGGGAAAATAGCAAGAAATAATGTGGGATATTTGTGAATATATTGCTCAGCTAATGACCAACAGAATGTAACAATCAGCAGGGATTTCAAAATGATGCAGTCTCCCAAATTTCAAAAAACAAATTAAATAATGAAAAGGTTTTCCAAGTAAACTAAATATTTGTATCAGTTACCCCAGTTCATCATAGACACAATTATTGTTGTTTCTCTTTGCAGTACATTATTGTTATAAACTGAGATGAGATTTTCTACATCATAGGTAAGAACTGGTCACATAACTTCTTTGCTGTTTCATTTTAGGCATGTTTACCAACATTGTAGCATGATGGCCAGGCAGCACCCATGACAGCTTCATATTTAGAGATTCAAAAATTGGCCAATAACTGAATATCCAACACCAGTCCCTGGAAGATGGTTTACTGTTGGGTGACAGTGGTTACCCTTGCAAGCCGTACCTGATGACCCCTTACCTGAATCCAGTCACTGACAAGCAGCAAGAGTTCAACAGTGCCCACAAAAGAACAAGAGTGGCAATAGAACAAGCCTTTGGCTGGTGGAAGCGAAGGTTCCATCTGCTTCATTCTGAGATCAGAATGAAGCCAGAAAAAGTGTCCATCATTATCGGAGCATGTGCAGTTTTACATAACATTGCAATTCTGAGAAAGGAACCTTTGGATGGCTATGCTGAGGCTGATGATCAACCTAATCTTGTTTGCTTCCGGGGTCCAGAGGATGGCAAGGTCATCCGAGACCACATCTGCAACACCTTTTTCTGACAATTTTTAATTTTGTATTTCTGCCTTATGCAATCAGTTTTGCTCTTAATTTAACTTCCCATAAAATATAAAAAATTCATATATGCATTTAAGGGGTTTCTGGTTGAAAAAACACATTAAAATAAGTTTGACTCAAGAATCTGTTTTATTACATTAAAATACATTTTGAGAACAAAATACATTGTGTATGTTTTATAATAAATTATACGAGAACAACATTTGCCCAAAATATTTCTTTAAGAGGACTTATTACACTATTCCTCCTTTAAAATGAATCGGTGTTGGGAACTACAAAATTTGAATTTAATGTAGTTGCGAAGGTTTGGTTTGCATTGACCTGTTGCTCCAGAAGATGAATTTGCATTTTCAATTTTTGTTTTTTAAGATTCAACATTTCCTTCTGAGTACACAGGCATTCATACTGCATTTTTAAAACATCGCCATTACTTATCCTTTTTGAAGGCTTCCTCTGTTCATCAGCCTTGGCTGGTGAAGAATGCATGTCTTCATTAAGGCTCAGACAGTCTTCTTCAACACAGTCTTCGCAGACTCTGCTGGTAAATGAGCATCTTCTCCTACAAAATATTTCAAGCACAATTAAGGTTTCACTCAGGCTCAAAAAGTGTGAATTTAGTTTTATGCATCACATAAATGAAATAACAGAAGGAGCATCTCTCCCGCAAGGAATCTGAGGCTTAAACATGTAAAAAATAAATTATTCAATTTCATGAAATGAATTTGTGTACTGGTAGACTTAACTCAGTGAAATCATTCACGAAAATGCTTATAAAATCTGTAAATCATGTACCAAAAGTTAAGCTTATTTTAGACAGATAAAGGGGAATCAGAGCGAATCGACAACGAGAACCGTACCACAGTTTAGTGATCGAAAAAATAGGACATGATAACAGGTACAACAACAAATTATTTCGTCAATCACAAACATAAACAAAGTTGCGTCAAAACGAAATAATAAAAATTAGTTATTTATACATGTAAATAGCCGATCGTAAATATTTGAAGAACACTCCTTAGTACAAGATAAATAAAGAAATAATAGGAGCACTTTGTCTTTGGCAAAACGAATTTTAACCGAATTATAAACCGTATCCGAGACATTCTTCGAAATCAAAGGTTTTTGTCTCACTCATCAGATCGCTTTCCAAAATGACGGAGCTATGCAATCTTCGACATATGAATTAATCAAGTGAAGCTGAAATTTATATATATGTCTGCTAAATTACTGACAGTCCGTCATGAGCGTTCGTCTATATTCAGCTTAAACAGGGTTTAATGGAATGCAACCCTGTAAATGCCGCAAAAGCAGCAAACCGGTTTGGAGTTCTCCGTAGCAGCCTTCGCTTAGTGAAGTACACTCATGAAATGTGACGGGATAATAAACGAAACAAGGTAAAACTTGATTAATACAGTTACGGATATTGGAAAAAAAACATGCAAACTTATCTTTTCCTCCCTTGTGTCCGAACATTTCGTATGCTCAAAGACGGGAAAGCGCTTGATAAGCTGAAAACCCCGCCGAAACAACATGGCCGGTTGACTGTCTACAATTTTAAAATTTTTGGTAACCTGGAAACAATGGAGAATTGTTTACAAACCTGTCTCAAAGCCATCAAACCGCTGAACGCCGGCGTGTCCTCAAGCACCTCAATAATCTCTTTGCTGGCAACACTCGGCGACTTTGGAGGCCGACCACCTCCAGTTATCTTGGTCTCCCTCTTGAATTCTGCAAATTCTTTCTTGGCGATGCTATGGAGATTTTTCCACTTGTCTTTTACCTCCGTGACTGTTCGCTTGACTGTTCCGACCGCATTTACCGCTTGAGTTATTTCTTCCCATAGCATTTGTTTCTTTTTGTTGGTCACAGCATTCGTTAATTTGGATTGGATTAAATCGAGATTTTTTTTGACATTATCGGTGATGACTTCAATCTCATAAACTGAAAAATTATGCTTTCTTTTTCTGTCTTTCGTTTGGTTTCCACTTCCATGTGCACTCTCCCTTTCCGCCATTTTTTCCCTCCAATTTTTTTTCGCGCGTAGCCGCGTAGCTCTTAATAACCGGTTTGACTGGTTTAACCTCAGCTTAATCGTGGGATAGTTAATCAAGGGATAAATCTGCTTTCAGGAACGTTATTTTAAACCTAGATTAGCTATCCTTGGGATAAGAAATTTAATCGTCGATTAACCTCTAATCGAGGGATAATTTAATCGGCTTTCGAACAACCGGGGCCTGGCTTTTTAACCTATGCAGGGTGTGTCCTTTAGTCTGTTAGCAAGCAAATTCGTTATTATGTTTGGCGCTTGTTCAAGCTGTAGTAAAGACTGAAATAACTGAAAAATTTGTTTACTGATCAGCTAACGTTGGTCAGGGACAAGATAGCAGTGCTTGTGCTTTCATGATACGAAACCTTGTTGAGAGGCAAGTATACCTGAACTGAACTTGTGAGAATAAGAAGACCGCAAGATCTTTCCAGACTTCAGTAGAAACGTCATGGCTCAAAACTACTCTTGACAGGTTGATCGTTTCAAAACATTGTTAAGAATAAAAATCGCGTCTGAGATCTCAACTTTTTGAAAATTATAAGCACTTTAATTGGTTACGTAATTATGAGACCTTGTCAAGGAGCTTAGACTTCACAGTCTAGCGGATGATCTGTCAATATTCATTACGGTTGGCTTTTCGCTGAAGAGCTTGTTTTGTCATCAACAGTATCAGGATTTATGACACAACTGAGCATTAATTATTAAAAAAAACACAAACCACTTTTCTTTCGCAGTCATGAGCATTGAAACATGAGCATGTAGAGAGGAAGCCAGTAGCTATCAGAAAGCCACTCGTATGTCGCGCAGACGACAAACGTAATGTGTTCAATGAACTGTATCATTAACTAAGCGAACTATTCATCGGGTTGCTAATTTTTTAAGTGCTGCTGTCGTGTTGCGTCGAGGATTTGTCGATAAAGTAGCGAACTGAAGTGAAGTTTACAAATTTTACCCACCACATAAATTATGTACGCTTTCGAAATTAGTAATTTAAGATAGACACCTATCGTTTCAGATTTGTTTTCAGAACGCTCACATTCATATTTTGTGACAATTTGACACACTTTCCGGGTAAGATCAGCTCAATTTTAAAAATAGAGTTGTGAGAATTCTTTCCAATAACAAGCATCAGCATATTACCAAGTATTGTAATCCATACATCAATACACGATAAAATTCCGAGGCTTGCCAAAAGCGTTAAGCTTCATTTGTTTGAGAGTTAATTTAAAATTCAGCAATATTTATAAATCATACGTACCCAAGTCTCACATGGTTCATTGCTTTCGACGAAAACAGATAAAAATTGGATGAAAAAGACGTAAACATCACTGAACGCCACCGTCTCTTGGAGTATTCTGCGAAAGTTTGCGAAGAGCATCTGCGATTCCGAGAAAGGCATCCTCTTCCTGATTGGTTGAACGTATGGAATGATTCTTAAGTCACACATAGAAATAGAAATACAATCACCCCACCAGGAAATAACGTTATAACTGCGAAATTTTAGTGAGTCTTTTACACGAGACTATCTGAACTGGTTGAATGGAATAAATCTGTTGTATGTACTGTTTTACAATAAAAATCTGCAATCAAATGAGCCTCAATACAGTTCTTGACCAGTTATCACGCGAAATACATTAGTCTATGGCGTGACAAGTAAATGGCCACACGCGGACAAATCTCGGAGATTGGCCCTACAGAACGACCTGGACACTGCTTAGGGCAACGGAAATCTCCGCAAAAGCTATATCTCTGCGAAAACAAAAAGTACGCGGCAATGTCCACGTCAATTTTCCAATGTCAAGGTTAGAGTTCTTTGACGTCTAGAATTTACCAGATTATTTTTTTCTCTTACCTGAAGATTTCTTTGAAATGAAGGCACAGTCGGAAGCTGGTTCTCAACCGAGAGGGAGAGGGGTGGGGATGGAATAGCTTTTTCTTAAAATGACCAGTAGACGCTCAAATAATCGATGTAATGGGTAATTTACTGCTAAATTCAATTGTCAATACAGGTCAGTAATAGTCACTGATAAAAATACAATTAAAACATTGAAAAATGAAACTAAAACGCGGAAAGTTCTACAATTATGCCCGTGTAAAAATCCGATATCTTACACACTCAACAGATGATTCTTTTCTTCTTAAAGAAATATGCAACTTAGCGATATATGAAAAAAAAATTAAAAATTAATAAATTTACCACATGCTGTAATAACTTAGTTGAGAAACGAGTTAACCAAAAATTTACATATTAACAAAGCATTATAAATTTAATTTTTTTAAAAAGAAATTCCACTGACCCACCAAATAAATCCCCCATCGTCTCTTTAAGATATATTACAATGCACTTCTAAATTAAAGCACGCAGTAGCGTATAAAAGTAAATTTTTTTCCTCCGTTACTGCAAGCAATTGTTTCAATTTGGACACACTCCAATTTGTGATATAACTGTATAACAGTATTACATACAGTACATAAGTTATTTGGAAATAATTTATACAAAAAACTGTTCTCTTAACCAAGTTCTCATTGTACGAACTCTATTTCATTCCAATAAAAATTTAGGCTACTTGATGGTGAATAAAACCAAAAATAAAAAAAGAATTATCCCCTATATCGGTCAAATACTATGTCCTTACGTTTTACATGGCTACTAATGAAACTTAAAATGTCCTGGATTAAAAAAATTATATTTTTACTACCTACAAATTTTTTTGGTTAGAGAAAGTGGTTTCATGCGACCAAATGTCGCCATGATGGATATGATGAAGTAATACATTAAGCGGTCATTACTGACGTCATCAAAATGGCGTCACTTCAAAGAAATGGCACAGCCACGAGTTACACTTCAGCGATATTATCAATGATAGCTGCTATGTTGAAACTTGCTATAAATTAGCCAAGAAAAGGCAATGAAACGCGGGAGTAGATTATATTTGTGTTAATGTGTTAGCTAAATTGCTTTGCTGGGTTGTAAGCGGAAGCAGTACACACCACGACACCTTAGGAAATCTTACATGATGCATTAAAAACCCATGAGCGCATCCTCTGACCTAAAGTTGCGCTTAAAGTGTATATAATCTAACTGCCTTTTTAATGAAGGGGGGAGGGTGGGTGGGGATCTCCACTGCGTGCTTCACACGTATAAGAAGCATCTGTGATAGTTTATCTCGAAACGAGACCGAGATTCAGAGCTTTAAGTATCACATAAGTTGTTAAGAGTAAGTTTACAAAAACTATTCCAAAGTTGATTGCTGTATAAGGTGTATGCTTATCTAAAAATCTCTTTAAAAATTTTTCCAAACCAGCAGAGGATAGATATGCCTAGGTTTATATTCACGCCTTATCAATGATGTACTCGATGTGACACACGTGGACCATTATGCACGTGTAGCCCACGTGAACGTGCAATGGAAACCATGATCAGCAAGCATGTCTTGAACTTTGCTATCCTTGTGAGGATCGCACAGAACTTCTGCCGGCTTCCATGATACTTAGCTCCGTTCTGAAGTTAGGAAAACCACAAATTACACACATTTTGACCAAAAATTTTATCGCTGGAAATATCGAGGTGAATGCAACCGACCAATATAGATACTTGCTTTCACGTCTTTTCCGCTTCTTACCTTAAGTCACCTACTCCTTTGCTCTGGAGAAAGTCTAACGCTCGAAATGTCAGCTTTAGTAACTCTTTACGGTGGTCAATTTATAATTTATCAACTCAGTTGGTAAGACCCAATGATCTCACCTACTTCGAGCGCACGAAACAAGTTCGCATTGCGTGTCGGAAAGGGAACATAAGACTCATTTTCCCGCCTTATCAACGGCACGGTAAACTCATTTTATCTCATGAACTAAAGTCTAAGAATTATACGCAAAACTATGTCTCAATGAAATCATGTATATACGTTGCTCTTACTTGAGTACTTTAGGGAGAGGTGTTTGGTCCAGTTTGTACTGAATAACAGCCAGTTTGCATAATGTCCGAAGTGACGGCTCTGTGGAGTTAAGGACAGTCACTCATTACGGTCTATGACGCAATTTAAACGATGCTACCTATCGCAGCGAAATTTTGAAAAATCTTAAGACGCGGTTTGGTTGTCTTATTCCACAAGTGAGCAAGATACACCAAACTCTGAGTTAGGAAATTGCTCCTTAGGGATTACCCTTCTTTGAGATAAACAGGACAGTTTGCTCATTACTATTTAACTGTGCATTCAGAATTACCCTTCTCGTGTCCTCAGTATTACACTCCCTGTACGCTCGTGGTTTCCCTTCCTGCGCACTCAAGATAAACATCTGTACCTGCCTTCTCGAGATTACCTTCCTTGTGCACTCTGCCTAACCCTCCCTGTGCAATCTGCATCACTTTTCCCGAGCACTCCGGAATACCAACCCATAGATTCCAGATTACCGACCCTGCGCACTTTGGAGTACTGTCCCTGCGCACTTTGGAGTACCGACCCTGTGCACTTTGGAGTACCGACCCTGTGCACTTTGAAGTACCGACCCTGTGCACTTTGGAGTACCGACCCTGTGCACTTTGGAGCACCGTCCCTATACATTTTGAAGTACCTTCTCGGTGTAGTTTGAAGTTCCTTCCCTGTGCACTTTGGAAAGGAGAAGATAGAAATTACTCTGCAGTGTGTACTTACCAAGATCTAAGATGTACAGATCAGAATGATCCTGGAGGTGGTATTCATCATCAGCAGGTTCTCCTGCGGCAGGGCTACAAATTAAAAAAAAAAAAAAAAAAACACAACACTAAGTCAGTTTTTATGAATGAAACTGCTACTTCTGCTGTAAGTTTGAAATCTGTAGTTAATTCATGTATAAACATTTTGGTTCAGTTCCCTTTTGCTTCACCAACAGTGGGCTACTTAATAATGTAAATACCTTGTTCCACCAAAGATCATCAACCTGGTTCCTATCAGACAACAGCAGTGTCTCCTTCTTGGACACGGCCCATGTCCTGAAATGTCCAGTTTTGTCCAAACATTGGTATCTAAAAGGAATGAAAATTGTTGGTCAGTTGTAAAATAAACTGTGGCAATTAAGTTGCAATTCTCAAAAGGAAAATCAACAACTCTCTGGATGTTCTCAGGCTGTGTACAGTTGTAATACCATACCCTGGTCAGGGCAGTGCATGACTCAAAAAAAGTAGCCCCAAAAAAATATAAAACAGAATGACTTGTGCAAACTTTTTGTACCTGTGTCTAAACTAAACACTTCTCCATAATGTTTCTTTTCAATCCCATTGTAACCACCAAAAACATAGACATGTTTGCCGTAGGCAACTGTGAAGAAATTACAAGTGAAAAGTTAATTACCTAAGTGGAGAGCATGTCACTATCAAATGTATATGGATTTGTCCAATCGGACCATGTAATGAAAAAATCAGTAGCATTATTACATTGGTTGCCTTGATCAAGTTGCTAAAATTGTTTAAAAAAATTTTACTTGCAGAGTTAAAAACAAAGATGAAAGGAAGACACTTGACACTTTTCAACTTAATTCTATCAACAAATTATTTATGGTAGATGTATAAACCAAATTTTTTTTTACATCAGTCTGTGTGCACAAGATATAAGACACATAGCAAGTTTGGGGAGCACTAGAAATGTGTAAGAAATGCTCAAGATGCAGCTGAAAACAACTTTAGTTTCATCAGAGCTCTGAACACTTCCCATCTGCTTTAAATCTTGATGAACATGGACAGAAACATGAACCTGTTGTCGAATGCCATTTTCATTCCCACAGTTAAACTCCCAAGATCTGATTGTTACCTCTGGCTGCTACAAATAATTTAGTATTTGATCAAGATGATAACTTCTACCTGATAAGTTTTAGTATTCTCATTACCTGTTTGCTAGATAATGTATGAATACTATAGGGAGAACTTACATGTTTATCACTTCTGGGAGTTGATGAGTTACTCTTGCAGAAAGGGAAATCCTCTCTGCTATGAGTTACCCACCACATCAGAGTGCACAAAGGAAATGTAAAGCTCAAGCATACTCACACAGTTGAATTAGACTACCAAATTGCACGGCTATGTCATGATGTTCATTAGTAAACAGTGACTAACCTGCAGAGTGACTCCGTCGTCCAATGGGTACATTTCCAGATGTATTTAATTTGAACCAACAGTTTTTAACTGCAAAACATGCATCAATTTTCAGGTGGAATTAATCACAAAAGTATGATGAACAATGCAAGGGTCAGTTTATTTGTAAAAGCAGCATTCTTGTATTAAACAATAACTGCAGAAATGCGATAAATTCTCATGCAATACAAACCTGTATCAAATACTCTAACTGAGCTGGAGTAAACTTCCTGTCCAGAATGGTATTGCCCAAGTCTATCTCCTACAAGAAAACAGCAAAACAAATTAATTTTTTATTTAGTTTCTGGTTACATGAAACACCAGAAAAAAACTAATATCCTTTACAAGGCACTCAAATGCAACTTTTTTATTTTCCATGGTCTTGCTACTCACAATGCTTCATTGAATCAGAAGAGATTTAGCACATTGAATTGAATATAACTAAGGTCATATATGTCCTAAATACAATGTAAATATGTTCGAGAAATAATTCTTCTCACTACACAATTAATATTCAATATGTTTGTTTCTAAGGTTACACTTTTCTATCTTTTCAACAGTTTCTATTTGAGCAGTTTTTGAATGAGTATCAAAAGTAATCCATGACTGCATTGGCATTACTTTCCTTGTTCTGTGACTGGTCTAAAACTTGCACCAACATCTCAGCCAATCAAATATGAAACTAAACCAACCCAAACTTGGTCACTTGCATTTTCCCCTTCTTCAAGCAGGCTGCCTGTTTTTGCTTTCAGTTCTCATTGGTTGAGGATCATGTTAAGTTTTTGCTTTGTTATGATTGGTAGTTTTAATTAATTGGTTTTGGTTTTTTTGACAAAGTGTGACAGTGTTACTAATCTAGCCTTGAAATGGGAATTCCCAGGGCAAACAAAAAAGAAGACACCCAAAAACTACCTGGCGGCAAGACAATCAGGCTGATATGAAGAATTGGGGCTACACCTGGATCACACATGAAAAGCTTGCACAAAACAGGTTGGGGTGGAGAAGGAGAAATCTTCAATAGCCTATGCTCCAGGGGAAGCTGAACAGTTGTTGGGCGGTGAAGGATTACCTTCCCTCCCACTTAACCCTTCATGCCAATGACTGGAATATAAGGAACTCCTTGGCTTTTTTTTTTTTTTTGGTTTTTTTGGTTTTTTTTGGTTTTTTTTTTCAATCATCCCAGAAATAAGGGGCATCCCTAACCAACTACATCCTCCTGTTCCAGTGCAGGGAAATATTTGATCTTCCTACCTAGATTTGTCAGTGATCAATCTTACCTCTGCCTCCAAAGATGTACATGTTTGTACCAACAGCTGTTGCTGAGTGGAAGTCTCTCCACTTGGCTGGTTCACCCTGCAGTCAAAAACACAAACATCACAAGAAAACCACCATAGTTTGACAAATATATTAATTGCTTTGTCTAGGGTTATTGTGATATCAGGCAAATTCTTGGGAGTTGGTTGGCAAAGGAGCCATAAAGTTGTAAACCAACTTGTAGAAACATTAAACGCAGAATTTTCAGGGCAAACACAATGTAAAGTGGCCACAGAATTTTGCAACCAGGAGGGTTACAGAGTAAGCTACATTTACACACCTTAACCCCTTTGATCAGCTTCTAATTTCTCCACACAATATCACTTCTTAATCAAACATTAAGGTCATGAGAATAAAAGAAATGATCACCAAATAAAGGAGCTCTTGATTATTAGACAAATTCTCCTTATCAGCCCCTTAGGAAATGTATAGAGAACAGTATGGAGAATATGCATACTGGTGGCGTGTAAGGGTTAAAACCTTACCGTTACTCTTGGTTGGTGCCATGTTAATGTTTGTGTATCCAGATATTCAATTGAATTTGAAAAGCACTCTCCCTAAAAATTAATCAGAAAATAAAGCAAGGCATTTACAATGCAACTATGCTTCAAGGTGTAAAAATTCCATCAAAAGTATAACAAAAGTCTCAAACATGATTAGCGACCTTATTCAAGCACTGATGGGACAGCATATAGATAATACTTGTGAGAAATGCATAGCAGACAGAAAGGAGAATTGATATGTAATTCTTGGGAAGAAAGGTTTATCTTGGCCTTTAACTCCCAAGATCTGATTGTCAAGTCTCCCTTTTAGCTACCTCACATTTCCTTGCAAATCAGCTATGAGAATTTGATTTCAGATCAAGATGATAAGTTCGAGTTTGTCCCCTTCATTAGATAACGTATGCTTGAATATAATAATGAGACTTTGCATGTTTAAATAACAATCAAGAATTTGTTAGTTTTACCTCCTCTTCATATCCACCAAAGATATAAATCCTAGATTCAATAACGCAAGCTGAGTGGCCATCACGGGCAGCTGGGGGCTTTCCATTTACTTCAGGTTTGGACCATGTTAAACTCCCTAGAAAAAAAAGACAAAACATATATACCACTTAGTGGCTTCCTGTCCTATACTATCTTAAGATTGCTCATAAAACATTAAAACAGTTGTTGCTTGACCCCAAGACCCCCAAGAGGGCCTAGTATCTAATTTCTCTCTGCAATATCACCCATGAATCCAACATTATGGTTAAGAGAATAAAGGAAATGATCACCAACTAAAGATGCTCTTGATTGTTGAATAAATTCTCCTTTCAGGCAGTAGCCAGCAGTGCATCTTACTACTACCTAGAACTACCTGGAATTCTTGAAAATTAAAAAAATAGGATTGCTTTACTGATTTGAAAATTTCTCTAGGTTACTTCTTGTCTAAGAGTTTTGTTGACATGGATATGCCACAGATTGCAAGTTCATTTTATTTTGTTCAGTTTCATGGTTCTATTTTGAGGTTAGATAATTCTCTTTACTTGCTTTCAGTTTAATCGCATCCATGGTGATCACTCTGACGAAGGACTAATGCTCGAAGTGTCAGCTCTTTTACCCTTTACAATGACCAATTTACGTTCTCAACTCAGTTGTTAACACTAAATTACCTGCTATACTCTCTCACTGACGCAGCACCACAGTTTGTTTAGAAACTTACCCCCTTTATATACAGAATCATTTGGTTAAATATTAAATATCTGTGTATTCCATAACATGGAGTAGAATCTGTGGTATTTACATAAAAGGAGTACCAAATAACTCATCTCACTTGTGTCAAAGCAGTACAGTATGTTACAGGCACCATGAGTGTCATTTCTCCCGCCAAATATATAAACCAGATCACCCATGGCTGATGCACTGTGACCATATCTCATGTATGGAACACATCCTTTACATTCACAAGATACTGGAGGAGGCTTCATCCATCGGCACTGAACTGCAAGGAACATGACCAGTCTATCAGTGCTTCTACTCTCAAGAACGATCAATACTTAAATTCTCTATACAATTTCAATACAATTTAGAACAGGGAGGTATTGAGCCCTGAACTTTTTTCTTTCATTTTGTGAAAACCTCAAGATTTCTCTAAAAACCTTGTACAAAAAGAGAGAGTTTTCTTCTATAAACATGATGCATGGATTTATCTAAAATCAGGACCCTCCTCCCTTTTCCCTCTTTGCTACCCTCTTGGAGTGATCACTACACAATATTTTGTCACACAAAACTTGTGACCCTCCACGGGAAAACGGACACTAACGCTTTTCCGTTTAAGCTGCAAAACCGTTTACTATCCGTTTACATCCGTTTAAACGGTTCATGAAAGCGTTTAAATGGTTTGCTTATCCATTTAAAAAAATTTGCATCCGTTTAATGCTTTAACTAAAACGTTTAAGCAGTTTGCTCATCCATTTAAAAAAATTTGCTTCCATTTAACGCTTTTGCCAAAACGTTTAAGCGGTTTGCTCATCCGTTTAAAAAAATTCGCTTCCATTTAACGCTTTTGCCAAAACGTTTAAGCGGTTTGCTCATCCGTTTCAAAAAATTTGCTTCCATTTAATGCTTTTTAACATTTAAGCGGTTTGCTCATCCGTTTAAAAAAATTTGCATCCGTTCAACGCTCTAGCAAAAACATTTAAACGGTTTGCTTACCCGTTTTAAAAAAAAAAAGCTATCCGTTTAAAGTTCCACGGAAAGCTTTGGACTGTCTTAGTTAAATCAAATTAGAATCAGCAATGACAACCACAGAGAAGTTATACATCCAATGTCTCAAGATTGAAATTGGGTTGTTAGCCATATGAAAGAAGGACAACTGGTGAACATTAAGCAAAAAAACATCAGCATGGACAAAACCTGACAACAAACTCAACCTTGAAAAATGTTAAATCAAGCCCTCGGGTTTGTTTTTTGAACGTCCCAAGAACATAATTAACGACCCTTCATGCTGTGCAGTTTCATTCAAAATGGGATTTTCAAAAGTTTTGAAAATTACATGTATAAAATATAACTATCAGCTAAAGAAGCAAAATGGGCTTATCAGGGTTCCATAACCTGCTTCTCTCTTCTTTAAATTTAGATTTTAAAATATGCCTTTGGGCCAGTTACGTTACCAAGGTTTTTCAGAAATAGGACTCAGGGTATAGAGGTAACAAGGAAGTACACAGTGTCATCACTCTCAGCTGATTACAATTAGACCTGATTTGAATCCTGACTGGTATCATTACACTGTATTCTAGTGGCTCTCCCCACCCAAGAGTACAAAAAAACGAAAATATTCATGTATGGTCATGGCAAATTTGTAAGGAGAAGGATGTCAAAACCCAAATTTATCCACAATAATTTATTTTCATTATTGGTGCGAAGTCTGTAATCAAAATCAAATCTCTGTGCCAAATACTCACAATTAACTTTGTAATAATATTAAGAACAGCTTTCGGTTGAGAAAATTATCATGTAATTATAGTATTGGTCCTCGATGCTTCATGAAGGGAGCCCAAGCTAACTCTGCTGCAAATTCGCAACGATAAAATATTTAACGTCCCTAACTGGATACTATACTCAGATGTAGAGAGCTTGTTTTCTGCGCTTGAGTAGAGTAAGCGGTCTTCTGTCCTTTGCACGTTCATTCCGACGAAGGAACATCATATTTTTAGCACAAAAATAACAACATTCAAGCCACAAACTTGTGACCATATTATTAATTCATGGCGAATGCTGTAAATTAAAATGCGCACGTAAACAACTTGGCTCTGCTGTCGAACTCAATTGCTTTTCAAACGTTAAAAGTTTAAAGGACACCACTTATTTTTGAATCAATGCACGATTTCATATGCGAGATTGATAAACGAATTCACCTCAGTAGCGAAACGAAAACTGCTAATATTAGCCACGCAGAAAGATTGCTAACAATGCATTTCCGGTAGGTTTTTTTTAAAAAAAATACCTGCTGGTGACAAGTTTTGAATCTTCGAAAAGCACGCACGTTCGAATCTCGATTTTTGACGCGCTGAACTCCACAATGAACCAAAGCCGTGCAATGTTAACCTCAAATTCAACAAACTTACCTGTATCAAAAACATGCACATCTATATTAACAATTTGGTTGTATTCCTCGCCCGTACAATAACCACCAAAACTAAATATGAACCGATTTCGAATGGATACTGCTGCATGATTTACACGGCGTGGGCCTCCTTCAACCTCCTGAGTCCATCTAATAGCCATGGCTAAACTACACTAATCCTCGAACTACTTCTAAAAACGTTTAAAAAGGAACAAGCTAGAATCACTTCAGATTAAAAGCAAAGTACAACTGTTTGTTGCCAGCAAATGGGCTGCAGAAAATTTTGTCATTCGAGAATATTAGATGAGATGTTGGTCAGCGGAAACATCTAGTGAGAACGTGTCTGTTGTGTAAGACAAAAGCATAGTGTCTTTGTTATTTTTTTTAGATAAGGCAAAACAGCTGGAATCAATGGTGTAATATGAAATTTCTCGCCACCCAGGATGATAAAATATAACATAATCTCTTGTAAAATGGTTTTTTCGACATATGATACGGTGAACGGAGCTCTCAAGAAAGGAAGCAGACCAATAACATTAAAATGCGTTTTTTTTCTTCATCTTCAACTTGCTAATAGCTCTGTTCCTTTGACCAAGGAACACTTATCTGAATTGTGCATACGTCACTCACTTGTAAATACAATCAATATTATTTTTTCTTCAAACATGCGTTATTAAATGTGAGGTAAAGAAGATATCTGGATAGAAGCCAAGTTCGTTATTTACGTTCTTCTTAATCTCTTCTCTCTTTTACTCATGAAAGAATGTTTTTAACTTGCAAACCGCGGAAAGCGAGGCTGCCAGCAGCTTTCTTTCCTTTTTGAGAAACGATGAGGAATTAAAATCCAAAACGGAAAACTAACGCTCGTTTTTCCTGCTAAAATGGACAATTAAGGGGCGTTAAAGTTGAGGTGTTTTATTTATCTCTTTCTTGGGTGTGGCGTGCTATAAACGCTAGCGATCCGAAATCCTCGTTTTCAAATCAGGCCGACCAATCTTTACTAAGCCTATTGAAGATTTCAATCCAGTAGAATGTGCCATAAATTTTCTTTACTTTAGAAGATAGACGTGACATTGTCACGAAAGGTTTTGCCGACATGTGAAAAGGACAACATAACGAAGTCTTGTGACCAGATCCCAAACAATAAGCAAATTAACAGACAAAAGAGACTTGAGCACTGATTCCGAAACTGCGAATACAACTAAAGGTCGATAATTTGAAAAATGGTAACTCCTCTAGACAATAACATTACAGTGAAAGAATGTCAACATAGATCAGTGGCTTGGAACAGAATACGGCCAATTCCTACTATCTTATCTTAAATAAGCTTAGGCAGATGTTTACATCCCGTGCAATAAACTCGGACTGTCGCCCATCGAATTATGCCAAATCACGTGCTTTGTGCGTGAGGGACAAGGTCCAAGGTTCATATTTTATCTTCAGCTCACAACACCTCTGCGAACGACACGAAAAAAAAGAGACATGCTACAGTGTGAAAAATGAAAGATCTTCTACTCTAACACTGAGTCAGAAATCAAATTACGCAAGGTAACCACATAATTTGCAAAAACATGGCAATTATTCTGAGATGCAAAGAAAACACTTGATATCATTAGCAGTAATTTTTTGTTCTTCCTCTTATCTGGGATTGGTGTTATCTTACAGTAAAATAATATCTGTCTGTTGGATTGAAAACGGAACAAGCTTCTGTCCCCGACTATGATCTAATCCGAATATTATCAGTTTTTAGTCAAGTTGAATGAGTCAAGTTAAACTGTTTTAAACGCTCAATTTGAAGGGACGGGCGAAAAGGCGGCGAGGGTAAGCGCGGGAAAAATCGCAGGAGACGAAATCTTTCCCAAACTCCCTCGGATTTTCGCTCGTCTGCTTTGACAGAGAATGGTTCAGACTAAATCTGGCTTGAAAACATCCTTTTTTTAGCTAGTATACAATATGTGGCAACGTCTGAATATTTGTATTTTTTTAACCAGATATTTAGATTCCATTCTTTGTTCTCTTTCATTCTAGATTTAAGGTTGGTAAAGCAGAGCACCTTGGAATATTTAAAACCTAAGTATTGTACAATTCCGATGTAAAATTCTTGATTTGTTTTCTTTTTATCGTTCAGTGTTGTAATCATTATCATTTTTTCGACGTCTTAGCAAACCACAATTTTGAGTGTTTCAGTTTTCATCTTAAAACTAAAAAGTAAGATTCGCCTTTGGATAATTTCTAACCACTTCACAATATTTCACGCGTATCAGCTGCGATAAATTTTGTACGGAAAACGTGTATATTTGATATTAATATATACCACACAGGTAAATTATGCTTTTCACGCGCGCTGATTAGTTAGTTCGGAAATTATTGGCAAGTATTATTCCCTCGCGCGCAGTCGAAGAGATAAAACCTTGCGTCAAGAGTTTAATTTCCGACTAATTTTCCGGTACATTGTCAGAAACAAACTTATTTTTTTGGTTACTGAATGGTACATAATAAAACTATTATTCATCTTGGTGTCAATGAAGGTGGTGGATATTTACCTATTTACCTCCACTTTGGTGAACAATTGTTAAATGAATAGATGGTCGAGATTGAGAAACAATATCATACATAAATGCGAGCAATTTACAAAAAGATACATTTAAGTTTTCGGAAAACATCCGCAGTCCTTTCATTGACTGAAAAATATAATGAAAGAACTGAGCACTTGTACAACTGCACGCGTTTAGAATCATTTTCTTCGATGTTTTTAATCAAAAAGGAAGGAGCTCGAGATTTAAGCCGGTTTCTAAAAATTTAGTGTAATTCAAGATGTCTCCAAAGTATTCAAGGAAATCAAATTATTTTGTTGTCAAATTCCAGCTGTTTAGAGGAGAATTTCCAAAAATATTTCTCAGATCAATCAAGAATTTTTCGTAGCAACGAGTTTTAATCCTTTCACCCTCAAGATCTGATTGTTAATTCTCCCCTCCAGCTGCTAAATATTCCCATGCAAATTTTTTACCAGAATTTGGTGTTGGTTCACGATTACAACTTTTACCTGATAAGTTTGAGTATTCTCATTACCTTTTTGCTGGATAATGTAGGGGTGTAATAGGGAGAAGCTATATGTTAATCACTTCTGAGGGCAAGATGTTAATAATATCTATAAAAGGTAGTTTCCAAGAAATATTGATTGGCAGACCCAGGGCCTCGCGGATTTTTCAAGTTGGCGATTACAGCAAGAAGGTTGCATTCGAGCAATTCAATTCTGCTTCGGTAGCATTCCTTTGACGGTGGTGAAAAGAATCGCAAATTCTTGGAACTCGAATCTGAAGGGAAACTAATTTCTTAGTACTGAAGTTTTGATGAACAAGCTACTGATTCTTAAAGGACGATAGTGAGTATAAATTTTTTTTACTTTCCAATTTAAGTTGCGAGAAACTCAACCATTTTTTACATGTATTTTGAAAATTCCTCGCTTTGTGTCGTAAACTGATTTAATTAGAACAACAAACCCTCTCTCGCTTGCACAATTATTTTGACTGAAGAACAGTTTGCTTTTGCCTTTTGCCTCGGCGATTGATTTCTTTCCTCGTGTAATATAAACCCAACACATGTAGGCGATACGCTTTAAAAAATGTCAATCTTAATAACACTTATTTCGTAACGACATTTTACAAAATCATGACACGCCATACTATGCACCATTGTTGAATTCAATGAAAAGGCAAGGGAAATATAAGATTTGTGGCTGAGTTTTTATTCAAGTCTTAAATCTGCGTGGCACCAGACAAGATGTTGTTTCCATTCAAACCAAACGGATTTACATAATTACTTTTTCTCCTTAAGCCGACAAGAAGGCGAACTTTCCACAGAACTATATGTAATGGTTTTCCTATTTAAATAATGTTTAGGGCCAGCGCCGGCCTGGTATAGCAATTCAAGAGGTGTGCGTGTGAAAATAATTTCAAAAACATCAACTGCATTTACATGATTCAAAGCAGCGCTTATTTGTAATTATCCTTATGCGGTTCGTTTGCCAGTAGAGGATATTTTCGTTGAGATTGAAATCAACAATTTGACACCTCTTGCTTACCTTCATGACTGAAAGGGTTGCATTTATTAATCACGTTCCATAATTTATGGCCCGTAGTGAAAAAGAACAGAGGTTACCGTCAAAATAATTCAGTGAAATTTAATTTGATTGCAAGTCCCATTGAAAAGTTGAAATTCTTTATTCATACAATTATATCACTAATCAAAGTTTTCACGTAACGGTGAAACAAATTTTTAACAGAAGGATTTCAGTATCTCTGAAAATTGTCTAATCTATGGCAAGGATTTGCTTGCTGTTGTTGAAAACTTCGTACGCTCTTATATTTCAAAATACAATTTTTATCTTGCTCTCTCTCCTTGCTATTGCTGCATGATAGGGCGCAAATTTCACTTAAAGAAATTTCTTTCCAGGTCAATGCTCCCTTATCAGAACTTGTGCGTGATTAGCACATGCAATTTTCATCGCAAGGCTCATGATCAGTTCGGAAAAAGAAACCTGATTTCTGCGTTGTAATTTTATGGTCAAATCCGTTGTTAAGTGTTTTACTTAGTCTCAGCACAATTACTGAGGTTCTGGGAAACTCAGAAATTGGAAAAAGCCCCACAAATAAAACCGGAATTGTATTAAAAACATCGAGATAAACTTACAACTGCTCTAAGCCGCCAGAGGTGAAGGAAAAACATCCAACGGTAACAACTAAGGATATATTTACGTAAAACAAGAGATTACAAATCTCTTGTATATAATTTTTAAAAAAAAATTGAGATCCCGGCGTTTTTATTACATTATAATGACAGTAATGGATCCTTTTGCTCCATGGGGCCGAGATGGCGCGCTTTTTGCAAAATTGATTTTAACGGAAATGCTTATCACTCAATCTTGTTTTTCTCTACAGCTTAACAGTCTCCTATATCTTTGGTACCAATGAATGAAACGCCGTCTTTTTGGAAATCAGCCCACGTCAAAAATATTCCTTATGAGATTTTCATTAACCTGACTTCCGATTAAAAAATGACGCAGCAAATTCTTTCAGCTGGACAGCACATTTACCTTTCAAATAAACTCTTGACGATTCGTGCTGAAAATGGCTTCTTTGCTATTCATATATGCACATTAACGTCTTCCTGTCCCAGCTGTTCATGGCTGTTGGAAAAAGAAAGAAATGAATTCATAAGCCAAAACGCAAGAACAAAGATTCTGCTTT